CTCGAGCTGTGGGACCGCGTCACCAGACGATTGCAAACCGCACGGTCCCTGTCGTGTTCCGCCAACGCTTTAGCGCTTGCGATGGCAAAACCCTGCCCTATCGGCTCGTCCTGACCAACATGTACGGCTCCAACTGCTCGCGGTGCCCGTACAATGCGTACTGCACGGGCTGCACCGTCCCTGGCCAACGTTCCTTTATGCGAAAGCTGCAGCGCGACCAAAAGCAGGCTCTTCTCGCTGCTGGAGATGATGCCGCCAGCAGCGCCGCAGAAGAGGCTGTCGCGCCTGTCGACGAGAATGACGCCGACGCCGACGCCGACGCTGAGGATGAGGCTGGCGACGAGCTCGTCCAGTTGCGGTCGTCGGAGGCCATTGTCATTGAGTGGCTCACTTGCGATTTCTACCATTCCGAAACCGCGAATCGTGTGGTGAATTTTGCCGAACGGAATGGAGCTGCTGCTGGCGACGCTGCTGCAGCTGCAGACGACGCAACGCTCACCCTGGAAAAGTGCTTTGCCGCCTTCACCACAGAAGAAAACCTGGGACCGAACGATCACTGGTTTTGCCCCAACTGCAAAGACCTGCAACCTGCCGCCAAGCAGTTCCATCTGTGGAAGCTTCCCGACGTTGTTGTCGTTCATCTCAAGCGCTTCCAGTACTCCAAGTCGTGGCGCGACAAGATTGAAGCGAACATTCACTACCCGATGCGGGGCCTCAACCTGGCGCCGTTTGTGGCCGCGGAAGCGCAGCTGCACAACGAGCCCGATACTATGCTCTACGATCTTGTCGGCGTTGTCAACCACTTTGGCGGCATGAGCGGCGGCCACTACACTGCGTTTGCGCTGCACGCCCCCACCAACCAATGGTACAACTACAACGACTCGCATTGCTCCAAGGCGCAGCCGCACGAGGTTGTGAACAGCGAGGCGTATGTTCTCTTCTACCAACGCCGCCACTGCGCCTCCGCCGTCAACCTCGACTTGCTGCGCACGACGGATGCGTCTCCCCTTGCTGATCCGCCGGTTTCTTCGGCTGTTGATGCTCAACCGTCGTCGTCGTCGTCGTCCGCTCCGTCTCTTCATGCAGCCGCGTTCTCGTCAGCGTTGCCGGACGACGGAGAAGTCCTGACGTACCCCCCGCGCACCACTGGTTCATCTCTTCACGAAGCCGCAATCGCTGCAGCCCTGCATGACGACGGAGAAGTCCTGACATACCCCCGCAAGTCGTTGGTCATTCCGTATGACCCGTGGGCACCAGCTGACGGCCCGACCATTCCACTCCAGTCTTCCGATGGTCTCGCGCTCACGGGCAGCCCACCGGCGTTGTTTGACGATGACTTTTACACGTCCAGTGCCAACTTTGCCCCCGAATCCTCCTCGGCTCTGTCCTCCGCAAGCAGCGCTCTGCCCAAGCAAGAGACGGAAGAGATTGCAGTCTACGAGAACAATGGGGATGTGGACGGCAACGCCACCACGACCACCACGCACATTCGGCTCGAGTATAGCGACGACGAAAGCGACCAGGAAGAGCGCGAGCGTGAGGGCGAGCTGGAGCCTCCCCTCATTGACACGTCCGGGTACTCGCGTCTGGGTGGCAATGACGACGACGTGCACTCCGAGTCTGACACTGAGCAGCAGGACGCCGCCGCCGCCGACGACGACGATGATGGCACCAATCAAATTGCTGAGCAGAACGAGTCTGTCGGCTTTCGCTACCTCAAGTCGCAGGTCTCGCTGCAAGACCTCCATCCCGAAGAGTTAGAGGCCGTGCAAGAGTTCAAGCGCCGTGAAGAGGCCGAGCAGGTCGTCTTCCCCGTGCAGGAGGTGGCTCTTGACCCTTCGCAGCAAGCAGAGTTGCAGGCCATGTCTGACGCGCTGAGCAAGTAGCACCCAAAAAGAACAAAAAAAAAAAATAAGAAGCACGAGAGAATTTGCGCTTTCGCTTTGGTTGTCATGTTTGAAGTAGCTGTTTGTAGCTGTTTGTAGCTGTTGTAATTGTAAAAGGTTAATATGAGAATCAACCAGCTCGTTCATGATTTCTCAGTCAATCATTATTTCTCAGCCAGTCGGTTTTTTTTTTTCTTTTGTGAGTTTTTTTTCATTTTTCAATGATTTTTTCATTTTTCAAAATCCAATCTCGCTCTTTCTCGCTGTTGTGTTCCTGTTTTTTCTCTCTTCCCGCCCGCCGCCCCCAATCGGGGCATGTCTCTGTGTCGGCATTCGGCCTGCAAGTGTTGGTGTGATGTGGCACGGGCTGAGTGGTGGTGGTGGTGGTTGGGGTCTGCAACGAGGGAGTTTTTCTCTCTTCAATGAAAAATGGGAAAAAAAACCGTTTTTCTATCGTTTTTCCATTACGACGAGGGATTTATTTTATTTTATTTTATTTTATTTTATTTTATTTTATTTTATTTTATTGAGAACGGGAGCGTCGGTTGTCGTGTGTCGTCGTTTGTGAACAAGGTGAAGGAAGGGGGGGGGTTTATGGGGGCCACAAACCGGAGCAGCCGCGATGACGCATCGCTTGGTCCACCCTCACATCTTAGGGAAGGAAAAAAAAAAAAAAAAAAAAAAAAGAGGGTAGGTTTGAATTTCAACCCCTTTTGCTCTCATCCCTCATTCCTCGTTGCCGAGGCGGCGGCGGCGGCGGCGGTGGTGGTGGTGGTGGTGCTCGGTGGGTGGGTGGCTTGGGATGAAGGGAACCCACCCCCGAGTCAGAGTCACGAGAGATGGCGCGTTGAATGTCCAGAACGTTGCGTGATTTGGGGAAGTCTGAAGCGAAGGAATGGGGGATGAGGCAGGCTTGAGGCTCTCAGTCTCATGTGCGATAGTGTGCATCTATGAGTGTGTGCATGTGTTGGGTGCTGATGAGTGGATTGGTGATGCGGATGAGGAGGGGGGGGGGTGACTGGATCAGGGATTGTAATCCTATTGCCTCAAACCTTCATCCATCATCCATCATCCAACTTGAATGCACATGCACTACTCTCAACCCCTACCCCTACCCCAACTCCTTGATCATTCGGCTCTCTCGTTCGATCTGTCGGATTGAGCCGGCGATTTTGGTCCTCCCAAGCCATCCCCTTGAAGTTTGACTCGTTGCTCCCTGCCTGACGTCGTCCCTGCTCTGTTTATGCTCTGCTCCTGCCTGGACGTCGCTCTGAATGTGTTTTTTGTTTGGCTGATTTTAGTTTTTACTCGAGCGACCTACCACAAGTACTGATCCGTTCCATTTCTGTCGTTCCAAGAAAATGCCTACAGGTGAGTGAATTGCGCATGATGTTTGGGGGCGTGACTCTATCCTGCGATTTGGAGCACACAGAATCCTCGCACAGAATCGCCCTGGAGAATAGATGGAGACTCATCCCATCTATGATCACCCCGCAAAGCACTGGGAAAAAGAGAGTCTGCCCCTTGCGAGAATTTTGACTCACCACCCCCAACAACCCTCGCCTGCCTGCTTCTTTCAACAGCTGCCGAATCTAACACTGCCCAGACAAAGCAACTTCAGCAAGTGGTTGCCGCACTGAAGGACAAGGCAGACCCGGCCTCGTTGAACGCACTCAAGGATATTCTCGGCGTCTCGTCGTCGACCCTCTTCCACCGCATCAATGACGCCGGTGACAATCTGACAAAGGCCACCAAACCCTCGTCCGACACGACTCCTGCCGACAGCGCCGCCTCCACACCGGCCGCATCCCCAGCGCCATCCAAACAGGCTACGACTGCTGCTGCTCCAGCGTCGCCAGCACCCAAGCAGTCCGCTGCTGCTGTTGCTGCTGTTGCTGCTGCTCCCGTGGTCGACAAGACCCCGGCATCGCCCGCGCCTGCGCCGGCAGCTGCTGCCCCGGCCGCCGCCGCCGCTGTGGCCTCGCCAACTCCTTCCGCTGCGGGTGCTGCAGCAGCAGAGCCCACTCGCGAAATCGTCCTGGTCAAGGGCTCGACCGGCCTTGGGTTTAACATTGTCGGTGGCAGTGAACAGCGTGCCAACATTTACGTGTCAAAGATTCTCAGCGGCGGTGTTGCCGACCGTGACGGCCGACTCCGTCGTGGCGATGAAATTTTGAAGGTCAACGACACGGTCGTGTTGAGCATGTCACACGAGGGCGCTGCCTCCGTTCTCAAGCAGTCGTCGGGCGAGGTCCGCTTGTCTGTCCGCTTCAACCCCACGTTTGAAAAGTATCTGCAGACGCTCGACGAAAACGCCAGCAAGAAACTCAGCGTAGGCACTCTCGCTGCTGCTGCTCCCGGTGCTGCTGCCGCAGCCTCTGAGCAGAGCAACACGGCTCCTTCGACCCCTGCAAAGACCAGCATTTCGTCTGCTGGCGCGGCCGCCTCGCCGCTCGTCACCTCGGGCGGTCCCAAGAGCTTCCACGTCCGTGCCCTGTTCGAGTTTATTCCCGACCCGAAGGAGTGCCCCGGCAAGGCGCTGTCGTTCAAGCCTGGCGACATTCTCTTTGTTAGCAACGCGAACGATGACGAGTGGTGGGAGGCTCGCATGGAGGCCGATCAGGCGCAGGTGGGTCTGATCCCTTCGCGCGCCCGACACGAGCGTCGCGAGCGAGGCAAGAGCAAGAACGTCAAGTTTGACGGCCCGCTTAGCTCGACGCTCACCCCTGCAGAGGAAGCCGAAATTGCCGCCAAGTTCCATGGCAAGGACAAGGACGGTCGCGGCTCGATGCGGATGGTCAAGAAGCTCTCCATCTTTGGCAAGAAGAGCCGAGGGGAAGACTCGCCTGCCGCGTCTCGCTCTGGCTCGACCGACGCCACCAAAGACAATAGCAAATTCCCCGCGGTGCCCACCTACGAGATTGTCACGCTCGACTCGTCCACGACCGACTTTAAGCGACCACTGGTCATTCTCGGCCCCGTCAAGGACCTCATCTACGAGCGTCTCTTGCAAGAGGAGCCAGACCTGTACGCCCCGTGCGTGCCTCACACCACTCGCCCTCCGCGCCCGGACGAGGAGAACGGACGCGAGTACTTTTTCGTCACTCGCGAGCAGATGGAGAAGGACATGAAGGAGGAAAAGTTTATGGAGGCTGGCCAGTTCAAGCAAAACCTGTACGGCACCTCGATCGACGCTGTGCGAACCGTCATCCAACAAAAGAAGCATTGCATTGTCGACGTGAGCGCATCCGCCGTCGAAACGCTTCGCGCCAACAAGCTCAAGCCCGTGGTCATCTTTTTGAAGGTGACCTCGGCCGACTCCATCATCAAGCTCAACCCCAGCATGCCCGTCGAGACAGCCACAAAGGTGTTTGACACTGCACAAAAGCTGGAGGCGACCAGCCGTCAACACTTTACCGACGTGGTCAAGGCTGATGTTCTTGATGAGGCTGTTGCCGCTGTTCGGCAAGCGGTCACCAAGAGCAGCGCCACCAAGACCTGGGTTGCTGCCAACCGCCCGTTGCCTTAAAACGTGGCTGGGGGGTCGACAGAAGTGTGTGGGGGAGGGGTGGATGCTCGCCTCGACTACTTGGCATTATTTTGGTTGTCTGTGATTACGCTTGGTTTTGTGTTTTTTTTTGTTTTTGTTTTTGTCGTTGGTGTTGTTGTCACTGTTTTTTGTTCCATGTCTGCCCATGGTTGTGAGCCAACAGAAGCGCCGCTGTACGCTATGACACGATCGGTGCTGTACTCGTTATTTTTGTCACTTTTTTTTTTAAAACACAATTTGCATTCCCTTTTCAGCAGTGGACTGCGATGATCGAAACTATGGTGGTGTATTGGATGGAAAAACGGAGTATGATGGTTCAAAACACACACACACACACACACCAGCAAATCATGGGCTGCTGGGGTCATTGTACAAGTTCAAAACATCAGAAGGCAAACCGAACGAAGGATAAATGGGAGAGAAAGGCGAGTTTGGGGCTAGTTGTTTCATTGTTTGACGAGACATCGTTGCGATGAGCAGCGAGCCATGCTTTTGATTGGAATTAGTTGCTTGTTCTGGTGGCGGGAACTTTGCTTTGGGGCGAGACAGAATCCGAGGACTGCTGGTAATACTGCTGGAGCAATTGTTGCTGCTGAAGGTGCTGCTGAAGATGTTGCTGAAGGAGCTGCTGCTGGTACATTGCTGCGTAGGTCTGCGGCTGCAGTGACATGTACGGGTAGGGGAAGGACGCAAACCCAGTCTGTTGAGCAAGCTGAAGCTGCTCGGATTGGAGTTGCTGCTGCTGCTGGGCGACGGCAAAGGACAGGGCGCTCAAATCCACAGTGCCAGCTGCGGCATACTCGGCAGGGGGCGATTCCACCTCGTCGACAGGCAACGGCGGCGAGCTCGCCTGGTCGCTGGGAGCTTCAGCGTCACCCGAATGGGGATTTTGCTTGCCCCAGGCGCAGCGCAGCTGTCGGCCGTGCAGGCTGGTGGCATGCGCGGTGGCGATGGCAGTGGCAGCGCTTTCATGAGAGGTGAAGCGCACAAACGCAAACATCTTGTCCATGTTCAGCCACACGTTGGTGATCGGTCCAAACACCATGAACAAGCGGCGCAAGTACACCTCGTTGATGGAGTAGGGCAGGTTGCCAACGTAGATGGTCGTGTTGCTGGCGGGTGCGGACGACGCGGCAGCCTCGTAGGCGGCGGGGGACGCAAGCACCGAGCCAAACAGCGGCACTGCCGAGCCGGATGATGCAACGGCGCCATTCGCGAAACCCGAGCCGTTATGAAAGCTGGTGCTTCCATTGGAGTGGAGACGCGCAGCCCCGCTGTTCGAGTCATCCTGCCGCCGAGGGCCGCGACCATGGGTGACTGCGTGTTGTTGCGGAGGCGACGGTTGCGCCACTGCGGGCGCGGATCGTCGCACGGCCCAACTGGTGCGCACAGCTCGTCCGCCAATGACCAAGCCTTGCACAGACTTGAGCACGCTATCCGGGTCGTCGGTGGCCTCGATGTGGACAAACCCAAACCCGCGCGACTGGCCCGTGCGCGGATCGAGCATGACAGTCGCTTCGGTGACGGTGACAAAGGGCGAAAAGGCTTGCTGCAGCGTGACGGACGTGACGTCCATCGGCAGGTCGCCCACAAAAATGGACTTGAAGTTGGTCGTTTCGGTCAAGCTCGGCGTGCCGTTCACACTGCCGCCATTGTGACCAGCGGACGCGCCACCATTGCTAAGTTGGTGCTGGAGCGGCGGCTGCTGCTGGTGTTGCTGCTGGGCCTGTCGCGGTGGCCTCGATCCAGTGTTTCCTTGACCTCCAGCGGGGCTAGTATAGCCCGTCGCGTTGTGGTGGGCGAGTCCGTTGGCATGGCCGCCAAACACGGGCATGGTCGGAGTTCCGAGCGCCATCTGTGAAAACTGCTGCATCATCATCTGCTGTTGCTGGTGCTGTTGCATCTGGAACTGGTGTCGCTTGTGGTGCGACCAACCCACACGGATGGGCTGTCCGCCCAGCAGTGCGCCATTCAAAGAGCCGACGGCAAGAGTGGCGCTTTGGTGATCGCCAAATTCAATGAAGGCAAAACTGTTGCCATTTTGCTGTTGCAAAGCAAATGCAAAGGCAAACCGTGAGTGAACGTGAGTGAGAGAAGAGACCGCCTCGCAAGACCCCAAGCAGGCATGCAACGAGTCAAAAAAGCAACCTGCAAACCAACAACAACAAACGGACAAAAAACAAAACCCCTTACCGAAAACTGTTGGCAGTGCTTGATCGGTCCCACGGTCGAGAAAAACTCTGTCAATGCGCTTGATGTTACTGTTGGTGCAATGCTTCCGACGTAGCTGGAGCGTACAAAACAGAGGGTTGGGTGAGAATTGTCACAGACAACAAACAGCGATCGGGCGAAAAACTAGACTTACACGGTGGTCAGCCCGGGATGGTGACTCAGAGACGCTTGGTTTTGGAGTGCAGCGTACTGCGCCATTGCATACGAATTCTGCTGCTGCATGAGCTGCTGAGGTTGGAGGTGCGGAGACAGCAGACCGGTTGCCGGCATTGCCTGCGGGAAGAGCAGCCCAGCGGCAGCGAGCTGAGCGGCGGCAGCGGCAGTGGCAGCATTGACGGCCAGAGTAGTGGCGGCAGCAGCAGCAGCAGCGGCAGCGGCAGCAGAAGCCGGGTCGGGCGAGGCGAGAATTTGCGGCGAATCGGGACCCGATTCCGCTGTCGTTGTGGTTGTCGTTGTCGTTGTTGTTGTTGTTGGGCTTCCTGCTCGTCCCTGTGATGGGGTTGCGGCCACGACGGGGGCAGGGCTTGACGCTACAGTATCAGTACTCATTGACGTGCCTTTGTCTTGACGCTGTGTCTTTGCAAGTTGAACAAGTGCGCGCTAAAATCCAAAAAATCCAAAAAAAAAATCGTACGAGTAGTCAGTTGCACCGCTCGTTGTTTTGTGCGGTTGTTTGATCGTTTTCAGCTCGCACAGCGGCGGCGTTTAAGCATGTCCGCAATGCGCTCAGAAAAGGTGAAGAATGACAATGGCGCGGTCTTCCCACACCGAGCGTCAAAGTAGAGAGAGAGAGAGAGCGAGAAAGCGCAGAATCAAAGGGGGTTGGCGCGACCCCATTTTTGGGCTTCAGTTCATCAGGCAACCCACGTTCAACAAAAGCACGTTGGGGGGTCGCCTGCCCTCGTTTCCAACAGAGGCGCTCAAGTTGGCGCTGAATCATGCACACACACACACACCGCATCGCAACACAGTCGCAATAGTGCAACACAGAAGAGGAGGGCGTTGGTTTTGTCGGAGATCATTGTTCCATTCAGGAATGTTTTCGGATTTTGAAAAAATCCAACAAAAACAAAAAACCAAAAAAAAAAAAAAAAAAAAGCAACGACACTTTGCGCCGATCGGCTTCAGAAGCAAATGCGATGCGTTCAAGGAGCGCATGCGAACAGTGTGCTTTGGATACAGGCGGCAAGCGATGCTAGAGGGAAGGGGAAGGGAAGGGGAGGGAAAGGGCGGGAAAACACAGCGCGTGGAGCCTGAAAGAGAACAAAACCGCACGAATGATTTCGCATCGAGTGAATCACGAACCAAAAGAGAAAAAGGGCAGGGCCAACAGACAAGGCCAAATAAGCTGAATAACTGAACAAAGGAGTGAATTCAGAAAGACAAGAAATGAAAAGGAAAGAAAGTAGAAAAACGAACGAAAAGGCCTGAGGATTCGGAATTTCAATGAATGAAATGGAAAAAAAAAAACTGACACCAGACGACCACCAATTTGACCACCAATTTGACCCCCAATTTCGAACTCAGTTTTGAGCTCAGTTTGAGCCAAGTCGAAAGCAGCTCAAAAGGGACCAGCCGTGTGTGTGGGCAGAGCAACGATGGGGCGGTTTCCCCTCGCTCTCTCTCTCTCTCTCTCTCTCAACCCCTCATTCATTCATTCAAAACCTTCGCCAAGATGGATCACCGATTTGATGACTGATGACTGATTTGATGCGTCGATTCAGAATAAATAATAAATAATCAATAATAATAAATAATAATCGAAAGCGATCAATGGGAAATTATTCAAATAAGACAAAAAAAATGATGAAAACAATCATTGCGTTTGTGCCACACGACCAGCGACGACACGAAATTCGCACAGCATCACCAGCGGACCCCCCCCCCCGCCGTTACATGCCACCTGGTGCGGATGCAAGGGGAAGATGAAGAGGAAGACAAGGCCGAGAAATGCGAGCAAGGTGAGGAAGGACAAAAATATCGAGATAACCGCGAATGAGCGCCCAAAAAAAAAAAAAAAAAAAAAAAAAAAAAAAAAAAAAGAAAAAAAAAAGCCCCCACACACAAATGCTGTTTTTGAAACAGCTGTGGTGGCATGTGGGAAAAGCGAAAACCCAAGCCACCAAAACGCTGGTGGGGCGGGGAGGCTTTGATTGCTCATTGAGCAGTGCGGAGCAATTTTCAACGGAATGCAGGGGAAGAGACACGAGAGACGACGAGGGAAGTGGGAGAGAGCGTGGGTTGAGCTAGAAACAGACCAGATCTGCTGTAAATTGGCACTGCGGTAATCCACACTGATGAAGGCAAGAAAAGAAAAAAAAGAAGAAAAAAGAAGAGAGGATGATTGAGACTAGAATTGGGACTGAAACAAAACCCACAACTGAGCGGAGGTGCTGACCGACAAAGCCGAAGTGGGCAATTTTTTTTTTTTTTTTTTTTTTTTTGTTGAGCGTTGCCGAGCAGCGCGATCGGTTGAAGAGAGAAACAGAGAGAGATTGGTGGTAGCAACTGAATCTCCGCTTGGATGTCCAAAAAGAACCCCGAATTCAATTGACAGAGAGGGGACAATTATCAACAACAAACAAACAAAAACAACAAACAAAAGAACCAAAATAAATACAAAAAAAAAGAATTAAAAAAAATTACAAAAAAAAGAATGCAATCAATCAACAAACATTGCGATCGCCAAATCAACATCGACGAGCTCAACGAATGGATGCACGCGACATGAGGCACACACGAAGCGCGGTGCAAAAGTCGAAACGCAAGAAGGGGGGTTGTGTCGAACAACAGACAAAAAGACAAAAGAATGGCGGGAAACAAAAAAAAAAAAAAAAAAAAAGCCACGCTCCATTGTAAAATGAAAGGGAAAAACACAAAAAAGCGTGTTTTCACACTCTCTTCCACACTCTCGGCTTGTCAAAGCGCAAGTCGCACTGGAAGGGGGGGGGTGTTGCACATTCCCCCACTCGACCACTCGAAGCATGGGACGACGATGATGAAACGATGTCACCGCTGAAAAGCCAGTAACAACGACGAGAGAGCGAGAGAACCCTCCCACAAAAGCCAATTGAAAGCAGCGTGCTCACCTGATGTCGTGTCTGATGTCGTGTGAAAACAAACGAGAAGAGACAAAAGGAAAGAAGAGTGGCGGGTTTTGTATGGGACAAAGAGTGAATCATCAGCACGAGGAAAACAGGGGAGAAGTGGGAGAAGAAGCTGTGGGAGAGGGAGCAGAATGATTTGATCACGATGCAAAAAACAACAACAAGGGATGGGGGAGGAGGGGGCGTTTGGACGGAGAGTGGCTTGCAATGTCGAATCATCAGCATGAGGAAAAAAAAATGAGGGAAGAAGTGGGAGCATCAGTGGAGCAGAATGGCTGCAAGTGTGTGTTCAAAGTGCTCAGCACACGATGCAACAACTGACGGGATGGGAGGAGGGGGCGTTCGGATGCGCCGATCAAAACGGATGGAGAGCGACTTGCAAACGACCTCTGCCTTCATTCGAGACTTGGGTGAAGCACGTATCAAGCACATGGAAGAAGGGATACTCACAGTCGTGAGCCGGGGCATGTTGGTTTGCACCAGTGTCTCGTATTGCAGCGAACAGATTTTCAAGAACAAAACTCTTTGCCGAACACACAAAACAGCTCGGAATGAAGCTCAATCGTTGTGTAGCATTGTCGCTCGTAGTACGCTGCATGTTGTGATGTGGTCATCTTGCGCCCGGCCAGGGAAGAGAATCCGAACTTGGCCAAAAAGTCGTGTCGCCGTCTTTTCCCAAACTGATCCTGTATCGACTGTGGTCCACAGCTGCTCCTCCCACGAGCTCGATTCCGTGCCATCCGGGATCCACATACATGCTCCTTAATATACCAATGCGCCCTCCACCCTTCTGGCAGAAATCAAACACGCGAGATCGTTTGGAATTGCCAAATCGTCATTGGTTCAGGAGCTACTCCCAGTCCCGCCGCTTTCACGACTGACTGGCCATATGCGGAGATGTTGCCGAGACCTGTGGAAGACGCAGAAAATACAACAATAGGGACTTGCCATTTTCCGCCAGTCGTTCTTTGTCTTTGCTCATTCAAGCCATGTCCTCGCAATCCGCAGTGTGGACAGACGAGCGCGTTTCGCCCGCGCTGACCGTCGTTGGAGCTGCCTCAGGCATGGTAAAACCCAAACTGAACGAGACAAAGTCCCAATGCCAGTTCAAGATGAACAATTCTAACAGAAGCACTCGATTGCAAATTGTTGGCATCATTGCAGACGGTCTTCCCGCTCAGTTTGGTCGCGCTGAACGCGTTTGCGCTGCGCGTGCTGCGGCTGTCGAGCGCCCAGCGAGCCGCACCTGTGGTCGGCGCAGCGTGTGTTGGCGTCGCGGGGCTTGCTGCGTCTGCCGCGACGCTGTACACACCGCCAATGCTGCTGCGCGCGGTTTCGCCCGAAAGCAGCAGCAGCAGCAGCAGCAGCAAGACCGCCAAGACTGGCAGCCGATCGCTGCTCGAGTTTGAGCCTGCTGCATGGACATTCTATGCGTGTGCATCCGTCGTGTTCATGAGAGCCGTCACGCGCACTGGGTTTGCGTCCGTGCTGCCAAGCGATCTGTGCAAGCCTGGCGCCTTCCACCGAAACTCGATTCCAGCCACCGCCGAGTACGCGACAAACACTGAGCGTGCATGGATTACTGCGCAAGGCAAAAAGCACGGCTGCCACAGCTGCGGATCGCGCCACGATTACTACATTGCTGATCATCAGCCACCCCAGTTCATGATGCCCAGCTTGCCCGCCGGTACAAAGCAGCGCTTTTATCCACAATGCTCGGCATGCTCGGGTATGCAGATGATTGCTGGTCGCACACGCCAGCGGGTGCTCAAGTTCCCACACCCAACGGCTTTGCTGCGAGCGGGCAATCTGTGGCTTCCGTGGCCGCTCTTGCGGCCCTATGTCAGCCCAGAAATCGATCTCGCCGCCTCTCAGGGTCGCATCCGTGCACTCTCGATTGTTTCTGAGACTGCCGCATCGGCAGGCACCCCACCGTCGGCGACTGCTGGAGCGTGGCTGGCCGTGCTCGACACCACCGCCTTTTTGATCCAACAACGCATCAAACTCCTCGAGCAGTTCCAAGCCCGCCTGCAACCATGCACTAGTTCGTCCAAAGAGCTGAGCACGTATCGTGCCATCCTTGAAAAGCGCCAAAAGTCTGGAGGAGCCCTTACTGGCCCACAACAACAGCAGCCGGTTCTCGCGTCTGATGCGTCGTTGTTGGCTCGTGCACAATGGTACTGGAGCTCGATTAGCAACAGATGGTCGCATCCGTTCACGGCGCAGCAGCGCGTAGACTTCCGAGTTGTCATTGCCCAGCAGGAGGCGGCTGCGTTCCGTGCTTTGGCTGCCAGAGTGGCTCACGACCGATCCGTCCTTGCTGCCAAAGCATGAGCAAGCTGTGCGAAACAGTTACAAAATAAAAGAAGAGTTGGATGCAATCATGATTTGTGGGTTGAAGAGAAAGGCGCGTGGAGCGCGAGCGCGACCATTTTGAAAACAATGCCAATGCATTGACAACGTAAAATGAAGTAGCACACCAAACTACAAAACAAGGCAGGTCTCACAATCACAACAAAACAAAACAAAAGAAAAAAAAATACAAACAACCAGGAGCGTCTGCACCAGCTAAAAGCAAACTTCACCGAAAAATTCAAAACAGCAAAGTCGCGAGAGCGGGGTGTCAAACAGAGATGAGAGTGGAGGAACAAGCATCCTCGTTGAAAAAAAAAAGCCCACCAGCAGCAGAGGATTGAAAAACAAAGAAACAAAAAAAGCAAACAAAAAAGAGAACATGAACAGTACTCATGCGACGGACGAGTTCCACTCATGCTCCAGCTTCTGCTTGAGCAATACAAAGAATGCATCTTGCTTTTCCTTGACACGCTGGCGCTCAGCTTGATGAGCAGCCTTCAGCATTTGCTTGCGCTCGTTGTGGTAGCGGGCGACGTCCGTCTGCTCCTTGGAAATGGCCTCGCGAAGCTTTTGGGCCTGCATCTTTTGGAATCGATCGAGCTTTTGCGTCTCTTCGTCGATAAAGCTGGAGCGGAAGGTGTCAAACTGCTCCTTGTCCTTTTTGGTCGACAGCTTGAGCGTCTTGTCCATATCGACACTGCCAGATCGCGAGTGACCCGCGGGACGTTCGTTCAAGCTGCTGCTGCCGCCGCTACCCATCGGGTCAGCCATGGACGGCGGCCGTTGGTGGTCGTACGCGCCGCTGAGCGTTCGCTGGTATCGTTTTCGGATGTCGTCTTCGCTCTTTTTGAGAATCTGCTTGTGGTACTTTTGCTTGCTGAGCTGCTCTTTGAGAAGTTCCTCTTCCTGTTTTTCGTGAATGGCCAGCAGCTGCGACCACTCGATGCGATGCTGCAGGGCTTGGTTGTTCTCGGTCAAGTTGTGCTGCGCTGTGAGCTGGGTCATGAGCAGGTCGTGTTCCATGCTCTGCTGATCGAGCTTGATCTGGATGCGCACGGACGAGTGCGCGTGCAGCATGTCTTTCTCGAGCTGGGCGTGCTCTTGGACGATCGTGTCGAGCTTTTGTTTTTGCTCGAGCGACAGCTGGTTCATTCGGGCCTCGTACATTTCGCCAAGCTGGCGTTGGAACTGCATCTCCTTCTCGGTCTGCATTCGGGCCAGATCGTCCTTTTGTCGCTTTTGGAGCTCCTTCTTGTCGTTCTTGTCTACGCCCGCAGCTTCGTCCTTTTGGCGGGACTCGAGCACCTTCATTTCGGCCTTGAGCTTGTCCTTGTGCTCCTTGAGGAGTTTCTTTTCGTCGTCCTTGAGGCGCTCGCTCAGCTTCTTCTTCTCGTTCTGGAAGGACTTTTGCAGCGACTCGACCAAGTCTCGCTGCTCCTTGCGCATGCGCTCCAATTCGGCCTCTTGGCTCTTGACTGTCGTCTCGTAGTCGCGCGCCTGGCCCTTGCGCAGCGTGTCGAGGTCGTTGGACTGCTGCTTGATCAAGACTTTCTCGGCCTTGTGCTGCTTCTCCTTGTTCAGTCGCAGCTCCTTCATCTGGCTGCGCACCAGCTGGCGCTCCTGCTGAGGTGCCTCCAGCGTGTCGCGAACCAACAAGTGCCGCGGGCGCAAAGTTTCGCGCGCCTTTTGCATCGTGGCGCCCTGCTTTTTGGCCTCTTGCAGTGCCTTCTTTTGGGTCTCCTTCTCGGTCAGCAGCCGGGCGCTTTCCTGACCGTTGGCCGTTCGTTCCTGGCAGCGCCGCAAGAGGACAAAGTGAGGAACGTTGTTGAACGAACGATAGCAACGCAAAGCATCCGCCCTTCTTACCGTTTCAATCTTGCGATCAATATCTGCCAAGTTCTCCATGAGATCCGCCAAATCAATCTCGCGAACCTTGTCCTTGCTGCGACCGACCAGCTCTGCAATGACAGTTGTGGCAGCCTTTTCGTTGTTCTTGATGAACGAATGCTATCAGGAGGAGCGAACAAAGCAGGCCAAAGTGATGTTAGTGGTGCGAGAGAGAATGAAATACCCGAAATCTCCCAAAGCTCCCAAAATAAAAAAAAACCAGTACCTGCAACAGCTGATGTGCCGACCATCGCTGAGCAGCATCAGGCTGAAGACACTTTGCTAGGAACTCTCGGAAATCGCCAGACCTGTCACATGCACGGTCAGAACAACAAACAACCACAACAAAACAAGCCAAAAGAAAACACAGCGTCACGCACCAATGAGGGGCTTCAAGAGTCGGCGGGTCGGCTTGTGGAATGTGGAACAAGGCGCTCATGGCATGCATCTGAAAGTGGGGAGGCTTGAGCTGCGCAAATTCGATGCATGTGATGCCGAGCGACCAAATGTCTACTGCTGCGTCGTAAAATCCAGATTCCATTGCCGTGATAAGCTCGGGCGCCATCCAATAAGGTGTGCCAACAAAAGTGTTGGCCTTGCTCACGCCAGGCTTGAGCTGTGTGGACGCGCCGAAATCAATCAGCTTGACGACGCCATCTTCGCGCAGCAGAATGTTGCCTCCCTTGATGTCGCGGTGTATTTTGCTGGTGCCATGCATGTAATCCAGGGCGCGAAGTGTTTGTGCGCAAATCGAGCCAATCTCGGACTCGCTCAGCGGGACCTTGAAGACTTCAAGAATGTCGACGCCCGAACCGGCACAAAACTCCATTACAATATAAATGTACTCGTTCTTGAGATATGTCCCAAAGTACTTGATAATGTTTTCATGCTGGCAGTTTGCCATAAACTTGATTTCGCGGACGACATCGTCCCAGTCTTCCTCTGCCTTGGCGCCAATAATGAGCATCTTTTTGATGGCCACGACTTCGTCGGTACGAGAGTCTCGCGCCTGTCACAAAGAGAGAGAGAGAGAGAGAGAGAGAGAGAGAGAGAGAGAGAGAGAGAGAGCAGCATCAAGTGAGGAAACACGATTTGTGCAGCAAGATGCGTGAAAAGCGAAAACGACAGCACGAGACTGTACCTGGAAGACAGAGCCGGTGCTGCCATGTCCAATTTCCTTGTAATCCACAAAAACAACCTCCGGGTCGACATCCGCCGTTATGTAGCCCTCGAGGCTGGCTAGCAAGTTTGCGACCGTCTTGGATTCCTTTTGCGGCTTCTTGCTCTTCTTCTCCTTGCGGTGTTTGGTGGGCTGCGGCGCTGGGGCTGCCGAGGTGGACGCGCCCTCCGCCGCCGAGGCGACGTCGTTACTCGGCAATGAGTCTGTGCTCACTTCCATGCTAGGTTGGCGGTCGGTGGGAGGAGTGGGCGAGCGATTGAGATCGGGAGTGGAAGATCTTTGGTGCAGGGCCTGAGGATGTCTTGCTTGGACAGAAGCCGCCCTCTACCACTGAAGCACGGCAGGACGAGAAGCGCTGATGATCGGTCGAATGCTGCGTCAGACCCCAAGGTAAGAGAGGACGGAGCGCGCGGTTTCGTTTCGGACTTGTTGTGTTGTTTCTGATTGCGCGGTTTTTTTTTGATTCTTCCGCTTCCAACACGACGCCAAAACCAAACAAGACCGAAAAAAGAGAATTCTTCTCTACAAGCAAGCAGGTTGGCAACAGCGAGTGAGTATGAAGTGGTGGTGGTGGTGTTTGTCGAACAAGGAGCAAACCGCAATTTTCAATTCAAAAGCAGTTCAGTTCAGGCTGGGATCGACTGCGCAGCCACCAGCCACACCACTCTGCTACGAAACCGACACACAGACAAGAGCAAAGCAGGATCCCCTCCAATAAAGCAGCCGTCCATCCATCCACCCATCCACCCCTCTGTCATTCATAGAAGGAGAGATGCTTTGAACAATTCGACCTTTTTTTTTTTTTTTTTTTTTTTTGCAATGCGCAATCCTGCTGCTCAATAAAGCCCGTCGCTGAGGGGGTCTGTTGACCAAAGTAGCAGTAGTCTGCACTGAATGGCGATGATTGCGCATCACGAAGCCCCCCTCCCGCATCCCCCAGAAGGCAGAGCAGAGAATGAGCAGACGGGACAGAGGCAAAGAGACAAAGGGAGACGAACGAAAAAAAAAAAAGAAAAAAAAAAGAAGGTTGCGTCAACAAGTGAGTTGCTGTGTGTAGATGGGGAAAGCGAGGGGACGATGAGCAGACAAGGTAAGGCAAGGCAAAGGTGAGACTCAAACAACCTTGTACAGCCGAAGGGAGGGAGAGCGAGAGTGAAGCAGAGAGACTGAATGAAAAAGAAAAAAAAAGAAAAAAAAAGAAGCTTCAAAAAATAATAAAATAATAGTCAATCCAAAAGGGCGATGAGTGAGATTGATGATGCTGATGATGATGATGATGATGAATGGATGATGGATGATCGACCCACTGCAAACCCCCACTGAACAGAAGCACAAACAGGTAGAGCAAACGCCGGGGTTGCGAAATGCAGTGGAGCTGAGAACAAGAGAGAGAAAGCGCGAATGCAAATGCAATGACAAACGATCAGACTCGAAAAAAAAAAATCACTTTGAAAAAAAAAAATAAAAAAAGGGGAAAAGTGATCTTTGAAAGACGGGTTGCTGTGGAGGGGAGGTTGGGGGGGGGGGGAAAGGGCAGCAGCGACTGCGAGAGAGAGAGAGAGAGAGAAAGAGGATGGGATAAAGTACAATGGATGAGAATGATGAAGATGATGAGGAGTGGGACGAAAGGAAGTGGAAAAGAAAAAAAAAAAAAAAAAAAAAAAAAGAAACGACAATGACGCTCATACAAAAAAAAAAAAATAAAACAAAAAATAATAATAATAATCATACAGTATTGTGCGTCCGAAGATGAAAACTGCAATATGAGTTTGGAAATAGAAACGGACGATTTGGTTTTTAAACATTTGAAATGGTACAAATTTGTAGTGCGATTTTGGACAAAATGCTATCGATTTGGTTTTTAAAAACACGAAACTGTCCAAACTGCGCCCGAGTTGGTTTTTGCCAAGATAAGGTCTGGTTTTTTTGGCGCGAACAATTTGGAATAAAAGCTTGAAACTGAAAATTCGCACTCTTGGTTGGGAAATTGCCACTTCATGTTTGGGATTTGCAAACACCCCCAGACGAACCTGCTCTGTAGTCATGCCCAAACGTCAAAACGAGGCGCAGGCCACCGAATCACGCGCGCCGCGGAAGTGTGTCCATCTAGAAGACCCCGAACGGAAGCGGATCATCGACTTGGCTGTTGATCGCGCCTTGCCTCTCGTCACGGTCGCCAGCATGCTCCATCACCCCATCAGCACTGTGTCCAACGTAGTGCAACGTTTCAAGGAGCGCGGAGAGTGGACGTCACATCACGTCAATCCCAAGGGATGCCGTGTGCTCACAGCGGAGCATCTCCATTTTCTCGAGATGGAGCTCGACAAGAACGTCAATGTGACCAATCAAGAGCTCCAGGACCTCCTCCTGACGACATTTGGCATTCAAGTGCATCAAGCAACCATCGGGCGTGCCATGTTACGACGGGGCTTCACGTTCAAGCGCGTGTACGAGCAGGTCAAGGTGAAAAATTCGCCTGAAATCAAAGCCCAACGCAAGAAATGGGCTGAGCTCTTCGAGGCTTTTCAGACACCTGTGGATCGCTTGTTCTACGTGGACGAGAGTGGATTTAATGCGAATCAGCATCGAACGCGAGGTCGATCTCGCAAGGGCGCGCGCGCAATCGTTCAAGTTGGCAGTATTCGTGCAGCGAATTTCACGCTCATTGCAGCGATCGGAATGAGCGGCGTTGTGTTGAGTGAGATCCAGCTCGGAGGCGTGACTGGCCATGTCTTTGCGGAGGCGATGACGAAGCTGTTTGACACGCTCGAGGCAAAAAAAGCCGTCGACACCGCCGCGTCTGGCATCGCTGTGGATGAGCTCCCAGTGCAACAGCTTGAGCCCGACCTCCCCCTTACAAACGTGGTTGAGGACAGTGTGTCGACCAGTAATGCAGTTCACGTGCCACTGCTGACGTCCGGTGCAGCGTCCTCGTCCCAACCACCTGCCCCTCCCGCTGCAGTTGTGTCGTCTGCTGCGTCTGCAGCTGGCGGGTCAGCTCCTGCTTCCACCTCTGCTTCCACCTCTGCTTCCACCTCTGCTTCCACCTCTGCTTCCACCTCTGCTTCCACCTCTGCTTCGACGACCAGAAAGAAGCGCCGTTCTCGTCGCAGGATTCTCGACGATGATGACAACGATGATGGCGGCGTCTACGTTCCACCACACGAAGAACTCATTCAAGACGAGATTGATGAGCACAATGACAATACTTCCTATTTCGTACCGAGCGAAGAGCACCCAGGTGTCAGCTTTCCGGGACATCATCGCTACAAAGCCTGGATCGTGGACAACGCGCGCATTCACAAGACACCCGAAGTGCGCGAGCTTTTTGCACGCCGCGGGTATGGGATGCTCTTTCTGCCTCCGTACTCATCGTTCTTGAACCCGATCGAGTATGTCTTCAACCAAGTGAAGGCTGCGTTCAAGCGCTCCCGGCTGGAACCGAACGAAACAATCTCAAGTCGCATTACCGCTGCTGTTGGTACCGTGACGGCAACGCATTGCCAAAACACTATCACGCATGTTCAGCTCAAGTACTTTAATGCTTGTCACGAGATGCACGATGTGCTAGATTAGTTGGCGTGCTCTCCTTCGAAAGCTCCCTCAATGGCGTCCGCTCGCCTGTTTTGGGTGGTCGTTTGATGTGATCGTCTGTGTCATGTTACATGTATAAATACTGTATTGTTATTCATCCATTTCAAATCATGTTTATTCTGCAACAAGCATCTGCCAAAGACTAGTCGATGGCTTTCAGGAGAAAACCCCACAGTCCGGTCGGCCTTGCGTCCTTTCTTCACTCTACCCGTAAACCTTCATAAAACAAACATAGTTGAGCCTATTTATACATGTATGTGCATGTATTGAGCGTATGCAAGCCGGAGCGCTCCACTGTGGAGTGCACATTGCGTTGTCATTGGTGCTGCAACTGGCTGGCCGTTAGGAATGATCGGAACAATCCACTCGGCATACGATTGCCACCAATTTAATGACATTATGATAAACTATGCAAATGCTAATGCTTACACCGAAATAGCTCGTGAGTACGAGCCCTGGGTGGTAAAGACGTCGCTGTGGAAGTAATCCATCAAAACTGTAGTTCGAGCTCTTCCCGAGCCCTAGCTTTCCCGCTACTCACCCCAGCATCTAATGACCTTCCAAGATACATGATTCAATTCAAATACTTCCTGAAGTTGTTGGTAATTCTAACATCTCAAGTGGGTTAATTCGAAATACAAGCTTGCAAAAACCAACTCGTTGAAAACCAAATCGAACGCACAAAAACCAATTACGGAAAAAACCATTTTTCTCGCACTTTCAACCAAGCTACTTTTTCCCAATCCGATTTTCCTCACTTCGTCCGCTCTAATTTCCAACCTCGCCTGCTGTGATTTCGACCTCGACTGCATAATACTGTATTACCAAAAAATAAAAAATAAAAAATAATAATAATAAAAAAAGGAGACTGCGTTGCTCAGAAATGGAAAGCGTCGGATTTTCGCATCAAGCAAAAAGTAAACATGCAGTAAATGTGCTGTACTGATGTTTTGCCTTCTGATCTTCTGATCTTGTTCAGTCCTTCAAAAAATCACTGCGAATTGAATTTTGTAGGACACACCAAACATGAGCTACTTTGGCCAGCCGCAAGGGTATGGTGCTCCGATGCAGCCCAACATGATGCAGTACGGCATGATGCCGCAACAGCAACAGCAGCCCCAGCAGCAGCAACAGCAACAACAGCAGCCGCCGTATGGAGCTGGCTTTCCAGTCATGCCGGGCCAACAAGCTCCGGGCCAACAAGGCTTCCCTCAGCAGCCCCAGCAGCAGCCGTTCTACCACCCGCAACAAATGCAGTACCAGCAGCAGATGCAGTACCAGCAGCAGATGCAGTTCCAACAGCAGCAGCAGCAGCAGCAGCAGCAGTTTGGCTATGCCGTCGGTGGACACCCCGCTCCCGGTGCTGCTGCGCCTGCGCCTGGAATGACCCCCAAGCAGTTTGAAGAGCAGCAGCGCAAGATGGCCGAGCAGCAGCGCAAGATGGCCGAGCAGGAGGAGCGGGCACGCAAGCAGCGCCAGTTTGACGCCCAGCGCGACAAGCTCAGCGCAATGAGCCTCCAGCCAAGCACCAACCCACTCGATGGCATGATGAGTGGCGCAGCAGCCATGCCGAGCTTTTCTGCCACGTCGCTGCTGGGCAGCATTGCCACTCCGCCAAGGCTCATGGCCAATGGAAGCACGCACGCTACGCCCAAGACGCATCATCCTCCACCAGCCCAAGCGCCCTTCTCCTCGTCGTCATCCGCAGCAGGAGGCTTCGTGTCACAGGGCTACTCTAGCAGTCCCGCGTCCATGTCCCATGGTCCGATGGACGACGACTTTGGCGATTTCGCCTCAAGCACCAATTCTGCTGCTGCTCGGGCATCGTTTGCACCGCATCATCAACCTCAGCAGCAGCACCTTCAACCTCGTCCTGCCCCTCCTGCTCCTGCTGCTACCAAGCCGTCCTTTGACGATGACAACGACTTTGCGGACTTTGCTCAAGCGACTCCAGGCCGTCCCACCACTTTCACCTCCACTTCCACCTCCACTGCCACGTTTGGCGGAGCGAGCTCTCCAGCAGCTCCCACGTTTGCGGCAGGTGCATCGTTAGGGATGACGCCAACAGCCCCAGCTGCGCCGGCAGTTCAAGTAGACCAGTTGATTGCTCAGTCGCTTGCGTTCGATTCCAGCGCAACAACAGCCAAGCGCTTTGAAAAAACGACCTACAAGCCTCCTGTCATCAAGGTGGTGGCCCAGAAGCACGAAGATGCTCGCGGTGCTGTCAACTGGTCGTCCATGAGCGAGTCCCTGGGCGGAATGTTTGAAGACCAACAACTTGCCGAGGAGCGGCGCCTCGAGGAGCAAAAACGGCTGGAAGAACAGCAGCGGCTTGTCGAGCAGCAGCAACTTCAGCTAAAGCAACAGCAACAGCAGCAACAGCAACAGCAGCAGCAGCAGCAGCAGCAGCAACAGCAACGGCAACAACAGCAGCAACTGCAACAGCAGCAGCAGCAGCAACAGCACCAACAACAACAAGAGCAGCCAGCGAATGGCGCCAACAGCTTTCCCCCCGTGTTCTTTGAACTCTTTGCTCGACTGTCTAGCGACTGTCTAGCGACAGCAATGGCGCTGCAGTGTCAGGCGCAACAGCTTTGCCGCAGTTTTTGAAAGCTGGCTTGAGCGAGACATTTGGGCTCTGAGTGACACAACTCATTCAGGTAGCCTGAATCAAATGCAGTTCTTTGTTGCGCTTGGCCTTATTGCGCTGGCCCAGGCCGGTCTCTCTGTCGATATGCCCACGTTGCTCTCGAGCCCGACCATTCTGGTCCCAAAATTTGCGGACGACGCTCCTTCTGCTGCCGCTCCTCCCACGGCTGCGGCTGCGACGAGTCCTGTTTCGACACTGACCTCCGCAACGCATACTGCACCTGCACCTGCGGCGGCCGACGAGGATGATTTCGCAGATTTCAGTGCCGCCCCTTCCCTTGCGCCCGCCGCTGCCCCTGCCCTCCATGCCACTGCTGCCCCTTCACTTGTGCCCGCTGCTGCCACTGCTGCTACCGCCACAGCCGCAACAGCTATCGATCCCAACGACAAGTACAGCATTTTCCGAATGGACGCAGAACTTGCGTCCGCCGCCACCCCTTCGGTTGATGTGCAGGCCAAGGCCGCCGCAGCAGTCGTCGATCCCAACGACAAGTACGGCGTCTTCCGAATGGACACAGACTCGTCAGCTTCTCAGGTGGTTGGCGCCTCGCCGCAAATTCCCGGCCCGACATCCGCGCTTCTGGATGGTGCCGTACCCGCTGCGACGACCTTCCCCCATGCCGCAGCTGCGATCACCATTAAGGACCACCACCACGCCGACGACGATGACGATTTCGGTTCGTTTGCCACCGGTGTGCTCCCTTCACAGCCCCCGTCGTTCGTTCCCCCATCTCAAGCTGTTGCTGCGACACCCCTGCACTCGTCATTCGGTTCTGCTACGACCCCGGCCATGTCCGCTTCGGCATCTTCTGCCACTGGTGGTGCCTCACTGTTTGAGATGAGCAATCCTTTTGGTTCTTCATCGGCGGCTCCTCCAACTTCCGGATCTGCAGACAAGTACAGCGCCTTTGCAATGTTTGATTCTCCGGCTCCTGCTGCGATGTCTCCATCTGCAGCAGCGTCTGTCACGGCGACCGGATCGCCTGTTCCTACCCAGGCGAGTGCGCCTGCGGTTTCAGCAACTGCACCTGCGACGTTGCTCAACGACGACATTTTTGGGAGCCACGCGTCCTTTTCCAATTCCGCGTCCTATTCCCAACCAAACGGCGTGGCTGCAGCTCCTGCGACGACTGTTGCTGCGACCAATGGTCCCTCGAACGTCACCGCCTCTCCCAATCCGCTGAATGAGGCGACTTTGGCAGATCTCGAATCGCACACCCGTGCTGGCCCCGTGTTTCTCGCCCCAACGGACGTGCTTTCCTCGTCCTCTCTGGGATATGTCGTTGGAAAGGGCTCGGTGAGCAGCTCGGTGGTGACAGAAATGGGCAGCAGTGCTTACGAGCCAAGCAATGCACCCTTGGCCATCTCGCGCGTCGATTTGTTCGGCCAGTCGGTGCACCAGCCTGTGCAGCCGTTCTCGGCAACGCATCCGAGCTCGGTCGGTCGCGTTGAAGCTTCCGGACGCTCGTCGTTGGCCGGTGTGGACGGAGTGGCCTCCAACGGCGGCGACAACAGCAATCTCGGCGACGAGGAGGAGGCTGCGACGAGCGACGATGGCTTTGCCGATTTTCAAGGCATTCCTTCGTGGTCTTCTGCGCCCACCGCCTTGCCCGCTGTGGTGCTCAACTCCCCAGCCCAGGCTACCACGACCCCTCCCAATCCGTTTGCAGCAACGCACGACCCGTTTGCCGCCTCGGATCCGTTTGGAATCCATGCAACCCAAGCATCGTCGTCCCCTGCGATGGCAGCACACTTCCAGCAGCCGTTCGAGGTCGATTTTGCGAGCCTCTCGACCAACACACTGCATGTCGCTCCTGTGGGACACGCTCCCAATCAAGCAGTCGACTTTGCTGCTGCGAGTGGGTTTTCATCGGCCGTTCCAGGCGCATCCGCCGACGATGATGACGATTTTGGTACATTTGCTACTTCGTCTCAGGCCGCGCCTTCAGCCATGGGCACGACTTTGATCCAATCCACCAGCAGCGTCGCAAAGGTTGACCACGGTGCCGCTGATGCACACGACGATGAATTTGGCGATTTCGCTCAATCTAATGCCACTCCGTCCGCGACAGGGGCCGCCTCAAAGTTCGGCCAGCCTTCCGGTCTTTCGGCGAACGAGTTGTTTGCATCCAGCTGGAATGCCTTTGAAACCAAATCCATCAGCACCACATCCTCGACAGCCGAACGATCCACATTCGCGTCTGCTCCCATTCCTCCTCCTGCTGCTGCTGCCGCTGCTACTACTGCTGCTGCGGCAGTGAGCTCTGCTCCTCCCACCTGGTCAGTTGCCGCGCCCGTTCCGGGACTGCCACAGAGTGAAGACCGGTACGCCTTGTTCCACGAGTTGCAGTCTACTGAACTTCGTCCCGAGGACGATGCACAGGCGATTGTCCCGGCCGGCCAATCTGCAGGCGCGCCGAGCGAGCACGCGGCTGCTGCTTCTGGCATGAACGCCATCGCGCGAGAGTGGATTCGGGTGCTCGAAGCCAGCAAAGATTGCCTCACTCGGGCCGTCAGCTCGTTGAATGCACTCATTCGACAGGGTTTTACGCACAGCCCTGCAGCGGTCAAAGAGGCGTTTGCTTCGCCAGCCATGCGATCTTTCGTGACTGGTAAGTGGGCTCGCCTGTCGGGTTGGTGAAACGTTGATATTTGTTGGTTGTTTTGTTTTTGGGAGGAGATACTCAACCCAATTTTGCATCACGTATAGACACTCTGGAAATTTATCGCGTCGTGCTGCGTTTGAAGGCCGCTACCCCCGCGCAGGTTCAAGATTCAACAGGTCGCACAGTGTCCACCTTTGCGGCGCTGGAGCAACTCAAGGCGGATTTGATGCGGATTCTTGCCGCACAAATGTCGGATTTCTCCATTTCCGTAAGAGCCCTTTTGCGCTGATTTGTTTATTGTTTCTCTGTCGCGTTCTGATCTTGAAGAGCTCATGCCAATGTGACGTCTGGTCTGCTGCACCTTCATTTTTTTTTTTTTTTGCTGGTTTGTTTTTGGGATTGACGTTAGATTGACGCGGAATCTCTGCGTCGCAGCCCCGATCCACAACAAGGATGTGGCCTGTGCTGTGGGACTTTGACAACGGCGCCTGCCAAACCGGCGAGCTCGTCGACAGCGGCTGTTTGGAGTACCAACGTGATTGCCTGGGGCGGAAAGCAATATCATGCTCCGTGCGCCAACCTTTGGCTCAACCAGGTCGATGGCGTTCTACCAGCTCTGACATTTGTTTAAAGAAACTTGCCGCGTTGCAGAATAAATTAAAGCTGTAATTTTCTTGCACATTTGAAAACAAACTTTTGCAGTCTCTGATCACCCATTCCGTTGCTCTTCCAAAACCAAGGTGTGTTGCTCATTGCGAGCGCTTTGAGCTACAATATCCAATATCAGGCAATCAAACGGGGGGAAAAACGAGACAAGCCAAATGAGTTGAAAATCAGTGCAGGACGACACGGCATTTACTCACCTCCGCGTAGTGCCGTCCGCACCCCAATGGCAGCAGACGCCGAATGATCGACGACCGCGGGCTCGGCGGGCATGGCATCAGAACTTGGCTCGTTAAAATCATCGTCGAGCTCGTTTTCGAGGTGGTAGCGCTGCATGAACAGCGCGACATCGCTCACAATAACCAAGCCTTCGGGCTCAATCACGTACGAAAAGGACGCACACGGAGCGATGGGCGACTTGGCGATTTTAACCGTGCGCAATTCGTCCGTCACATACTCGACCACCAGGCGCGTGTTGACACAGTGCGACCAAGTGTTGCCGAGAGCCGCCGTGACCTGCGCTTCCACGTTCTCGACACCGTCTGTTTCTCGTTGGGCGCTCGATGCTCCGCCATAATTGTTGCCATCGAACGATGCACGCATGCTGACGCTAGTAGTGACTTGATTTGTGACCACGATCTGTTGCGTTGAGTGTGAGCCACAAGGAAGAAACAACAAATCAAACAAATCAAACAAATCAAACAAACAAATCAAACAAATCAAACAAGAAATGTGGTTGCAAAGCTCAACACTCAACAAAGCACATACCGGTATTGAAAAGGACTCTGCCAAGTATCTGAACACAAGCAAAGAGTCAACAACCATTAGTAACAAGGAAAACAGAACATCAAGAAGTACACATCGACATGACGACTTGCACGCACTTTAGGACGGATGCTACATTCGAAAGATACGCTGTACGCTGGACCATGCTCTTGGAATCATATTCCTTGCGCACGAGCGAAGCCACAGAGTCGAGGATGACCAGCTTTGCGCCCCGCTCAACGATTGCTTGATCCAACGTGTCCAGTCTGCCCAACGAAAGCCAGTTCAAAAGGATTAACAAGCAGGTTGCGCAGTGTCAGCACCGAAAACTCTGCCACCATCAAAAAGCTTGATTGGTAGTACCTGGCCATCAAGCTCTCGCAGGTTGCTTCCGAACAGATCAAAATGCGATTCGCAAGCTTGTCGACTGCTTCAGCATTGTCATAGACATGCGGATATCTGGCGACGGCCATCTCAACAAGCCTGATACAATAGCCACAGCAATGGTTGGAACCAAACGACAAACTCTTTCTTTCAAGCCCAAACTCCTACAAACCTGGTGGCACTGAACGCGGACTCTGTGTCAATGTAGACGACACCGCCTCCCAAGCCACCATGTTCGAGTGGAAGCGACGCTTGCACTGCCAGCATCATGCAAAATTGCGTTTTGCCGCAACCTGATGGACCGACAAGCTAAAGCAAAAAAAAAAAAAAGCAAAAAAAAAGCCGAGCATTTAGCACACAAGTGAGTAGCAAACCGTGGATTGCACTCGACACCAAAACGAACGCTTTGCTCTACCTCTGTGATGGTAGAAAACGCAAACCCTCCTCGCAATGCTGCATCGAGCTGCGCAAGAGACGTTGGCAGGAACGTTGATTCTGTCTTGCGAGAAATGAGCATGTCGCTCACCTGCCAACAACAACAGCCCAGCACAAAACATGCAAACACAAATGTGCATCTCGTTAGACAAGGATGAGCATAGAACCAATGGTTTTCCAAGTGCGCGTTTGCATGTTTCACTTCAGGGTTTCAAGTTTGGACGTGAGTCGCATCGCAGCTCATGCCCCAATGTGTCCGTCTCTCGGCAAAACGCCCCCCCCCCAACAACACCGTTTTCTGACTGACGACTTGTTTGCAAAGCGACTCACGCGTCGGGGCACTGGCGCGGTTGCGTGCGAAACAGCCGCAATCATTGCGTCAAACGCGCTTCGAGGCAGGTCCAGCGACTGGAAGAGCTCGAACGGCGTGCGGCAGAGCACATCCTACAACAAGACCAACGACGCACTAGTGAGTGAGTGTGTCGAGGCGACGTCAAACAAGCAGACACGAGCAAGAGCGAAGGCGGCTCGTAAAAAAAAAAAAAAAAAAAGGCGGGAAAACCAAGAACGACTGAGAGTGCATGCAATCCGCTCGCAAAGCATTGCGTCGAAGGGTTCTCAACGCACAGCCTCAGAAGCACAGTGATGCCGCGTTGACACGATGGATGTGGAGTGGAGCGATGCGGTGTTGCGGACGACTCACTTTGCAAGTACGCAAGGAATGACGCTCAAGGACTGGCTGCGTCGCCGGGTCGATGGCAGTGATGCGCTGCAGGCGACGCGAGCTGAGCGGCATTTATGAATGAATAGTAGATCTTGGCACAGAGAGACAATTGTATTCAAGGCGGTGCACGGGTGGTTGTTTGAAGAGTGAAGAGTGAAGAATTGAATGGAAATCGAAAATGCAAAAAGTGAAACAACGACTGAAACACTCCAACATGAAACAAAGCACCAGCAATATACATAAACATTGAGCTGACAAGGCGCAAAGTCGCAATCCGTGTCGGTCTGGGTTGACTTTGGTTCGTAAGGTACGTGTACGCCCAAGCCTGACTGCGTTTGGAATTCACCCCTGAAGGAGATGTGAATTTGTGGCCAGGTCCTGCGCGCGGGAGAGCTAAACCCTACTAGCACTGCAGGTACTTCCCCAGCAGCGCCGCAGCGCCATGTTGCTCCAAGTCGAAGCCCCCCCCCCGTTCACCATTCCAGACATTCGCGCTTGCTGTCATCGTCAAGTCCATCCTGCGATCGGCGCCGTCTCTTGATGCCCTGATTGCAGCCATCATGCTCGACGGGTGAACCACGATTCCTAGCTTCCATTTCGACGATATCCAACACTTGATTCATCACCTTGTCCAACTCAAGATCTTCGGCAGAGTCACAAAGCTCGGTCTCGCAGCAGATGCTCTCCAAAGCTGACTCAGATGATGGCAACGCATCAGACTCCAGAGACTCTAGTGCAGCAAGGAACGAAGCATCTTCGGCCGTCAGAAGCAAGTATGGATCATCCTCATCTATTTCGCCGCCAGCGATCCCATCACGGGAACGACCCTCCGATGCACCGCTGGCTTGAAGCACATCGTTGGGCAACACAGAAGTAGCCGAGCGAAAACCGCGGCAGTCGGGGTCGTAGCACCGCTGTGACCATGTGCGAGAGGACAGGTCCACCACGTAGTAAACGCCATTCGACTTGTGCTCGCGATCAATGTTATGACACCATCGATTTCCCGAAATGTCATATAAGAGACACATGCCTACAAACCAAAAGGTGCGGCGCGAGGGCGGGGCGACGGGGGGAGGGAGAGAAAGGCGGCACGAGGTCATGAGCAACCAATGCGAGTTTAGCATTGCCGCATTCTCACGGAAACACTGGTACTTACTTTCCGAAAAGTGAATCCAACGGCGCAATCGAGCAGGTGGCCCCATCGCTGACGCAGCGTTCAGAATGAAAGCGTCGACTGCAGGGTAGGGTGAACTCGCCTCACCCTGGCTCGTTCTGACGTTAGCCCCGCCGACGGCTTCAACAAACACAATCGAGCAACGTGAGCTGCGCGCATGTACGCGAAAACAAAAAGTAATCACACGAGCAAGATGTCGTACTTGAGCTGGTGGCAGCGGTGAACGCTTTTCGACGTGGAGCCGCTGAAGCCCCTGGCCAGCTGAGGATGCGCACGCCTTGTGAAAAGGGAACGTTACAAATCAAGGAATCAAGAAAGACGGCATGGTGAAAGGCTCGCTCGCTTGCAGACCAAACCTTTTCAGGCAAAGTTGCAGTCAAACTGGCAGGCGTGCTGGGAACGACCATGGGCAATCCCGTCTCTGAACTTTTGGGAATGCGCGAGTTTTGCTCGGAAGCGACGAGGCGCACGCGTTTCCCTTGTTTGGAAGAGAGGTAAATGCGAAAGTTGCGATTCCGCGAATACACACCTGGGTACGAGGGCACAAAGTCAGTCACAAAAATCAATCCAGTCAGGACGCCAAAACAAAAGAGTAGCTGTCACACATCCACCATTCAACGGCCACTCTCTTGCCTCGGTCAACCATCAGCGTGCGAGTTCCTTTATCAGTGCAGGCAAATAGCACTTCAACCTCATCGGCTCCGATGCCGACCTCCGCGGGCATCGTTGATGGATCCGTCCGCCAGCACTCTGCTTGACCGGCCAGCCATTCAACGAAAAGACCTGATTGTCGGGTGCATGAATGAACGATCAGCTTGTTCTGTTTTTTTTTTTGAAAAGAGGAGGACACTTACCAACATGCTCGTTGCTCTGAAAGGCTGCACCGGGCAAATTTACAATTAAATGTCTCGAAAACTTTGCTTGCGTCGTAGAATCAAGATCCAAAATCTGATCTCGCGCAACCGTGATTGAAAACCATTTCCGAAACGCATATTGGATTGCCTGAACGCATTGGAGGAATACGTGAAGGTCAGCTCTGCGCAATCGAGCACGCCATTCTAGGACGCGACAGCACTCACTCGAACGAGTACATCAATCGCCTTGCACCCGTCTAAAGTCGGGTTGAGGGAGGCATTAAACTCGACGTCAAAGTACGCCTTGCAGACGCAGCCTGCAATGCGGAACAATGGTACGATTGTCATGAGATGGATTGCGCTCATTGATTGGCAAGGCCCCCCCCGCCAACGCGTTTTATATTCTTACCATCTGGAATGACTTCATAGTAGTGCCGTTGATCCGACAGAAGCTGACTGTGTTGCGCAGCCAGCAAAGTCAGCGACCTGAATGACAAAATCCCCCAGCTGCACAAAATGCCGGTACCTGTAAACGTGCCAAAATTCGGCATAGGAAGTCACCAGAAACTTGCGCCGGCCCGCAGTAAAGTTTGGTGCCTCGAATGCAAATACATGCACCTTGTGGAAGCACGAGCCGGCAAACGCAAACGCCATGTCCTGTTTCGGGAAGATGCGCCACACATGAAACAGCGATGCGCTGTGGCGGCGTTCCCATATTCGCACAGATGCAAGTATTCACAGATTAAATTTTGGGACAAACCCCTCTTGCGTTAGCTCCCATGTCGTAAGTCACAGGATGATGCTGCAGGTGGGGGTGGAGAGCCCTGTTGGTTTTGGCGGGAAACACACCGAATCGTGGTCATCACTCACCTGAAGGGATTCTCGGCTGGAAGGTGCGTCCGAGCAAGCCGAGCTGCGACTGCTCTGTAGTGATCAAGCTTTTGCTTCCATAGGCTGTGCAGTCGAGTGCGGACGAAGGTTCAGGGAGCGTGAGTTCGCACGAGGATGCATCTCCCGCCAAAAAAAAAAAAAAAGAAAGAAAAAGAAACAACCAACACTCACAGCTCGCGGCGCCGGGCTTGAACGAGCCGCTTGGTCGGTACATCAAAGCGCTCGGTTGTGGACGCAGTGGGCGCGTCCAAAGTGGCCTCGGCGTGGATGGCAGGAATGGCGGCTGCGTGTCCAACAATTGAATCAGAATTCATGTCGGGACCAGTTTCACGCTGCGTAGCCGCATTGCTGCTGGACGCGGAAGTGAGTGTGGGCTTTGGACGATAGAACGACATGATTCGCTCGCCCTGAGTGGGGTGCGGGTGGAGAAGTGACCAAGCAGTGCCTCCCCCAAACACGCCAATCCAACAATTCTCGACTGAGCTGCTCTGAGCTCTGTTTTTTCACGAGTAGATGGCAGTCGACATTCGGTTTGTCACTCCAGACGAAACCTTGAGCCATCGCCCCCTCATCCCGGAGCTGGCATGATGGATACATTTTGTGAATGGCTCTACGAGGAGGATTCCTCGTGGTCGAGGGAGATGCGGCGGCGGCGCGTTCAGACTCGAGAAAAAGGGCAAATTTCTCAGACTTTCGCTTTTGTTTCTTGTTTGTTTGATTCCTTTCTTGAACGTTTCCCAATACTCATCATCCGAACTCGTCGTTGTCCTCGGTTGAGGGCTTTCATTTCATATTTAGTCTCAGTCTTCATGTGTTGAATCTCGCGTGCGTTTCGGGTACCCCCTCTCCCCACTCCTGGGGCTCTGCGCCCTGTGATTGAGAGATGACCCTGTGCTTGTGCTTTGACTAAGAGAATGACGATGGAGAACGGGATTGGTGGGCGCGTGAACGAGAAGCGATGCGAGCAAACTGACTGAGAGCAAACGTTGTAATGCAGGCAGTTATGGATGATATGAACGAGCTCCAGCGCGAGCTGTATGACAAAGTCAAGAATGCGACTGAAGGGCTCGAGTAAGAGAAACCCCGACGTTATTGGAACAATGTGAGTGTGCGCATGCTGACGAATCGGAACCAGTCTGAATGAGGAACGGATTGACGATGTTGAAGCTCAAGCGATAGCTGAAGCACTCAAGGTGAACACGCTGACTTGGCTCAAGTATGTCACATCACTTTGTACTGATGCATTTGGAGTCAGTGGGTGGCGTCAACAGCGGGTAGGCATGGTACTCACTGAAGGAAGGGATACGAACAGGTTGAAAGAAAATCAGATTGGATCTTGGAGCGCAAGCCATTGCTGAGGCGCTCAAGGTGAACACAACGCTGACTTATCTCAAGTAAGTCTCCCACTTTGACTGGTGTATGTGAGTGGGTGAATACAGCAGAGAGCATTTAGAGTGCTCACCGATGGAGGGGATGTGGACAGTCTGGACGGCAATCAGATCGGCGATGCCGGAGCGAAGGTGCTTGCTGAGGCACTCAAAGGGCACACGACGCTGACTGGCCTAGGGTAAGGCATCTCACATTGAGTCTTGCATGCGAGTGGGTGATTTCAGTAGAGTGCAGCAAGGGCGCTCACTGGTGGAGGGAATGGACAGCTTGAACAAAAGTCAGATCGGCGAAGTTGGAGCTCAGGCCATTGGTGAGGCACTCAAGGTGAACTCGACGCTGACTATGCTCGAGTAAGGCATCTCAAATTTACTGATGCATTTGCGTTGGTGATTTCAACATAGCTTAGAATGCTCACCCATGGAGGGGATGTGGACAGTCTGGACGCCAATCAAATCGGCGATGCTGGAGCGCAGGCCATTGCCGAGGCACTCAAAGTGAATACGACGCTGACTTGGCTCAAGTTAGTCTCCCACTTTGACTGGTGTATGTGAGTGGGTGAATACAGCAGAGAGCATTTAGAGTGCTCACCGATGGAGGGGATGTGGACAGTCTGGACGGCAATCAGATTGGCGACGCTGGAGCGCAGGCGATTGCTCAGGCACTCAAGGTGAACTCAACACTGAAGAAGCTCTTGTAAGTTGCTGTGATTTCGGAGCGTATTCTGAACACCGACTGATTGCGAGGATGGTCAGTCTGGACGCCAATCAGATTGGCGATGCTGGAGCGCAGGCCATTGGCGAGGCACTCAAAGTGAACAAAAGGCTGATCGACCTCAGGTAAGGCACCTCGCTTTCATTGATGCTTGTTAGTGAGCGATCCAGCAGAGAGCATTTAGAGTGCTCACCGATGGAGGGGATGGACAGTCTGGACGGCAATCAGATCGGCGATGCTGGAGCGAAGGTGTTTGGTGAGGCACTCAAGGTGAACTCGACGCTGACTATGCTCGAGTAAGGCATCTCAAATTTACTGATGCATTTGCGTTGGTGATTTCAACATAGCTTAGAATGCTCACCCATGGAGGGGATGTGGACAGTCTGGACGCCAATCAAATCGGCGATGCTGGAGCGCAGGCGATTGCTCAGGCACTCAAGGTGAACTCAACACTGAAGAAGCTCTTGTAAGTTGCTGTGATTTCAGAGCGTATTCTGAACACCGACTGATTGCGGGGATGGACAGTCTGGACGCCAATCAGATTGGCGATGCTGGAGCGCAGGCCATTGGCGAGGCACTCAAAGTGAACAAAAGGCTGATCGACCTCAGGTAAGGCACCTCGCTTTCATTGATGCTTGTTAGTGAGCAATTCAGCAGATAGCATTCAGAGTGCTCACCGATGATGGAAGGGATGTGGACAGGCTGAGTGAGAATCACATTGGCGACGCTGGAGCGAACACGATTGCTGCAGCACTCAAAGTTAACACGACGTTGACTTGGCTCAAGTAAGTCTCCCACTGTGACTGGTGTATGTGAGTGGGTGAATACAGCAGAGAGCATTTAGAGTGCTCACCGATGGAGGGGATGTGGACAGTCTGGGTGAGAATCAGATTGGCAATGTTGGAGCGGAGGCGATTGCCGAGGCACTCAAAGTGAACACGACGCTGACTGTGCTAGGGTAAGGCACCTCACGTCGAGTCTTGCATGTGAGTGGGTGATTTCAGCAGAGTGCAGCAAGGGCGCTCACTGGTGAATCGAGTGGACAGTTTGCACACAAATGAGATTGGCGATGACGGAGCTTGCGCGCTTGCTGATGCACTCGAAGTGAACACGACGATGACTAAGCTCCTGTAAGCCGCTGTGCGCTTTGCTGGTATCGAAAACTGAGCCAGTCAGGTATACTTGCTATGTTGTCCATCCCCACTCATGCATTGCGACAGTCTAGACCGTAATTGCATGACCTACGGATGTTCCGCGCTTCTAGATGCACGCGAAGACAACTGCAGGCTGGAGCTTACGTAGGTGCTGTTTTGTGAACTTGAACATGAGAGCCTCTTCCCACGCAAGTGTTCCTCGAACCAATGGATGGCCGTGCTGACTGCCCACTAATTGTAATTGTTCGCTGCACAGCTTCGACGACCAGATTAATCCTCTGGCTTTCTTCAAACTTCCACGATTAGTAACTGCTGAAGACCTCCAGACCGTCTTCCTCCTGCTGACCAGCGGACTGCAGCTGGAGGATCAATCCGCATCTCTACCGGCACTTCCAGCTGAGATTGCCGCGCATATTATGGACGAAGCGCACTACTGGCAAGGCGTGCAGCATACCAAGCGATCACGGTTTTATGATGATTCCCCCGTGCTGAAAGTCACACTGCCTAAAAGGATTAGTGGAGGTTCGGTTCGTGTGAAGTCAATTCACGTGGCTCGTGGGATGGGATATCAGGGCTGCCGCCCCGAGGACGACTATTTTGATTTGATTTTCCGAGATGAGCAAGGTGTCATTCGGTACGAATGTGCGATATCCCCGACCGAGTTTTACGAGGGGAACCTCGAGTGTGCGACGATCCGGCCAGAGACTACTCCCATCCTCCGGGAAATGCGCGGGGGTTGGCAAGTTCAAGTTCGACCCAGCGAGAATGGAACTGTTCTGTTCGAGACGATTTATTTCGAATGAAACTAACGACAGATTTTCGCGGAAACCCCCCCTGTGCCGTCCGTGGGTTTTCCAGAGCCGTTTCAATTGTGCTGCTGTGTGGACGAACAACTTGTGAAGCAAAAAAGGCGTTGGTTCTGTTGTCAACATTGCAAAAGCTCTCGCATTGCTCTTATACGAAACTGGTGGGATGTTGTCAATGCAATTGATAAGAAGTTGACGCGGTGATCTCAGTTTTTTTTTTTCGATTTCTTGAGGCACCCGAAACCATTGCCCGAAAAGCCAGGCTTGCAGGCGCACGAGTAGTTTCCAGGAGTGTTTGTGCAGAAGGCATCACTGCTGCATGGGAACGGGATGCCATTGCACTCATTCGTACGATCCAACCGAATTTGTACACGTCTGGTTGCAGCCACCGTTCAAGGTGGTGCACTCGTTGATGTTGACGCACTGTTGCTATTTATAAATTCCAAAAACATTGACCAGCAGTCTCTGGCAAAGCACCAACAAACAGTATTCACAGCGGCCGGAGGGTCAGGTTGTCGACGGAAATGATTTCGCCGCGTTCAATGCTCGCCAGCCGAACGTGCAAGACACCGCGCGCCGGGCAGAGATGGAAGGTTCCTGGAAGCAAATCCTCGAGCGTCTTCACTTGCCGGGCAACAAGACCAGAGCTCGTCAGTACAACACGAGGGACGGATGAGGAATCGACGCCTGTAATGCGCGCAATGAACGGGCGGGGTGAGGCAGAAACCTGCAGCTGGAGCGAATGGTACGTCGGACGCTCGAGGGCAATCTGGACACCGCGATCAATCACAGAAGCCGCGTGCGGATGTACCAGAGCAACTGCGGCCGCCGGAGTGTTGACAGCCAAGCCTTGGGGCCAGACAGCCTCGACAGCCAAAATCGGCAATTCAGTGTTGCTCCAGGCCACACGCGACGGGGCCAGCGCGCTTTCATACAGATGAATGGGAATGACGGCGCCCACACGCTTGTACACGGGGTACTGACTCAAAGGGAACGGCAGGTCGCGGCCAGTCGTGCCGCCTTGATGGACGGCCGTCGGGTCAAACCAGTAGACCCACGAGTCGATTGCATTGTCGGAAGCATTGACTGCATTCCGCGGGAAGTTTACAGTATGGCTGGTCGTGTTGTCGACAATGGGTGACACGAAGAGGTCGCTCCCAAGCGAGTAGTCAAAGTTGACAATGTCAATGAGCTGATCCGTGTAAGGGCGCATGATGGATGAGCCCGATGCGTATGCCTGCGCGCCAAGCGAGAGCAGGTAGGGTGCAATCTCATAGTGGGCGTCCACAAACGTCCGGTAGATGTCTGTTGTCGAGTTATCCGTCGGATTGAATCCCCAAGGGCGGTGCTCGCCATCGCCACCGTTCTCCATCAGACCTGTGGGCAAGTGCCAAAGGATGTAATGATCGAAACACGAGCAACCCTCTCTCTTTCTCTCTCTCTCTCTCTCTCTCTCTCTCTCCACAGCCAAAACACTTTCGGTTCATCACCTCTCTTCCCGCACAAAAGCCGTACCAACAAAAGCGCCAAGCTGAGCCCAGCGTAGGAGCACTTGAATGGTACGGGCATTGTCCCCAAGCCGGTAGCCACCAATGTCCGAGCCGAACGACACGTAGTTGTTGGCAGCAGAGTAGATCATGTTCTTGAGAGCATCTTGCAGCCCTTCAAAAGTCGGGTCCTCGTCGCCCACCCAGCCAGAAAAGACAACGTCACGCGGGGCAAATCTCCAGTACACGTAATTCTCGTACGAGTCATACGGGCGGTTCATGCACAGCGTCACATTGCCGTTGACTTGGCGAGAGTATTCGAAAAAGTCCGTGTAGTACAAATTTGCGTACTCGCGCTCGGTAATAACGCCCTTGTGCGCAAGAATGCCACCTTCCAGCTCCACCTCAAGCAAGAAGGGATCCGTTCCTAGTCCGAAACAAGTGATCAAAGGAGGGAGAGGTGGTTGATGAGAGGAGAAGAGACGCAAATGGGTAATGCCAGTCATAGAAACAAACCGACAACCAAGCAAAACCAACAAACAAACAAAACCAGCAAACAAACAAAAAAACAAAACACAGGATGATTTCTCACCATCGTTCTTCCAGCCGTCGTAACCCTATGCCCCACAAGAAAAATTAGCCGCTTCTCCACGTCAGCAAGTACGGCACCACAGCAACGCTCCTTTCCCTACCTGCTTGAGTTGATTGTCCATCAGTGAATGATAGAACGCGACTGCATCCGGATTGGTATAGTCGATATACGCCGCATCGCCGTGCCAGTAGTGAATGATGGCGTCCTTTCCCGTCAACAGGTGCTTGAGAAGATAGCCGTGTTCTGACGTGTAGTTGTACAGCGGTGAAGTGACGGCGATCGTGGATGTGGCCCACAGAATGACCCGAACGCCCTGCGCGTGCATGCTATCGATCAAAGCCTGAGGATCTGGGTACTTTTTGGTATCCCACTCGAACGTCGTGTAGCTCGTTGCCCATCCAGAGTCAATGTCATAGCCACCTATTGAACGAGAGCAGCGACGTGACAAAAAAACAAACAAACAAAAAAACAAGCAGACAAACAAAACAAACAAGCAAACAAACAAAACAAACAAACACAACAGGAAATTTCAGCCAGTTTGCAACAGCATGTTATTGTGAAGAGCTGATCGGTTATTCTCAGCTGGTCGCCATATGGATTGAGGAGTGTCAGTTCATTGGGGGATCCAAGTCACCCACTCCGTACCAACGCGAATCTGGCGGTCCAGGTATTCTTGAACCAATTCAAGCGATGCATTCTGGCCAGCCGGGCCGCTTGCGAGCCAAACCCTGTGCAGTCCAACCAGTCACCATCATCCATACACACATACGCAGAGATATCAGTCAGTGGTGCATTTCACGGATTGAATCGCGATTGACGATACATGTATTTGAAGAGCGATCAAAAAGCGAGTTGCTGCCGCTGTTTTGATGGACGCGATGTTGACCACCTTCCCCCCCCCCAGCATTGCACGATGCACATCCATGCAACGGAGGGCGATGATAAAGTAGCAGCGCAAAATGCAATCCGGATGAGCGTCGCGCGTGCGGTCGTACCAATGCGAGTGAGCCCAGTCGGCGTACGGAGCGGCAGCGAGTTCAACCGGCGGGACGAGGAACAGGTCGCGCTGATGGTCACTTGAAACCGCCGCAGCGAGCGCCGGTCGTGACTGCGTATGGATGGCCGCCGATAGAGCGCACGTTGCTGCCAACGCAAGCACAATGCGGTGCAACAGTCGCAGCTGGCGATGCATTGCGCCACGTAATTAGGAGTGGAGCAAAATCAAAACAAGAATAAAAACGGAAACCATACAAACTCAGAAAAGAGACGACCAAAAGTAGAAGGAAGAATACAAAGATGACGAGAGAAAAACACAAGAAGAGAAAAGCAAAACGGCTTCAAAGCAAAGCGCACGCAGAACGAGAGGATGTCAAGTTCTGAGGAGTCTGGTCGTGCACACTGCGCACCGTCCGAAAGCGACCCTTCCAGCAAATACCAATCAATGAAACTGGAAACCAAAGCAGTCCTCTTTCAATCACTGGGATCCATCAAACTCCAAAAACAATCAAAAACAAAACCAACCAAAAACAAAGAAAAAAAAAAACCTGGAAAGGCATTTAATGATGGAGCAATACAGTAACATCAAGCGCTTTTGCATGCGTTTGTTTGGCTATTCGTCGTCGTCAGAGCCATAGCCGCCACCGCCGCGGATCTTGGAAGTGAGGACATCCTTGACGGCGTGCTTGGCACGGGGGTTTTCAACGAGTTGGCTTTCAACTGCACCGATTTGCTTGAATGCCCACTCGAGGTCTGTTTGACGCATGAGGGTGTGGAGTCGCCGATGAGAGGAGAGAGTGAGTGAGAGAGTGAGAGAGTGAGAGAGTGAGTGAGAGTGAGGCGAATGCGTCATGAAAAGCAAGAAACAAAAAACCCTACCGTTCGGAGTAGTAGTGTTGCCACCGAAAGGAGTGATGCCAACAACTTGCTTGACCATGTCGCCGTTGCGATAGACGAGGAAGGTCGGCAGGTTGGCGTCCGGGTAATTCTTGATGCAGTCGGTCGAGATGCTCTTGACAAACTTTGTCTGGGGGAACTTTTTGGCAAGGGTGCGCAGATGGTTGTTCACCAAGACGCATTGCTGGACACTGCACGCATTTTGGTGTGAGAAAGAAAGTGCGAATCGTGAGTGACTGAGCACGAAAAACAAGAGCATCCTCGACGCGTCCAAAACCAGCAGTTGCACAAACCTGTCCTTGTACAAGTGCAAGACGACCCAGACGTCCTTGCCGGCCTTGTTGACCTGGTCGACAAACTCGTGCGAGCCAATGTGGAGCAGATCGCCAAACTTTGCCCGTGATGCAGCAGCGCGGAGCTCGTTGATGCGCTGGTTTCTGCAGCAAGGACATGATCCAAAAAATACAACATCAAGTCAGTCAGAATATACTCTATCACGAGCATATGTTTAAGTCGTCTCTGCATTCCCTTTCCCCTCCCAATGTGATACCGGTAGTAAAAAAACAAAAAAAAAAAAAAAACCGCCAATACTAAAAGACAATAGCAATGTTTGTTTGGCTTTTTTTTTTTTTTTTTTTTTTTTTTTCCGCGAAAACTCATTGTCAGCCTTTTGGGGTTTTTGCCCGCGCCTGGCATCCACCGTCCTCAACAGGGCCACGTAGGGACATCGACGGCAACGATTTTTGTCAAGAAGCGCCAATGGGATGACTGCCCGCACCGGTAGGCGAGGATGACGGCCTCGTCCTCGTCGTCTTCGAGCTCGTCCAGCTCGTCGAGGGTTGCCTTGCTCAAGTCCTTCTTGCCAGAGGCCTTCTCGGCGATCGACTGCTCGACCATGGCAATAAAGTCCTCCTCAGTCATCTCTTGCTCGTCCTTGGACTTTTCCTTCTCGGGCAGGATGCCGTGGCGCCGCAGCGCGTCGTTCCATTCCGTGTCCGCGTTGGGGTCTTGCATTTGGGTTTTGTTTCAAACAACGAAAAAAAAAAGGACGAGTGGAGTTCAGTTCGTCCAAGCTTGGCATGTTCAATCGGTGACACTGGATGCAAACATGGTGCTTCTTCATCGCACAAGACGGGAGGGCTAGGGTTTGAAATCGAGGATTGACAACAACAACGCTCTGTCAAACATGTCAAACTTGTTTCAGCCGTTTCAGCCTTTTGCTTGCTTTTTGTTGCTTTCGATGGACAGCCCGTCGCGAGTGTTGCTCGTCCATCAAATTAACACAGGACTGAACGGTTTGACGTTCTTTTCCCCCTCCCCATTGCATTACTGCTTTCAGAACTCTTAGAAGGGCCACTCTTCATAAACCAAACCACACTTCACAATGCTGATCTTCAAGGACGTCATCTCTGGTGAGTTTGTCGCAGGAGCCCGATTTCAAACCTTGGATCAGCGTGAAAAATGCGCGAAATGTCAACACGTCGAGATCGACGCCAAGGAGCATTGAGGGGGCAGAGGGAAACGGCCTGAGAGTAGCGAGCGGGACAAAGGTTGCGTGGGTCGCAAAGTCACACGTGCGACCTGTTTCGCTCTCTGCAGCGTCCCAGCCGCTGCCGACCGGACCGCTCCCGCCGTAATCCGTTGGAGAACCATCCACTCTGTCGGATTGAGCGGGACAGGGGCGGCTTGGGGTCTGGGATGGTCGCTCAATCTGCAGTCAAAGTCGACACTTTGGAAATTTTGTCGTTTCTGAACATTTTGCTGACTTTTGTTTTTGTTTTTCTTGTTTCATTTCGGTTTTGTGTGACTTGCAGGCGACGAGGTTGCCTCTGACTCTTTCCCCCACAAGCTCGTTGACGACCTCTACTACGAGGTTGACGGCAAGGTAAAGCGGCTTTGTCCCCTCCCCCCCCTCGCACGACGCCCCCCTCTCAACGCCGCACAGACGAACGGAAAAGCGCGAACGCAAAAATCGCAGTGAAAAATGTGACGGAGCATCGACCGGCCTGCTCGACCACTGTCATGGCACAGCAAGATCCGTGCATGAACCGTTGAATACAGTGGAGTTGGCGGCTCTCTGATGAGGCACTGAGCTGAGCGGCACGACGAAGAGCGCCGCGTTGCCGGTCCAAGCAAAATCAGAACCCACGTGTGGTCGGTCTATTGGTCGCTCGATCTGGAGCTTGGACGTGGGCTGTTCTCGGCTTGCGATTGGAGCAGTTCCCGAGACAATCGCACAGATGACCCATCTCCGCCAACTCTCACCACTTGAAACACCGACTTGAACCTTCTCACTGACTTTTTTTTTCCTTCCGTTTTGTCTGATGTCTTTTTTTTGGTAGACCATCTCCGTCAAGGAGGGCATTGACGATTCGCTCATCGGTGGCAACGCCTCCGCTGAGGGTGAGGATGCCGATGATGGCGCTGCTGACGGCGTCAAGAGCGTCATCAACGTTGTCTACTCGCACCAGCTTGTTGAGACCAGCTTTGACAAGAAGTCGTACACTGCCTACATTAAGGGCTACATGAAGGCCATCAAGGCTCACCTCGAGAAGAACCAACCCGAGCGTGTTGATGTCTTCACCAAGGGCATGCCCGAGATTGTCAAGAAGATTCTTGGCAACTTTGACAACTACCAGTTCTTCACTGGCGCCTCGATGAACGTTGACGGCCTTGTTGTCCTCCTCAACTACCGCGAGGACGGTGTTACCCCTTACTTTATCATCTTCAAGGATGGTGTCATCCCCGAGAAGGTGTAAAAACCTCCCAATCAGCTTTTATTGTCTTAACCCACCCCCTTTGTTGTTTTTCGTCTTTTTTTCTTTGCTTAAGCCTCCATTTTTTTTTTCATGTTTCTCTCCTTTTTCTCTTTCTTGATATTGTTTTAATACATGGTTTTCATTTCTGCACAACTTTGTACTGTACAGTATCGGCTTCTCAGTCCATCATCTTCTCAATCTTCTCAAGCAGTCAAAATGCATCTTCGGCTTCAGCTTGCATTGGCATTGGCGCTGCTCGTTCTCGCACCGTCTGCGGCCCGCGCACAGGACCCCGACCACCCGGACTGGTGCGTTCCTGCGAGCATGGCCATCCAGTTCTCTGGCGCGTGGGACGACCAGGACATGTTCGACCGCAGCGTCATGCAGCTCGGCGGCGTCCGCGGCATTGCCTACGCGACCAGCTCCAGCGACCAGGTCCAGCTCCGCGTGTCCTGGACTGGCCAGCTCGGTGAGTTGTTGTTGTTGTTGTTGTTGTTGTTGTTGTTGTTGTCTTCACAGCATGCTCAAGCCAACTCTTCAGTTCGTGGTCGAGCCGAGGCCACGCACACAGAAGACTCGCTCCAAACTCGTTCTTGGATCTTTTTTCAATGACCACGACAAAGCAAGTCAAACCTCTTGTGTAGCGACTGACAATGGGTTGATATGATGTGCATGACAGGTTTCATCTTTGACGAGTACCTCATCTGGAACGCACGCACTGGAATCGTACGTCCATTGTCGTTATTCTCATCGTTTTGTCGCGCACCCGACAACACTGTTTTGTCGTTTGGTAACATCAAACCTCACTCGATTTTTGATAACTGTTGTCGCTGTGTCAACATGACAGGCTCAGCTCGCTGCTGTCGCGATGAGCACCACTCCCCTCTCGTCGCCGATCTGCTCGACGACCAGCGTCAAGCTCGACGCGCCGCCGACCTTCTGCTCCAACACCACGGGACAAACCCTCATGTACCAGGAGGACGTGCGCTATGGCTTGGCTTGGAGTGCCGAGCGCTACTTTGCCAATAGCAACAGCACTGGCAACATTCGCATCGACATTGTTCGTGACGCAAACGATGCCACCACCGCCTATCCGCTGATGCACATGTTCTACAGCGACGATCAACTCACCACCGTGATGATGGCCTTTAACAACTACCGGCCATTTGTACGTCGAGTCTCAATTGTTGTTGTTGTGGCGTTGTGGATGTGTGAAGCTCATTTTTTTTTTCGTTTTTTTTTTTCGGGTATGTTTGTTTGTTTGTCTTGTGTGCTGTTGTGCAGGTTGATCCCGACGTGTTCACCTTCCCTCCGAGCTGCGCCTCGGTCTCATCCATGCCCGAGCGCCCTAAAAATCTCCCTGCTGCCCCTTTTATGCCGCGTCTGTGATTGAGTTTTGTAGTTTTGGTTGTAAGCGGCTTTGGAAATGGTTGTAAGCGGCTTTGGAAAGAAATCCAGTTTACACGAAAAAAACGAACGCAACAAACAACAGAAAAAACAAAAGGACGAAGTATCACAAAGTCGGAGCGATCAAATCAGGACGAGTCACACATAAAAACAAAAAGTATGCTACAGTACAGGAAACGGAAAAACAAAAGACCTTTTGCCCCACAACTCCCAACACGAGTGTCATCTACGCAGACGCTTGAGACGAAGCCGGTGGCTCGGAGCCAGCAGCGGCTGAGGCCGCCGGCGTCGTTCCTAGACCACTGCTTGCGGAAGGGGTGGCAGGAGGCCGCAGTTCGGGCAGTGGGGTGTACGTGTGCGTAACAGCTTCAATGATGCCCTCGGCAGAGTGCTTGTACCGCGCGGCCTCGATGCATCGCAAGGTGGAGTTCCACTTGGTGTTGCACATGACGACATGTCGGAACTCGGACTTGATGCCAAACCAGCCGTCAATGGAGCTGGCCAGAGAAGTGTGCCACGAGCCGCGATGGATGATGCGGCAAATGAAATCTGCAAGGGCGGAGGGAGGAAGCACAACAAAGTGAGAGGGAGATGGAGGCTTTGACACAAACAAACAAACAAACAAACAAACAAACAAACAGGAAGAAAAAAAAAACCAATGCCTTGTCTGTACCTTCGTTGTTGACACACATCTGAAGCACCTCCTGACGAGTGTAGCCGAACAGTCGCTCCATCTCTTGGTTGACGTAGACGGACGCGCGCAACTCAATCACAACACCTTGGGCATCGGTGACGGGTTGAAACTCGATCTTGATGGCGGCAACTGGCCAGTCGTCCGCAATGCTGCGTTCGAGCGGGCTTTGCAGCGTCCATACCAATTCAAACGGGGTGATGGACTTGCCGATGGCGCCCAACAAGCTCTCGAGCAAGCAATTTGCGTAATCCTTTGGCATCACCAAGAACATGAGCGAGACCGGGAACCGCCTGCAAGAGAAAGAAGGGTGCGAAAATCATGGATTCGAGAGTTGGCGACACAATCAAAAACAAAAAACAAACCAAGTCAACAAAACAAAACCCCAAAACCCATGTCTTACATTTGATTCAAAATTTGCGTGCGATGCGACGCCTGTGCCAGCGCATTGGACGACATTTTGACGAGCCGGTTGGCAATCAAGTCGATGAGAATTGCAAGGAAGAGGATGTCCATCGGAGTACCAGAGCAGAACATTGCGCATGTGAGAGAGCCAAGTGACGCTGCTGGCGCGCTCGTCAACATGGTTGCAATGGTGGTGGTCCGTCCGTTGGTGTCCAGTTCTACAATGTCTGTTGTTTCGGGTGGCGGCATGAAGCGATGCGTCTGCATGGCTGTCGTTTCTTGCGTCGAAGCAAGGGCAAGTTGAAGTTGCGATGGTCTTGAGGTGTGAGAGTCTGGCAAAGCTACGTGCTGTAGCACGTTGAGCGGGGTTACAAACTCGGGTGCCTTGCTGTTCAGAGCGGCGAGGGAAGCCGAGGTGACCCGCGCCGTGCCATTGTGTGCTGCATTGACAGCTCCGAGCACGGATGCCGCCGCAGCAGATGGCGTGAGAGGGACGGCCGCATCACCGTTGACAACAAGCGGCAAAGCCCGACGCCCAAAGTTGGCAAGGTCCGTTGATGTGAGGGTTGACAGAGGCGTTTCCCCGCCGGCAGCGGCTGTCGAAGCGTCCGACTCATTCGCCGGCGTGGTGTCCACCCCCTCAGCTCTACCGCTGCTGCCAGATGTGTCCATGGCGACAGTGGTGCTGGCACCCGGATCGTCAGGACGCGGCGGCGAAAGCCCTTGCGTCGAGCTGGCAGGAGAGCGCTTGTTGATATTGACGTTGTTGCTGGGGATGGCGGCTGCGGACGAGCGGGTAGCGCCTGTCGAGGTGTCCATGTCGTGCGCGGTCGTACTGGCCGAATGCATGGGGGAGTCTCGAATTATTGGCAATGGAACTGCTGGCGATGTCTCAGCGAGGGAGTTTCGGTGGCTCTGGGAGTGTGGCGAGTCGGCCGAGTGGTGTGACGCCGCCGTTGACGTCGCTGATGGCGGTGGCGATGGAATGCGATGTTGCAACAGGCGCGGCGAGATTGGCACGGGGTTGTTGGGCGATGTAACCAGCTGTGTCGGTGGGACAGTCTGCGGCGAGAAGGTCGATGTGGTGACGCTGGCGAGGAGCGTGTCGATGGACATGAGCTCGCGCTTGTTGGGTGGAACAACAACGGCAGGGCGCGAAGACGACGTGGCTGCAGGGGCGGTGGTGCGAGCGGGATCGAGTTTGATTGTGTCCACCATGGATGCGTGCGAATGCGACGCGTGCTGGAGAGTGGCATTGCCGGGCGTTGCTGGGCCAGGCGTGGCAAGCATGGAAGGTGAGAATGCGTTAAAGGAAGGCGATGCCAGGCTGGATAGCGGGAAGGGACTTGGTTCGAGCAAGGACATTTTGCCCGTTGTGTCTTGACCAGAGTGATGATTGTTGTGCGACACGTCCATCGCCGCCATTTCGTCTGAATCCGAGTTGGAAGCAGCGGATCCGGTAGAGTCCGCTCCACCACCACCACCACCACCACCGCCACCACCAGCAGCAGCAGAACCGTCTTGGAAGGAAGCCCGCCCGTTCATCACTTGGAAGCTCATGGCGACGGCGGCACTAATTCCTGCAGCCGCCGTTCCAACATTTGTTGACGACGATGACGAGGATAACGTTCCTCTGCTCGCGGAGGTGGACGCGCGTTTACCAGCTCGCGCATTGGCGGCTCCCATGATTGGCACGACTGAGCCGGCGAGCGACGCGATTTCGCCGTCTGAGCCGCTGCTCCCGGCATTATTGTGCTTCATCATGAGATTCGCCGCCGCCGCCGTCGATGCGGAGGCAACGTCGGCGCTGTGCATTGCAGCAGCAGCGGCCGCCATCATTGCGAGCTGTCCCTCCGACGCCTGAGCTTGTGACGCTGGATCGTGGTAGACTGGCTCCATGGTCGCCGGGTTATACAGCCCAACGGCCGTGCCCAGGTCGTCGTGTCCATGATGACTATGATGCTGATGCTGATGCTGATGCGGGTGATGCGGATGGTGGTAGGCCTGGTGCGCCTGACTGGCTGCTGCTGCTGCGTTCTGGTGGTGATTCTGGTCCTTGTGATTACCGCCGCCCACTTTGCGCCCGCGTGGCTTGTGCTCGACGTCGATGCACTGGTCCTCACGCTTGAGGCGGATGCATCGCGTGCATGGCCGCGCAGTCTCGCAGGACGACTTGGCGCGGTTGCATGGAACACACGCTTTGCCAATCCGCGCCGAGCCGCCATTGTTCATGGTTGGTGCTGTCGTTGGTGCTGCCGTCGCGGCTGCTGCTGCTGCTGCTGCTGCTGTAGGCCCACGCTGCTGTTGCTGTTGCTGCTGCTGCTGCTGCTGCTGATAAAACTGCTGGGCCGCGGCGTCCTGCTGCTGCATGGCCGCTGGTGGGGGGAAGGCCGCGTAAGGGTGGTGGACGAATGCGGATGAAAGCGGCTGCATGGCTGCTGCTGCCGCTGCCGCTGCCTGTGCTGCTGCTGCGACCTGCGCCGCTGCGTGGTACTGCGCTGCGACGTTGGACATGCCGACGACAGGGCCTGTGGGGAACGGGTAGGCGCCGAATGCCGGTGGCTGGGGGACTGCGTACTGTAATAAGCCGGCGGTTGAACTTGCTGCCGCTCCCAGCATCCCCGGTCGACCGCCTCCGCCAAAGCCCATCACGCCTGCAGGGCCAGCACCAGCACCCGCACCAGCACCAGGCGAGGCTGACGATGGGCTGTGCACGAGTGGCAGGTTGGCCATGTTGGACCCCCGCGTCAGTGCCTCCAGGTTGCCCGCGGCCGACGCGGACGCTCTGCTGTGTAAGGCGAGCGACAAGGCCGGGTGCGGCGGTCCGAGCTCCACCTCGTCCATTTGTATTTTGCTCTCGGGATGTTCTGCGACCTTGCTTTTTTGAATGTGAAGTGTGTTGTTGTGTGTTGTGTTCTTGTTTCTGTGTTTGCTTGGTTTGTTGCTTGTGCCCTGTGCTGTGCTGTGCTTGTGTGAATGAAAAACAGAAGCAAGAAAACAAGGACAAAATAAAAAGTGAGGTTTTTTGTTTTAAAAAAACGGAAAAATCACAAACAAACAAACAAACGAACAACAACAACAACAACAACAACAAAATGCAACAATAACAAAAGTGGAGCAAACAAGATGAAGGACGAAGTGGATGAGGAGCAAGAAAAGGGAAGGGAAGGGCAATGGGGATGAGTGGGTGGCTGAAAGTGGCGTAGCGTAGAACGAGACAAGTGGGGAAAACGCGCGGATCTACTCACTCTCACTCACTCTCTCACTCTCTCTCTCTTGCTCTCTCGCTCTGTAACTCTGGCTCTGGTGTAGCGCTCACAAACTCGTCGTGCTCTCGTGTGTCACAGCAAAGCGAGATTCAGAGAGAGAGAGAGAGAGAGAGAGAGAGAGAGAGAGAGAGAGAGAGAGAGTGAGTGAGAGAGAGAATCACCAAAATCGCATCGTGCGGGCTTAACAGTAAAAATTCGAGCAATCCCCCACCTTTTTAAAAAACCACTCCAAACCGCGACAACAAAAGAACGCCGACACTCGGAGCACGTCTGAGTCAGCTTGTGAGAAATCAGTCCACTGGATGATGCGGGGTTTGGAAGTGATGGAAAGAGAGAGATGAACAGCGAGCGTGGGCAAGCACGATAAAAATGCTGCGACACAAAGGAATCAATCTGCAAAACTGAAAGCGTCCGCTCACGTTGTGCGGATTTTTGAGCGAAGGGGATTCAGTGCTCGAAGCGAGCGAGCTCACCGGCGCTGTGTGCATGGATTGTGTGTGCATGGATGTATGCAAGTGTCAAGTCGACTTCGGGGCGAGATGGGGCAGATGAAGCGAACGAGAGAGAGAGAGAGAGGCAAGAATCAACCACTTGCTTTTTGGTAGGCGATCGTGGTTGGCTGTTTGGCTCGTGCTGGCTAGCGAATCGCAGCAAGTGTTGCTTTTCTTTTTTTCTTCTTCTTTTTCCCTGACTCATCAGACCAAACCCCTCCACTCCCCTCCTCACGTTCCAATTCCCATCGTCCTCCTTCGGTCAGCTCCATACGCCCTCTTCCAATCCATCCATCCATCCAGCGACAGACGCGACTTGGGGTGGGGCGGGCGACGAGGCGTGGTGATGGATGGCAATGCCAAACTTCGCTTTTGGTGTTTTGCTTTTGCTTGGCCGGCACACATACAATGGGGGACTCAACGGGCTTGCAAAATGTCGGTTGTGCAAATGCAAAAGACGAAGGAATGAAAGTCGTACGCAATGGTGTCAGCCTCAGCCTCGACAACTTGAGGAGTGAGTGCGAAATTTCAAAAGCAAAAACACCACACAATAACCAAAAACGCAACGAATTTCGGCGACGTTGCTTCCCGCTTGCTACCTGGAGCACATTTCGCATTTGATGCCCAATCATTCAAAGGATTGGAGGTTGTTCAAGTCAGTAGGGAAAAAAACCCCTCAAGGAGAGAAGAACAACAAACGCTGCTGCTTGTTTTCTCAAAACTCCGAAATGCGCTCACGTCTCCAATCAAGCAAGCACAGCTCATTGACACACAAAACCGCGCAAAAAATTGCCAAAACGCCACAGAAAGCTTGAATCAACAACAGGCGATCAGAAGACGCGGACGCGTTCTGACTGGTCGCTCGCACGCTGCGGCGCGATCACCGACTCAACCCAATCAACCCAAAACGCACGCCCTAATTCGACATTCGAGCGGCAGAGTGCCGCTAAATGTATACCTCGAAGCAAAGAAACAAAAAGGCCCATCAGCACCCCACGCCACATGATGGACTCGAGTCGCAGTTGGAAATGGCGGAGGAAGCGCGGGGAAGGAGGAGCAAAATTGTGAGCAACTTTTTTTTCGCTTGGCTGGCTGACAAACCACGAGGTGCTCTGTACTTGGTCACTCTGTTGCGAGTCACATTCCTTCAAAGGAGGTGGCACGGGCGGGTTTCAGGGCATCATTCTCATCTTCACTGAATGTGGTGCCCTGAATGAGCAAGAAGAAGAAGAAGAAAACCGGTGATGTATTGGTTCGACGAAAAAAAAAAAAAAAAAAAAGGAAAACAATGGAAAACGCAATGAAAAGCCAATAGGAAAAAAAAAAAAAAAAAAAAAAAGTTCAATGCTCACCTGAACGAAAACGAAAATCAAAGAGTGGCTGCAAATGACAGCTGAACTGAACTGATGAAGAGTACATTGGGAAAGGTCAGCGGAACGCCTTTGGAAGAAGGAGGAGGTGCAGCAGTGTGTATGCAGATCGCAGTCGCTCAGAAATCGTGTTTGTTCCCCTTTCCTTGCTCTTCCTTCCCTTGCCTTGCCTTCCTACTTTTGATCTCATTCAAGTGCAGCTATTCTTGCTCAGCTTGTCGTTTTTGTTTTGGTTTCTGATTTAGTCCACTTTTGCAAACTAACTCAGAACATGTCATCCAAGTCAGACGTAAGTTGGAAAAGTCCCTCGCTCAATGGAGCTGCACTGCAACGGGGCTTCAAACCAAAACTCACCTCTCCAATGACGATGATCATGGATGCTCATCGATGCTTTGGGGTTGACTTGACCTGTTATTACTGTTATGACAGGATAAGAAGAAGCCAAAGGAGTCGATTGTCAACTTGGCAAAGCTGCTCGACAAGACAGTGCGCGTCAAGTTCCGCGGCGGACGCGAAGGCAAGCGTCTGATGCACTGAGATCCGTGTGCCACTGGATAAGTGACAGGCAGGAGGGAAGGGAGGAAGAGCACAGGCAGAGGCAGAGACAGAGGCAGAGGAGGCAAACTGAGATCTCCAATGGAAAGAGCAGTGGTGGAAGCCACACAGTATCCAAGACGGCCAGTGCTTGACAAGAACAAGCTGCAGTGGACTTGGGGAGTGGGATGCCTGTTGCGCTTGGGTGGGAATGAAACGGGGGGGGGAGGCAAAGCGAGCGACAAGGCTTTGAATTGCGCGAGAACGCACATGCAACAGTCGAACGCTAACGTTCGCTTACTCACTACTTTGCATTGCTGCATGTAGTCATTGGTCTGCTCAAGGGATACGACCCGCTGCTCAACTTGGTGCTTGACGAGACACAAGAGTTTCTGCGAGGTAAGATGCGATTCCGAGTGCTTGAGAAAATCGTCGCGTTACACTCAAAAAACACTCACACCGCTTCTGTGCAGACCCCGCCGACCCCGAGCGAATCCTGGACGAAACCCGGGCACTGGGACTCACCGTATGCCGCGGCACCACTGTTATCTTGATTTGCCCGAACGACGGCATGGAGCAGATTGAAAATCCCTTCTTGCAAGAGGATGGCGACCAGGCATAGTTTTTTTTTTGGGTGGCTTTTGATACAATGCGTGCCTCGCGTGCGCTGGTCATGGACGATTTTCATGATGATTGATGTTGTGAGTTTTGTTGCATTTCGTTTCATTATTGTTGTTATTACACACACAGCAGAAAAAGCAAAGAAGAAGAGGAAGCAGAAAAACTAAATCAGCAGAAAGCGCACATTTCAACTCCCAATATTACAAACACAAGCACATGGGGATTTTGACAATCAATCCGTCTTCATGGACTCGGTGGACTCGGTGGCCGCTTTGGCGTCATCTGCACCGGTATCCATTGCCTGAGTTTGCTCGGTTGAATCTGCCAACTCCTCTTTGACTGGTGCTTGTTCCGTGGCAGCGCCAGCAGCAGCATCGGTAGTAGGAGAAGTAGCAGTCGCAGCAGTAGCAGTAGCCGCCGCCGCAGCAGCAGCAGCAGCAGCAGCAGCAGTGGCGGCAGCTGCAGCTTTCGCCGCAGCCGACATAATGACCGTGCCATCGGGCATGGTAAACGTAAACTCGAGATTGCTCTCCACGCGAGGCTTGTTGCGCGATCGACTCCGGTTTGGCTTGGCCGCTGCGGTGCCACTGGGGCTTGACGACGCGGCTGCGGTCGTGGCAGCAGATGTCGCACTCGTTGAGAGCGGACCTGGAGAAACCGAGCGCGACCCAACGCTCGGCGATGCCGTTTTGGATCGCGACGATGAAGATGGGGCTTTGCTTGTGTTGGTGGGAGCATCGCTCTCGTCAAGGTCTTGCATGATGTAACGCTTGCAGTTGCGTGCATTGGGCAGCTCTTGCAGCAGACGAACAACGGTCGGATGGACAAACCCGAAAAAGATGGGCCCCGACCCCGTTCCGGACGATTCGCCGCGCCCTCTAGCCTTGTAGATGGCGTCCATGAGCGCAGTGTGGCACGCCGTGGCCGAGGCTGCGTGAATCGGGTTGTCTGGATCGTCCTCTGCAACAATTTCAAACTGGCACAAGAAACAAAAAGGCAAACACAAACCAAGAAAACAACATGAGCCCACCGACACCTCGTATCGCAGAAAAAGAAAAAAAAACACCTTCCTCACAAACACTCTCTACCTTCGGCCCGACACCACCATCGAGAATGCGGCAATGATAGGTCGTTCGGTCGTCAATGTTCTTGACGCTGAGGTGGGATTTCGAGGAGTGGTAGCCGAGAGGCCACAAGTACTTGTCCGAGTGAAATGTGTCGCGATCGTACACGATTTCTCCAAGGCTGTGGAGCGTGACGGCGCCCACCACAATTGGCAAGATGGGTTTTCCGTCGGCATCGCGAGCAATGGGGACTGTTCGCTTGCGATGGCGGCTCGATCCGGGGAATGCAGGTTTCGGCGCCTCCGCAGTACCAGAGTTGAGTGCGGCTGCCGCAGTGGTGGCCGGGGTGGAAGAACGAGAGGCACCATCTGGTGCAGATTGGGCAGATGTCTTTTGCGACGAATTGGCCCGGTGCTGCGCAACCAAGCTGGCAAGCAGGGATGAAACGGCGTCTGGATGCTGCGATGCCGATGACGATGATGATGAGCTGGCCGCGACTGGGTGGCTCTTTGCAGGCGAGTCTGTGATATCTGTCGCGTGCGCCAGGCTGGATGGGGAGACGGCTTCGCTGCGGGCACGCGAGCCAGCCACAGGCGAGCCGTTTTGAAAGAGCCGGCCACCAGGGTTGGAGGCACTGACAGGGTCGTCAGAGGTTTCGAGAGCTCGCCCTCGGCCGCCATCGCCGTCAAGCGCATCGTAGCCATTGGCGCCACTTCGCGCAGCCTTCAATGCCCGTTGTGCCCGAACGTCATCCTCAATCATTGCGAGCTCTGCATCCGACCCTTCGCCATCAGATGCATCGAGATCTTGCGGGGTATCTTCAAATGTTGCCAGGCGATTGACAATAAATCTGGAAGGGGTAGAGTGAATGTATGAGATCTTCCGCTTCACCTTCCCATCATGATCAACGGTTTCTCGTTCCAACAAGCAACGGATTCCCTAATAAAAAACCTTACTGCAACTCGCGTCGCAACCGCTGCGTGTCTTTCCGAGCTCGACGAAGCTGCTCTGCGAGTTGGCTGTTCGACAGCAGCGTTGTGCTGACCACGCCCTTCATGTGCTTGTACTTGAGACGCATCTTGTTCTCCTTGACGAACGTGTCGAATGCCCGGCGTACGATCTGATTCCGCGTGGTGGGATTCGAGAGGTCGGGGTGTTGCTGCGCGGCGTTGTTGTTGCTGTTGTTGTGCACGTCCACATCAACCGTTGCGAGGTTTGGATCCACTTGGTGGGACCATTCCATCGAACGCTCGTTTGCCAACGCAGCCCGCTCAAACTCGGCTTCCGACATGGTAATCCAGTTTGTCTGTCCGCGAACCTTTTGGACGCGCGATTGCTTGCCACGCAGCTTGATTTCGCTGTGATCAGAAGAAAAAAAATCAAACAAGAGCAACAAGTAAGAGAGAAAATCAAAAGAAGGATTTACTCGTCCATGATGGGTTTCGCGCCAAGTTGAGAAGTACCTCAGCTTCTCAGAAACCGGGTTCCCAATCTTCCAGTAATCACACAACTGCTTTCCCACCCCCCCGCCTCGGCCTCCCAATTCGAAGCTCGGGTTGCATGTCAATCTCGTCCGTACCTTTCGACAATGTCCATGATGCGCGACGCGTCGATGGTGAGAGGCTCAGCGTGCGCTTGAGCTTCCCCGTCCGATGGCCGCGCAGTCGTCGCTGGATCTGCAGTGGTACTCAACGCGTGATGACTCTCCTGCTGCTGAGCTTCGTGCGCAATCTCGGCCGTGATGGATCGCGCAATGTCCTTGGCGTGCATTGCTGGGCCGCCAACGCTGGCGAGCGTCGCGACGATCATGTCGAGCACGGGCCGCGGCAGAGCTGCCTCACGCTGCTCGAGCATGTTCTTGTGCTGGATGGACGCGAGTGCTGCATTGACAGCGGCGTCGATTGCCGAGGCCATGATCAAAGCTGGCTGCAGTGCTGAAGGAGGTCTCTGAGATTTGAAGAATTGAAGAATTGAAGAATTGAAGAATTGAAGTTTGGGATGAATTGGAAATAAAGAGACTGAGAAATGGCAAAAAGTGCTCATAAGAGACTGAGATAGAGTCACAGCGAGAGGCGAGGACAACTTGTGAGAGCAAGTAGCGATTTTGCTTGAATTTGATCAAACCAACAACAACAAACACGGGATTTCCAAAGGCATTGACTGCACACGCACACAAAAAGCAACTGAAGCAACAGACACACATTGTAGAAGACACGGAAACAAAAACACACACCGACTTCCAAACACTGGCGCAACCTCGGACTTGTTTTGCTTAGCGGCGCATGTTTCGGCGACCACCAGCGGCAGCCTGTTGAGCAGCCATGGCGAAGGGCATCGGCATCATGAAGATTGGCTGCTGTTGCTGATGAGTTTGAGGGCAAAAAAAGGGGGGGGGGAAGATGGAGATGAGGACACGAAGCAATCAATCGAAAAACAGCTTTGTCTACAAAAACAAACAAACAAAAAAAAAAAAAACAAAAAAAAAAAAAAAACACCGGGCATACCATGGCACGAGGCGAAGCAGGGTTGGCCCTGGGCGACTGCTGTGGCTGCTTTTGCTGCTTTTGCAGCTTTTGCGGCTTGTTTGCTTGCTGTCGGGGCTGTCGCTGCTGCTTGGGGGACTGCTTGGGCGATGCGGCCTTCTGCAATGAATACAAGTTGTCAGCACAGTGCCTCTCCCTCGTCCAAAAACAGCGGTGGTTTTGCTACAGGCACCCAGTATGCATACCTGAGCAGGCCTGGACGGCAGGCTGAAAGCGGGCTTGGCCAGTTGGGCCGCCTGAATTAGCTGCGGGCTGACAAGGCTGAAAATCACAGACAGACACTTGTTGTCAGCACTGTGTCAAGGCATTTGCCGATACACCAAAAAGAAAAAAAAAGAGAAAAGAAAAAGAAACGCGGCCTTGCAAAAACATACCCGCCCATCGCGCCCATGCCACCGACGGGCACGGGAATCAGCATCACAGGAGTGGTTGCAGTGATTGGCTGCTGCGCACGCACTGGAGTCTGAGACCTACAGAACGCCCCCCCCCCAACAAAGCAGCATTGACAAAAAGCACCGAACGGTCAGCATTTACACACAAAACAACAAAACAAATCAGAGATAACGCACTTCTTCGGAGTGATGGTGGTGCCACGCTTGCCGCCAGCGACAACCTTCTTGGCGGGCGACTGGGCCTTCTTGGCCGGCGACTGAGCCTTCTTGCCCGACCTCTTGACAGGGGTGGACGGCTTGTCGTCGTTGAGACCAGGGCGATTGGCGTTTCGCTGGCGATCGCGGGCGTTCGCTTGGTTGGCCTGGATTGTCTGGCGCGCCTTGGCCTTGACGGCAGTGTTCTTGGTGTTCTACCCAATCAAACGAGGGTGAATTGCAATTCGCAGGGAGCCGGCATTCATCCAAGTGAGTGAGTCTGAATTGAGAGCTGGATTGGATTGTTTTGTGAGATGTTCCATGAAGAGACCCCCCATGATTTCCCATCCCCACTGACAACACAGGTTAGTTCCAGTGATTGAGACGGACCGCTTGACCTCCATTGTCGCAATGCGATTTGTCCTTGTCCAAAGTTGTATGTATGGGATTTGCATTGGGCCCAGCCAAAAGCAACAATCTCACCTGCTGTTGCTGCTGCTGCTGCTGCTTGGCTTGGGGCTGCTTGGCGGGGCTCTTGGCGCCCTTCGCAGCACCCTTCTTGGCAGCACCGCCGGCCTTGTTCCCTGCAGCGACCTTCTTGGCACCGCCGGCAGCCTTGGTCGCGGACGCCTTCTTCTTGTTGGCTGCCTGCTTGGCCTTGCGCGAGTCGGTGATCAGATCGCCTGCCAAGTGTTCCACCCCCGCGCATTCGACTACGGTGAGCATGGACGTTGCACACGTTGTTGCGCAACGGAACGCAACAGCAGCAGGAAGGACGCGACCCCCTGCAGACGCACGCAATGCAAAAAGCTCTACAAAAAAAAAAAAAAAAAAAAAAAAAAAAAAAGGCGGGAAAATTCAAACAAATCACAGATTTTTCTGTTCTTTGCAGCCCCCCGCCCTTTCGTTCACTTGATTCACTTCACTTTCTTCACTTTTCATTCAGAGGGCTCTCATTCCCAAACCCTCAACACAAGTGCGTAATGCATTGGGGGGTGGTTGAATGTTCCTTTGTTTTGATTACCGAGCGAGCGATTGAGCTTGTCATCAAGAGTCATTGGCGTCGACATGATTGCGTTCTGGATTGCAGGGGGCAAATTTGTAGGACTGACGATTATCAGGGAAACCCCCTATTCAACCAAAGCAGACACAATCTGAAGAGGAGCAATGCTTTTGCTTGTATGACAGTGGCAGACCTGCTACAGTCGAACAAGCTCAAAGCGACGCAAAAAGCAAGCAAAATGGAAAAATGAAACATTGTCCTTCTCAGTCATCTTTTGTCGTTGTTTTGCTGTTCAAGATGGATGTGAGTCTCAACGAACTCATCAAAAGTGGACGTGCTCATCTATTTCTATTGCAAAACAAACAATCATGTCCTGCATTGGTCTCGCATGCTGATCGTAACAACGGAGGGGGCAAAAACCTGCCACCCAGCTTCAGCAGGCACTTGCTTGTCCATCCTCATTCCCCGATCGTCCTGTGTTCCATGACTCAAAACATCACTTGGCATCATATAGGATCTCGTTGCTAGCTTCCTGGCCATTGCGCCAAACGCCACTTTGGAGGAAGCCGAGATGGCGCTGCAGGTAACGCGGGGGCAATGCACCGCTCACTCTCTACGCAAAGCGTTTCACTGTGGATGTCGTCCACTCAACGTTCGGAGCTGCTCTGAATGTCTTTGCTTTGGGCGAATGGCGTGCCAGATGACAGGCGGCGACCTCAACGCGGCAGTGTCAATGTTCCTGGACGAGGGTACGCGCGCGCTGCTGAGAGACGAGCCTGCGCAGCCGAGCCAGTCCAGTAGTCTGCCAAGGTCGTCATCATCGTCAGCTGCAGCAGCATCGTCTGCAAGGGCGCCTGGGAGGGCGAGCAGTAGCAGCAGCAGCAGCTCGAGTTCCGCAGCACCAAGCTCCAGTTCCGCGCGCTCAAGCTCAAGCCGCGCACAGTCACAGTAAGGCCACGGTCGCAAATCCAGTGATCACACACACACACAGATCACAGATCGGTCGATGAGTGAATGCTGCAACTCATTGTTTTGACTCCAATCTGCCAGACAAACACAATCGGTGCACCAATCGTCCGACCTCTACCAGTTCTCAGACGATGGCGACGGCGACGGCGACGGCGACGATGGCCAACAGGACGAGGAGTATGTTCGTGCGCCGATCGCAGCACAGCACGCTGTGCTTGTGAGTGGACCTGATCCTGCAACCTGTACGTTCATCACTTCCTTTCAAAATCTCGGTGGACGACGCAAAGACCTCCAACTCAACTGTTGGTTCTCACTTTCCTCAACCGTTTGACTCTGCTGCAGTGTCGTTTCAACATCGAAGAGACGCATTCAATGCGGCCAGTTCGATGCATAGCAAACAAAAGCTCGTGGACGCATGTAAGATCAGTCGGCTCCAAGCGTTCCCGCTTCGAGGGTTTCGCCTTCGTACTCACCGCCACCGCCGTTTCTTTTTGAAATAGTGCTCGCACAACATCCAGGATTGGTGGACAATCCAAGAGTGCGCGACCAGTTCATGCCGCCGAAAGAGTTGCTGTTTGCCGGCTCCTTTGAGGAAGCTCGAGCGGAAGGGACTCGCAAAGAGCGCTGGCTGCTCGTCAATCTGCAGCCGCAACACGATCTCCGATCAGCCCAACTGAACCTCGATTTCAAGGACTCTGTCTTGTACCTTCTGATCGAATCCAAGTTTGTGCTCTGGGAGATGCCCTTGCAATCCCCTTCCGGCAGCGCGTACGCCACCACCTATGGTGTCAAGGAGTACCCCTATCTCGCCATTGTTGATCCACGAACAGGTTTGTTCCAAGAGGCGTCTGGTTGGTGTGTTTGGTGCGACAAGATGGCTTTTTTCCTGCCAAAAACTCTCACACTTTCTCCTTTGAATGCATTGTTAGGCGAAGTAATGCAAAATATTCAAGTGGGCCCCGTCGGACCCGACGACATCTTAAAAGCAGGTATGCTGCGTGGAAGGGAGGGGGGACGGAGTAAAATCGGCTTTCGACCTCAGACGTCTGACTTGTTTGTTGTTTCAGTCTGGAGTTTTCTTGACCTGTACCCAACATTCAAAAGAACTGTTCAGTCTGAAAGTGTAAGGGCTTTGTTGATGCTATGCCTGCGCAATGGGAAGATGCTGCTGCTGAAATTCTGACAATCCGCTACTTGAGCAATTTTCAGAACCAGAGCCAGAAGGTTTCCATCACGGACGAGTCGGAGGAAGCCATGCTCCAACGTGCTCTTCAAGCGTCACTGGAGCAAGATGCCCCTCGCCCATCTGGTCGTCGCACGGCGACAAATTCATCGGACGACGACACTGGCCGCCGAAAACGGCCACGTTTGGCGACTCCAGCTACGAGCGGCCGTCCTCAGCGAACCAAAGCTGCTGCTTCTCGACAGGCCGTCATAATCGACGATGACAGCGACGAAAATGACAGCGAATTTGAGTTTGGCAGCGATTTAGACGAGAACAGTGGTGAAAGCCTTGGAAGTCGGAGTTCCGGGAGTGAAATCGACGACGATGACGACGACGACGACGATGATGATGATGACGACGACATCGACGAGATTGAAGACGACGACGACGGCGATGAGAGCGATAGTGACGGCGATGATAGCGACGACGTTCCTCGTGGCAAGCGAACGCGATCCGTTCAGCCCGGTGCCTCGTCGTCACGCGATCGTTCCAAAAAGCCCAGACTGCCCAAAGCTGGAGGTCATGTGCTTGGGTTTGCCCACAGTGAGAGCTCGGCGAGTTCTGCGGGCAGCACCAGTGCAAGCAATTCAGCAGCAACACAACTGCCCACCGTGGTCGAGCCTCCAGCCGATGCTCCAGCCGATTCAGTGACGCGGCTTAGTTTGCGCATGCCAGGTAAGGGGACTTGCCATTGGCATGTCATCCTGCGCTCTTGTTGGATTTCCGATGGTTTCGCTTACTTTGCTCACTCTTGGGCACTTGGGACTTGACAGATGGAAGCAGAGTTATTCAACGCTTTTACAAGTCGGATACCGTGAATCACTTGTTTTCGTTTGCGGCGTCCAAGCTGCCGTCGCTCACGCCTGACGCTTTCGAGGTTTGTCAAGCGACTCGATCTTTGTCCTGGCGTGTTGGCTTGGATTCCAGCATCGAATCGTTTTGCTCACTGTAGAATTATCTGTGTTGGCTGTTGGACTTTTCTCGCAAACAGATCATGTTTCATCGCGACAAGCTCAGTCTGGTGCGAAATCAGACACTTGAAGAGGCCAAGCTGCTCGGTGCATCGCTCAACGTGTCAGCGCTCTGATGTTTTGTTGCATTGGTGGATGCACATTGATGCCGTTGCCAACCCTACGCACCCTTTCAACAAAGCGCAGTGCTCCAAACATGGTTTATGCCGGGGGAAACGTTTGATTGATGTCAGGGTTTTGCGATGTTTTCTCTTGCCGGTCATGAAGCGCACTCCCTTCGATTCCACAACCAAGTGGATGAAAGTGCGCACTTTTTTTTCTAATTCACCTCAACAACAACAATTGGCTTTTCTGAGATTGCCTTTTTTGCATGACGATTCTCCCAGTCTTTTTTTTTTTTTATTCTTTTATTTTCTTTTATTTTCTCTCACTCCCCATTCTCGCCGCCCTAACCCTCCCCTTTCTCCCTTGGCTTGAAGAAATGTCCGGGTCATCTGTGTCGAGTGCGTTTGAGGAGGCAGAGGAGACCGGCGTGCTCAAGCTCAACGGCAAGCGGCTCACAAAGTGGCCAAACAACACCCAAGCCTTTGCGCTCGACGAAGTGACACAGCTCGGTACGGCCTCACCCGCCTTTTTTCTGATTTAGCTCTAGTGAATCGCAATCACTCCGTTTCCATTCAGCCCGCTTCTCTCCTTGTCCCCGACCCAACAGCAATCTTGGACAGCCACAGCTGCGGATTTGTGGATTGAGTTTTTTTTTTTTTTTTTTTTTTTTGGCGATTTTTTTTATTTATTTTATGTGGTTTGGGTTTCTGCGGCTCTCGTCGCTGTGCGTGTGTGTCTCTGTGGGCCACTCGAAGCGCATGCACCGCTTGTTGACTCTCTCTCTCCGCAGTGCATGTGTGGAGCCGTGATTGCCCCTGCATTGCGTCGTGCTGAGCTCACGGCTTGCTTGCTGCCGAGGTGAAAGTGCGCGGTCTTTTTTTTTTTTTTTTTTTTTTTTTCTCTCTGGCTTGGTGACGAATGATTGCGCCCAGCTCTTCTTCCTCCTCCCCGCTTTCAAACGGATTGGCTGTTGCTTATTGTTGTTGTAGTGCATGGTGCAGTTCGACGACGAGGAGTGGCCTGCTTGTCATTCGATCATGACGTGCTCCTTTTTTTTTTTTTTTTTGTTTCGCTTTCTTGTTTTTTTGCTGACACTTTCTAAAAGCCCATCGATTCGGTGACTGAGGTCCAGTCCGGAGTCGGGGGGTAGCGGGGAGACGCCGGTATGAGACAGTGGAGTACGAAGCAGAGTGTCGCCTCGGAGCCCATTCTGGTCGACTCTGAGAAGCGACAGAGTGAAAAAGGAAGATGAGATGGGGTACAAAGGATTGGATAAACACAAAAAAAATAAAAAATAAATAAAAAATAAAAAAACATCGGTCTTTGGCCAATCCCTCACTGAGATCCCCATTGATTTTCTCATTGCGCTGCATGAGGGTAGGGTAGGGTAGGGGGGAGGGGTGCGAGTCGTGGTGCGTGCAGCAAAAAGGTTTGCAGTGATGCATGTTGCCAAAGCGCAGCTTCACTCCTGCCAGGCGCGAAACGCATGAATTCGACCCTATTTTTTTGGCAGAGATGGAGATGACTTGAGTGGTTGACATCTGTGTGTGTGTGTGTGCGACCTGCTCGCTGCTTGGTCGCCGTGCAAGCAAGATTGTGGCTGGTGGGGGGGGGACGGGCGGCGGTCGGAAGCTGGTGGTCAGAATGTGGTCCTACTGTGACGATCAAGTGTGGATGATGTGAGACAGAAAACATCCACACCTTTGCACAGACCATTCAAGATAAACGATCGCCGACATGGCAAATCTCTGTAGAGTGGCAGTATCAACAGCAGCAGCAAACCGAGTGCGACAAACGTGCGTGTGGCTCACGAAAGCACAACAAAATGAACCAAACCAAAACCCGCAACAAACAAACAAACAAACTCAGTCACGATCATCACTTTACTCGATTGGTGCAGAGCGTGTTGGTTGTTAGCATTGAATGCACAGCATGCTTGAGCTTGAGTCCGTCCCCCTCTCTTGTCGTCTGATGCGCAACAACACAATGCCAAACCGAAACCTGTCAAAATGCCAAAATGTTTCATACTTTCTTGTGGTTTTGAGGTTTTTTTCGGTTTTGTTTTGTTTTTGTGTTTTGGTTTTGGATTTGTTTCATTCCAACATGTGGTTTTGATGTTTGTGATCATTGTTGTTGTTGTTGTTGCTTTTGTTGTTCTCATCGATTCCACTCTGCGCAGACCTCGCGAATAACAAGTTCACGGCAATGCCTCGCGAGTCGTGCATGCTGGCCGCAGTCGAAATTTACGATCTGTACAAGAACATTCTCAACAGCGTCCCACCTGAAATCAAGAACATGTCGTCCCTTCGGCAGCTCAATCTGAGGTAGGATGATGATGATGATGATGATGATGATGATGATGATGATGGGGGGGGGTTGTGTGTGTTCGTTTGGTCGCTGTTGTGTCATGTTTTGTTGTATTGACCGCTCGTCCTCGTCCAGTCGCAACCTGCTCGTGTCGCTCCCAGAGGAAATCTGCGAGCTGCCACTCGAAACACTCGACCTGAGCAACAATCGCATGACACAACTGCCCGACGGGTTTGGTCGGTTGACATCACTTCGCCAGCTGGTAAGTTCTTGTTGTCGGTTTTGATCGCAGTTGTCGTTTATCAGAATCTGACCCCGTTACGCCACCTCCCCCCCCCGCCGTCTCGAACAGAATGCCAGTAATAACGAAATCAAACTCCTCCCACACGCCATTTCGCGCCTGCGGCATTTGACTGGACTGGACGTGGCCCGAAACCAAATTAGCGAACTTCCTGCAGGTATATATAAAACCATGTCGACGCCTGACAAAAGCGTGCACCACTTTTCTCACATTTTGTTTTCTTTGCGATGCTCTTTTCTGTCGGCAGACCTGGGAGAGTTGGCCCTGACGTCCCTGGACTTTTCCCACAACGCTGTCACGGCCATCCCGACCTCGTTTGCCAATAACGTTTCCATTTTGAAATTCGGATACGAAAACAATCCCCTGTCCGTCCCGCCACCGCACGTCTGTTCGCGCGGTCGTGTGCACATCTTCAAATTCCTGCAGGAAGTCCTTCTCAATCCCAATTACTCCAACGGTGGCAGCGATAGTCCGGACGCTGAGGCAGAGGTCGACCAGCTTCGTCAGCTTCTCGACGAAGAGGAAGCCAAGCAGACTGCGCAAGACCTGGCCCGAGCAGCAGAGGAGAAGGCTGCTGCCGACGCCAAAGCAGCCAAAGAACAAGCAGCGGCGGAAGCCAAGGCAGCGGCTCGAGCCAAGGCTGCTGCAGAGGCAAAGGTTGCAGAGGCAAAAGCAGCGGCAGAGGCAAGGGCTGCTGCAGAGGCAAAAGCAGCGGCCGAAGCAAAAGCAGCGGCAGATGCCAACGATGCCGCTGAAGCAAAGGCTGCTGCAGACGCCAAAGCAGCGGCAGATGCAAAAGCAGCGGCCGAAGCAAAAGCAGCGGCAGATGCAAAGGCAGCGGCAGATGCAAACGCAGCGGCAGACGCAAAAGCAGCGGCAGATGCAAAAGCAGCGGCAGACGCAAAGGCTGCTGCAGACGCCAAAGCCGCAGCCCTTCGGCGCCAACAGGAGCAAGACGTTCTTGCTGCCAAGCGCAAGACACAAGACGATGCAGCTGCTCGCAAGAAGCAGGCCGAGGCCGAGGCTCGGCTGTTCAACGAAAAACGCGAGGCGGCACAGGCCAAAGCCGCGCTGGCTCGTCGACGACGCATGGACATTGACGACGATGACGACGACATGGATACTGCTGCTGCCCGACTTGAGGAGCTCGAGGCGGCCACTGCCGAAGCACGGCGTGAAGCTGAGCAGGCTGCTGCTGCTGCCGCCGCCGCAGAACCAGTGACCGCACACCACGTAAGTCCAGCAACTGCTCTTGCAGCAGCGTCTGCGGCATCTGCGCCGCCTACCGAACAGCCTTCTCGGTCACAATCGTTGGTTCGCCGACGTTCTCAGGATTTGTTGAATGCCGCCTTGGGCAGCGAGGGCCCACGACGCACTTCTATCGACGGTACTCTTGACACGCCAGACACTCGAGAACAATCGCGCATCCGCTCGCTCGAGGCTCGACAGAAGCAAACATCCGAAGAGGCTGCGCGCCGCGCCGCCGAGGACGAGGTGTTGCGCCGCGAAATCAACGAAGAGCGCGCCAAGCGACGACGATCGATGCGCGAAAAGGACCATTCGGCAGAAGCGGAATCGACCGAATCCACACCTGCCGCCTCAGCCCCATCTTCGCGCCCATTATCTGCGTCGTTCTCGCGCTCAACAGAGCGACTGAACGAAGTCACACCACCGACCTCAGCCACAACCCACTCGTCCACAACCACTCCGACGTCAGAGCGCCGCGGCTCTGCAGAAGTGTTGTCACAGCCGCGATCTGCGACCCGGATGCCTCCTCGACAGCCCTCTGTCGATTTTGCTGCCGCCTCGACGCCGCCAGCATCGTCATCGCCGACCGCCATGCGCAAGGCCCCCGAGGCATTCACTGCAGCAGCTGCGGCCGCCAACGCGCGCCGCGAACGGTTTGCCCAGTCTGGCTCGGGTTCCAGCATGCGAGATGTTCATGCCGAGCCACGCAGGTCGCTTCGCATGTCAACCTCCATGTCTGGTCTCTTCTCGGTCGCCACGTCCTCTCTGGAAACACTGTCTAACTCGGCCATGGGATCGGTCTCGGACGATGAGCGTCTTGAACTGATCCTGGCAGAAGTTCAGCGTATTGCTCTCGGCAACGGCATGAGTATCCAAGCGCCTGGCAGTCGTGTGAAGAAGCGTAAGTTTTGGTGTTGTGTGGACTGCTTTGCCGTGAAATTGGGCTGATCGTCGCTTTTGCTTTGCAGATGCCAAGGAGCTGCGTGGTGGCGTCTTTACTCTTCGTCGAGGCTCTCACAAGCTCTTCTTGCTCATGAAGGAGTTTTACGACGTGCAAACGGTGAGTCGACCCTTGACTTTGAATTCATCTACTTCGTTTTCCTGTCTTTGTTGCATTCAATGTCTCATTGCATTTGTGATTGGTTCTTGTTCCACAGGCAATTGAGACCAGACTCGGCGTTACTCTGAACCTCGTTGGCTCCCCGGACGAGCTTCCGGAAGCTTTGTCCGACGGCATTCATCTCTGCCGCACCATCAATGCATTCAAGCCAGGCACCATTTCTCATGTAGGAATCCGTTTTTTCATGCCATTATTTTCTCTTAGAGTGCTTTGGTCTGACAGCTTTTACCCAAAACTTTTTTTCGGAATGGAAAACAGATTCATGAACGCGAATCCGCAAGTTCTCCCTTGTCACTGATTCGCTGCCGTCTGAATGTGGAGTCGTTCTTGGCGGGCTGCCGTGCACTCGGTGTCCCGTCCGAGGCTATCTGCTCGCCTCAAGAAATCCTGCAGCCTCGCGAGGGAATCAAGTGGCTGGACTGCGTCCAGTCGCTCTTGGCGTTGACGTATGAGCAGGCCCCTGTTCCCGCTTCAGCTGCAGCTGCCGTGACCGAATCGCCCACCTCCGCTTCGCTTGCGGTGACTATGGCGACGCCTGTTGCCGCTTCTCCCTCTCCACGAACACGCGTCGTCCTTGAAGGCTCATCCGTGTAGCCGGGAAGAGGATGCTCGTGTGTTTTATTGTGTGTACATCATGTTGTAGCCAATGCAACAATTCCTTGGACACGAATGTTTCATTGCCTGACACTATTTTTGGTCCATTCTCTGTCGTCTTTGCTATTGCATTGAAGACGTGGCTGCTCAGATTTCGCTTTTGGGGTTTTGTCTGATTGTCCAGTCGTTCGCAAAAAAGGTTTGAGAGAGAACGAGCCCGGAATGACTGCAGAGCCATTGCAGTCGCAATCCGACCAGCAGCGAGGTCGCATTCCCCGCCAACGCACCACGTCCGACGCAGGCATGTCTGGAACATTGCCATCATCGTCGAATGATGAATTGCGGGACGCTGCGAGCGAGCCGAGTGGCGCTCAAGCCGAGCAGAGTGACGAGCAATCTGACAGAGCGTCATCATCCAAGGCAGAGCGAGCACTCGAGTGGCCGAGCGCCCCACGACGCGATGCGCCGACACCCATGGCTGTGGCAGGAGTGCAATCCGGCGTCAGGCCAGGCAGCGTGGACCGGAACGCGAGCGAGCGCGACAGCCTGGACGACCAATCGCGACGAGGTGGACGTGCGGACAGCAAGCCAGCGACCGCCGAGACGGCGATGCAAAGGCAGATCCCACTCGGGGAACACTCGACCAGTGCACCGGCGAGCAATGCCAGTCCAGCACGCGACGAGCGGCGGGCAGACGCGCCAAGCAGCAGCGCCCAGTCGAGCCAATCTTCCGCAACAGGCGCTGGCGTACCTTCCCCGAGGTCGGATAAAGCAAGAGCCATGTTTGACCAGCTTGATTTGAACAAAGACGGGTATGGCCAGCGAAATGTGCTGCATCGAGCCGGTTGTTGATGGCCTGAGAGAGAGAGAGCGCGCGAGAGAGAATCTGGTTTTGGGCTCGCTCACGAATGCTCCGAATGTATCCCTCGTCTTGCTTGTTTTGATGTTGGCGCAGCACCGTCGAGCTGAGCGAGCTGCGGTCCACTCTTCAGGATCTCGGCTTGAAGGCGTCGGAGGTAAGTCCTTTGTGTGGAGGAATGAGTTATTTTGTTTGACTGAAAACTGCCCCTCTGCTTGCAATCTCCCTCCCACAGGAACAACTCGCCTCCATGATGCGTGTTGTGAGCAAGCAAGAAAATCAGAGCTTGCAGATCGACCTTGGCGACTTCCTGGCCTACCTGGACTCCATTTCCGACGCCGATTGGCAGCAACTGGACCTCGAGTCTCTTGTCGCCGATGTTTGGCTGCTCGAGGCCGACACTCGCCACGTTACTAAACCAGGTTTGGCCTTGCTGTCGACGCAATCTTGCAGAGTTTTCTTTTTTTATTAGTGTTTGTTCTGTTGCTGATTGCCCTTTTGCCGATGGATTCAAAAACAACAGCTGAAGTTGCAAAAACACAATCCAGCACCGCTTGGAAGTATCTGGCGGCGGGCGGCATTGCCGGCGCCGTTTCACGAACCGTGACGTCCCCGCTGGAGCTGGCTAAAATTCTCTACCAGGTCCATCCTCAGCGCTACACTGGTCTTGCCGACGTCTTTACTCAAGTGTATCGCGACGGCGGCGTCAAGGCATTCTGGCGAGGGAATGGCGCCAATGTTGTTCGCATTGCACCCTATTCAGCCATCCAGTTTTCATCCTATGAGGCGTACACAAAGGTGAGTGTGCGCGCGCGTCTTTGGGTGAATCTGCCATCTGACATCTCATGTCTCCAATTCTTCTGACTCATCGGGCGGGTCGAGCAGTGGTTTCTAGCTCCCGGGCAGTCCGATATTTCCGTCATGTATCGTTTGACAGCAGGTGAGATCTCTTTTGTCGTGGAGCAGTGAAGTGTTTCTTTTTCTTTCTTTTTTTGGCGAATCTGACCTGGTGAGTGCGCTGGCAGGAGCCCTCGCTGGAGTCACAGCAACCATGTGCACCTACCCTTTGGACTTGATCCGCACTCGTCTTTCAGTGCACCAGCAAGAATACAAGTAAGAAAGGAGCCGGTGTTGGTGTTTGTTCCCTGACTGCGGTGTTGACTTTTCTCCTGACTGCTGTCTCTGTCTTTTAGAGGGATTTGGGATGGAATGCGCTCTGTCTTTCAGAAAGGTGGCGTGTCTGCGCTCTATCGTGGCTGGTTTCCAACAGTCGCCGTAAGTCGTTGATTTTTCTTCAACAGCGGGTTTGGGCTGGCTTCAGAAAAGGTGGAGAGCGTTGTTCACTTTGATGTGCTCCTTGCCATTCTGCACCACAGGGCATCGCGCCATACGTAGGCATCAATTTCACTCTGTACGATGCGCTGAAAAAGCGCATGTTGACATTCTACCAAGCTTCAGACTCGCTGTCCAAGCCGTCATTGCCAGTGCACGTTAGCCTCACGTGTGGTGCACTGGCAGGCGCAGGCGCTCTCACTGTCACCTATCCCCTCGATGTGATGCGACGGCGTTGTCACCTGTCAATGGAGGGCTACCAGAATCTAATCCAGTTTACGCTGCAGATCGCTCGCCGCGAAGGCTGGAAGTCACTCTATTCTGGCCTTGCCCCGTGTTATTTAAAGGTAGACACAGCGCGTCACGCAAACTGCAGCTCATAAATTCGCAATGTTCTCACGTTGCTGCTGCTTTGCCAGGTTATGCCCGCCATGGCTGTGAATTTTGTCGTCTACGAGGCCATGAAGAAGGTCATGAAAATTGCCTAGTTTGAATTCGAGGACCGTTAGGAAGCTCTGAACCCCTTTTTAACAAACGAACAAAAGAGAGTAGTTTTATGTTTATGATTATTTTACAAACGAGAACGCTACACAACCTCGAAGCAAAACTCCAACCCAGCAGCTAACAACAGTACCAATTACTGACTATTGACAAATTCAATTCCAATCGCCTGCCCGTGCTCCCGCACTCTGAAAAGTCGAACTGGCGCTGTAAACGAAGTCGCAGTCGCGTACAGATATCTCAGCCGCCGTCGACTCGATGCTGAGTTGTGATGGAGGATTGGTCAGCTCAAAAAGGCAAATGGAACGAAAATCAACCAACCAAAGACCAAAAAACCAAAACAAAAGCGCACCTTCTTGCTCGGACAGTCCTTGCTTTTCGTGAATGACATCCCACGGCTGCTCAAATCCATTCAACGCAGACGTTGATGCGAAGGTGAGACGCTCTTCTACAAGTCCTTCCTTTGTGAGGGACATGATGATGTCGTTGAACGCGTCCTCTTCCAGAATATGCGAGAGACGTCGCGCAAGCACACGCTGTCAAGGTGATGCAAGGAGCGCAATCAGTGACCGCAGTACACACAATGCAACAAACCAAAACCGGAAACAAGGCAGCAAGCCCGCTTACATCCAGAACGCCATCTAATTGCACCAGGGCGTCTAAAACCACGTTCTTGATCTCGCCTAGAATCAACGGATTGGTCGTACTGCAGCTCGTGCCTGCGGGTCCCTTGTGCGGCGGGTAAAACCACGGGCGGTTTGGCACACCAATCCATTGGTCTGTGGATGTGTCCACACGCTTTGCATCGCCAGAGGTCGGCGGATTCTCGTCGCCCGCTGCCGCACTGTCATTCGAGCGCGAGCGCTTTCGGCGAGGCGAAGCTGGAGTAGATACGGCAGGGGCAGTGCTGTTATTGCCTTGGGACGCATCCTGCAAAGCTTCCTCGACCTTCGAGCTTGCGCGGATGTAGGAAACCTCGAGCCGCGACTTTGTCACCTTCTTGGAGCCAAGGTCCACCTCAGCCTTCACCTGGCCGTTGCCAACCAAAGTCATAAAGCGGGCCACGGCTCCTCCAGTGCAATGCGCAGGTTGGAGGACTGCATCGTCGTGCGCAAGCAGATCATCAAAGTCGGTAATTTCCTGCGCAGCTGTGACTGGAAGGCTGTTTGTCCACAAAAAGTCGCATCTGGCAGCAACGAGGGTTGGTTTGAAAGGGTCGGTTTTGAGCCATCAAACAACACAGCCGTCACTCACTCACGGTCGGAGGAGATACTCACTTTCTGCTCAAACCATAACGATGGGGCTTGAAAACCAGGACCGGACCTTGCTGCGCCGCGCGAACACCCTTGTTCGGCCGCGTCAGGAACCCTGCCTCTTGTCCGTACCGAAGCGCCGCTCGCATAATGGCACCCGGAATGTTCTTGAGGCATGAATTCTCAGAGTCAACTTCAGTGCCCGGTTGCTCGTTGAAAAGAACGCTCTGTGAGACAACAGCCGTGAGTAAGTAAAAGCAAGAAAAAGGAGGAGCAATCTGCTCAAAGTGAACGTACTCGAATGGCCGACAGCGCGTGCTGGACACCAGCAGACAACGGTTCATCTGCTCTCAAAAAGGCAACCAACATTCAATCAATGAGCGTTGTCGGTTGGAGACCACAACAACAACAACATCATCATCATCAACAAAACCGACCAGAAATCGATTCCACGTCCGTCCAGCCTCGAACCTCCTCAATAACTTGAGCGACCTGCACGAGATTGGGTCGCCTGAGAGCGGGCGCTGCGCGAACGTGCCGCGACGCAGAATCCGTCTTGCGCGCGTTTGCACTGACATGAGTGTCCAACACGTAGGTGTAGGCCACCAGGAACTCTGGCAGAGAAAACCGCTTTGTCTGGCGAAGGGCGTCGTCCAGCGTTTTGCACCCCATGAGCGTCATCTTGAAGGCGCGGTTGAGCGGAATGGGAGGGAAGGGGCCCCAGCTGCGCTCGTCCAGCAAATCCACAGGCTGGTCTCGCGCCCACACTCGCAGAGACAGTGGCGCAATGTTCTCGGGGAGGTCAAATGGTGGCAAGTGCCACTCGTGCACATCCGGCATGGGAATCAGGTGGCCCAGGGCGGTTTGGTTGCTGGCGATGGACGGGTCTTTCCGGATGCGTTGAATCGAGTGCATGCACATGAACAAGAGCTCAGCCCAGAATTGCAACACCTGCGTTCGAGACTCGAGCGGAATGGTCAAGGTTGTGTCGGTCGCACTCGGCGCCTTGCCCGCGACATTGCGCAGCAAAAGTTGAGGTTCAAGCCACGCTTCACAATGCATCGTTTCCAAGGAGACTGTCGGAGGAAGCGAGACGTTGCTCTTGGCGAGAACATAGGCATCGTAATCAAACACGGGTGTGCCGTGAACGTCACGAGTCTGCGCGTCTCGGCAGAATTTCTCCATATCGAGCTCGCTGGGAGTGCGTGTACGGACGAGCGCCAGACGCTCCAGAATGGAGAGCAGTCGCGCAATGTGTGTCCAGCCAAGGTAGTCAGTGATCAAATCCCGTCGAAGGGTGCGGGGCAGCTTGCTGATGACCACGTCCCTGTGATCGGCGACGAGTTTGTCCGCAGCAAGGGACATTGGCGGAGCTGCTGCCAGTTCAATGAACTGGCCGAGAGTAAGCACCGTTTGGAGCGACGACACCCACGTGTCTGCGGATGGAAGAGGCCGGTGCTCACTGTTGTTGTTGTCGTTGTTGCTGTTGTTGTTGTGAGTAGAGCTAAGTTCGTCCTCGGAGAAGACGACCGCCGACAGGACGGGCAGCGTTCTGGACTTGGCATCCGCATCCCCATGCTGTTGGGACGGCAGCAACCCAGCTCGCACGCGCACGCCTTTGGGACATGCCTCCCAAAGAAGCAGATGCAAACGACGCGCGGCTTCCAACAACGGCAACAACTGGGCGGCGCGCGCCACGCGATCCGTGTTCACCACGACTGCATATTTACTGGTTGTCTCTTCATGGACAAAGGTTGGGAGCATCGGCAAGTACAGGAGCGGTCGATGCTCACGGGCTGCAGGGTTCCCGCTGGGCCCGGCAGAAATGTACCTGCTCAGGACGGATTGCCCTTGGAACACTTCGTCCAGGTTCTGCGAAGCCCGCGTTCGACGCAGCCTCTCGCCTATTTCTCGATCGATAAAGTAGGGCATCTGGCCAGCATCGATGGATTTGCGGTACGCCTCGACGCGCTCGTCGTCGTCGGCGGCACTCGCGTCCACGAGCAGCGGCAATCTCGCGGTATGGTTGACCTTCCGAGACCTTGTCCATACGATGACCTTGAAGCGAACCGCGCCGTCTTCGTCTGGGGCCGCGACGCGCTGCAGCAGGCGGCTGATCGTTTTGGAATCAATATTTCCGCTCTCAAAGGCACAGTCCACGCCGAAAATGGAGGCGTACTCGTTTAAAAGCGCGGACAGTGCACGTCTGGCCTCGAGAACTTTGAATTTGGCGAGATAATCACGCAGCAATTGCACGCGGACGACTGCCTGGCTGGTTTGGCTGCGACGATGGTACCGGCCCGTGACGCCGATTGCGCTTGGGGTGTTTGCAGCGGCAGCCGAGCGTGCGTTGATGGACATTTCCAGGACTGGCGCAGCAGCAGACCTTGCAGATGCGGCTCGCGGGCCAGCAGCGTCGGCTGAAAATGCAGCAGGGCGTGTCGAGTTGGTTGCAAAGTAGCGGTACTGGAAGAGCTTGCCAGCGTGCAGGTATTCACGCTGGAGGCAGGACTTGGCACACAGGTGCTGGAGCAGCTTTTCGAGCATCTTGTGATCGAGAAGAATGGCGCGTCGAATATCCTTGGCAAACATGCCTTCTGGCCCGCGGCTTTCAATCATCTCGTACACTTGCCATTCAATGGAGGTTTCGACAAGGCCGATAGAGCGAGAGCGGGCACCAGAGCTTGAGGCATTCCGGGGAGGACCAGTGGCAGAGGCAGAGGCAGAGGCAGAGGCAGGGGCAGAGGCAGAGGCAGAGGCGGCTGGCTGGGACTTGCCACCCGTCGTTCTCGCCTTTTTCTCCGAATCACCCTCCCCCTCATCATCACTACTGGCAATGTCGTCCTCTTCGCTGTCTTCGCCGAGTCTCTTGCCTCCAGTGGTGCGACGAGCGTGAGGCATGCCGGCAGCATCGTCGCCACTGACAGCTCCATCGTCGTCGCCAAGCGCGAGGGCTTGTTCCAGATGCTGGTCGACTAAACGTTCAAAATCCGGGTTGGAGGCGGATTGGCCACCAGCGCCAGCACTAACTCTCGACAATGCAATGCCACCGGTGCTCCGTAAATGCCGCGCCAGAAGCACCTCAGCTAGATCGTGCTGTCCGTCCGAAGGGAGCGCGTCCAGCGTGGGGTTGTCGCCTTCCGTTGGCCACAGCAACTCGCGCGGCGGTTCCTTGACAAGACGAATGCCGATGTACTTGGTGGCCTCTTCATGCTTGGCCAAGTCCACGTCCTGAGTGTACCCGGCTTCGCGCAAGCGAGTGCGGAGCATTTTCCAGCGCTTGTTGTTGGAGAAGCGCGGGTCAATGTCCAAAAGGCGGCGAATGTACCACGTCGGGGCCGTTCGGTTGGGCTGCTGCATGAGAAGCCAGTACACTGCACCAATGTGCGGCGCGAGTTTGCCGTTGGCTCGAAGCCAGGGCGAGGAGGCCACACCGGCGCCGAGTGGCGGCTGCTCTTGCTGCTGCTGCTGCTGCTGCTGGAGGAGCACCGAAAGATCGTTCGGGTTGCTGCGATTCGGAATAATTTCGACTTCCGAGGAGTCTGTCTGCATTGGAACTGGAATGGAAGCGGACTCGGCTGGAGGTTCACGTTCGGTGCTCAGAAGGACGGGTTGGTGCTGATGGAGCTGTTGAAGCAGCTGTTGCTCCACGACAATGGGTGCGGCTTTGCTTGTGTCAGACCGCTGCAAGTCGGTCGTGCGAGCATACCGCGGCAGGAAGAGGCGGCTCGCGGTGCGCGTTTCGTGCGCGGTCGCGCTCATGTCGCGCTTGACAACCAAGCCCGCCTCGTGCAGACGCTTGACGTGGTAGGAAATGTCCTTGGCTGCAATGCCGGCTTGAGCGCCCAGCTCCGTTTGGAGAATGCCAATCTCGCGCCCACGCCCAATCTCCTCGAGCAGTTCGAGTTGAATCAAATTGATGCGACGGGAAGGGTCGTCAAAGCCGAGCAGCTGCGCCATGCGTGCCTGTTCGTGTCCACAAAGGAGCAGATTGCGACTCCACTCGCAGCTTAGATAGCCCGCATCAAGAGCAGCAAGCTCGGACAGGAGAGCGGTTGTGTCGTTGAATTCGAGTCGTGTCGCGTCTTTCAGAAATCGCTTGGCAAGCTTGGTGGCTGTTTCCGCTTTCGGTTTCGCAGAAGAAGCCTTGCCTCGCTCTCTGCGTGACATGGGTGAGTCTCGTGCTTTGTCGGTTGCGGGAACGGTGTCGGTGGTTGTAGACGATGATTCGTGTGCGGATGCAGCGTTGGCTTGCGAGACTCGGGCACTTCGCCGCTCGACCGTCGACGCATGCTTGGAGTGCACTTCAAACCGTCCTGTGCCAAGCAGCGAGCTCAGCAGGAAGGCGCGCATCTCGCGCTGGGCCAGTCCGCCAAACATGCCCTCCTCTGCTTCAGAGGATGGAGCCTCGGATTGCGCCTCGGATTGCGCCTCGGATTGCGTCTCCAGTCCCGCGGTCACCCCGACCCCGCTTGCGTTGCTGCTGCCATCAATCTCGACGGCAGGATGCATCGACGGCGGCGGGACGGTCGTCGGCGAGTCGAGCGGGGTCCTGGTCTGGACTCCCTCAGTCGCTGTCGCCGTCGCCGCTGTCGCCGCCGCTTGAGTGGTCATCACCGTCGTCGCGAGTGCGAATCGCTCGTCAAGGTGCTCGCAGACAGACTGCAGACTGCATCCCGAGCGCCCCTGCAGGAGGATGTGCGTGGCAGCCTCAGCCACGTAGCGATGCATGAAGCCAAAAGTGTTGAGATTTCCCGCGCAAATTTCTCAGCTGGGTAGACTGAAGGCAAAGTCCGATCACAATTCAGAGAGTCGATCAAGCATGAATAGAGCAATTCAATGCGAAAGTCGTACAAAGTTGTCTCAGAAACCCCAGAGAGTGAGTGAGTGAGTGAGAGCGATTCCACTCAGAAGTTCAGTTTCGCTTCGAACCGACCACCCTTTAACAAAAACACCCATGTTATAATTCTCTGCCGACCACTTTGATCTAATGAGCAATGCGCATCTACTCATTCATTCGATCAAATGTCTAAATCCACACATTCGTCATTCCTTTTTTTTTTTTTTTTTTTTTTTCCTTTCTTTCTTTTTTTTTTTGCTTTTTTTTTTCTTTTTTATTCAAACACAACCATGGCATCGTCATCGTCTTCATCGTCGTCGTGGACGCTGACAGTGGACGACATGCACAAGCTGATCGATCCGAAGAACCCCGAGCTGCTCGCCAAGCTCGGCGGCGCTGCTGGTCTTGCCAAGGCGCTCGGCTCGTCGCTGACGGACGGTCTGTCCCAGGCGGATCTTGCTCCCACCGCGCTCGCGCTCCGCAAAGCTCAATATCGGCTGGCCCCTTTTTGTTGCTCTCTTTGTTTCTTTTGTTGCATTTGTTGTTGCGTTGTTGCTTTTGATGCAGTTTGGTCCTTTCCCCTACCCCCTCGTCCTCTGGTGAGTGAGTGCGTCACAGTCGAACCACCAACTCAAACTCGATTCGCTTTTTTGGGTCTTCTGTGTTCTGTTGTTTGTCGTCACTGCTCTTGGCTGAGCCTGCGCACGCGGCTTGTCCAATTCACTACGAGTGATGCGCTGTTTTCGTTCGATTGTGGATGGAGCGTCATTCGCACTTGCAGACAAGCGACTGTGGTGCGACGGACCAAAAAGTTACTGGTTTTGCATTTCAACTCTTGCTTTTTTTTTTTTTTTTTTTTTTGTTCGTTATGGATTTCGTTTTGCCAAATTGCGCAGCTGCGTTTCGTTGCAGCGGGGGCGGCATTCTGATCAATGAGCACGACGCTACTTGCTTGTCGATGCACACACTGTGCCAGAGCAACGTGTCATCATACTGACGAGTTCAAAAAATGACACCCTTTTTGTTATTTTTTATTTTTTATTTTTTATTTTTTATTTTTTATTTTTTATTTTTATTTTTTTATTTTTTTATTTTTTTATTTTTTTATTTTTTTATTTTTTTATTTTCCATTGAGTTAAGTACGGATCGATCTATGACGCGCTGTTATTATTACTGCTATGTGCAATGACCATGTCTGCAATGCTTCTGTCTCGTCATTTTTTTTTTCGCTCCGAGTTGTCCTCCTTGACGATCGCCTCTTGGCCATGATCTTCGTTGCTGCTTTTTTGTCTGTATTCCGTATTTGGTTTCTGCACGTATGGAGACAACATCATCCCGAAGCCGCCGTCGCAGTCCCTGTTCGAGCTCATCTGGGAGGCCCTCCAAGACAAGACGCTCATCCTGCTCTCGGCCGCCGCGTTCGTCTCGCTCGTTCTGGGCATTCGCGAAAACCCGGAGAGCGGCTGGATTGAAGGCACCGCCATTCTCATCGCCGTCCTCGTCGTCGTGACGGTCTCGGCTGTCAACGACTTCCAAAAGGAGCTGCAGTTCCGCAAGCTCAACGACAAGAAGGATGCCAAGGACGTCAACGTTGTGCGCCACGGCGTCCAGATGCAAATCCCTGTCGCCGAGGTCTTGGTGGGCGATCGCGTTGAAATCTCCACTGGTGACATTCTGTCTGCCGACGGTGTGTTTATCAGCGGCGCAAGCATCAAGTGCGACGAGTCTGGTGCGACTGGTGAGTGTGGATTTTTGGAAGGAGCGACTTGTCAATGGTTTTTTTTTTTTTGTTGTTGTTGTTGTTGTTTGTTTGTTTGTTGTCAACTTTTGGTTCTCACTCTTGCCTTCCATCCGCTCTCTTGCTCTCTTGCTCTGTTGCTCTCTCGCAATCCGCACTCTTCGAACCACCAGGTGAATCGGACGCCGTCAAGAAGGGCACGGGCCACAAGGAAGACCCCTTCTTCCTGTCTGGCACAATGGTTTTGGAAGGCTCGGGCGCCATGCTCGTGACGGCCACGGGCGTCCACTCGTTCAACGGAAAGCTGCTGATGGCGCTTCGTGTCGAGAACGAGGGCACCCCGCTGCAAATCAAGCTGGAGGCTCTTGCCGAAAGCATTGCGTACTTTGGCATTGTGATGGCTGCGGTCACGTTCTCGTCGCTCATCGGAAAGCACCTGTTCATTTCTCACCTCAACGGCGAGGAGTTGTTTGACGAGCACTTTTTCAGTGCGATCGTCAAGTACACCATCACTGCCATCACCATGCTCGTTGTTGCCGTTCCCGAGGGTCTGCCGCTCGCTGTCACGATGGCCCTTGCTTACTCGACCATGAAGATGCTGGAGGACAACAACTTGGTGCGCCACATTGATGCCTGCGAGACGATGGGCGGCGCCACCAACATTTGCTCGGACAAGACGGGCACGCTCACGGAAAACCGCATGACGGTCGTCAAGGGCGCGATTGCCGGAAACGCATTCGAGTCTGTCACCCCGGCTGTCGGCTCTCAGATGGCCGCTCCTGTGCGCGACCTGCTCTTCCAGGGCATTGCTGTGAACAGCAACGCCTATGAAACGACCCGCGAGGACGGCACCAAGGCGTTCATTGGCTCCAAAACCGAATGCGCTCTGCTCCAGTTCTCGTCCAAGCTTGGCAGCGATTTTGTCGGCGTGCGCAAGAGCTCCAACGTCGCCCGCGTCTACCCCTTCTCGTCTCGCCTCAAATCCATGTCGACTGTCGTGGCTGTCGACTCGAAAAAGCACCGCATCTACGTGAAGGGCGCGTCTGAAATTATCGTTGGCCGCTGCGACCGCATTCTGAACGCGTCCGGCACGGCTGTTCCGCTGACTGCCGCGCACGGCGTTTCGGCAAAGATTGACGAGCTGGCGCAGGAAGCACTGCGCACCATTGGCCTCGCGTATGCGGATTTGGACTCGTTTGTGCCCGTCGATGGCGACGATGAAGGACCCCAGGTCAAGCTTGTTCTGATTGGTATTGTTGGTATTGAGGACCCCGTGCGCGAGGCTGTGCCGAAGGCTGTGAAGGACTGCCAGCAGGCGGGTATCACTGTTCGCATGGTCACCGGCGACAACATTATCACCGCTCGCAGCATTGCCAAGAAGTGCGGCATCCTCACCGAGGGCGGTCTCTGCATGGAGGGCCCCGAGTTCCGCAAGCTCACTGGCTCTGAACTGACTCGCGTCGCCACCTCTCTGCAAGTTCTTGCCCGCTCCTCGCCCATGGACAAGCAAGTTCTCGTGGACACCTTGAAGAAGGCTGTATGGCATGTTGTCTTTGGGTGTTTATGTGGTTGTTTGTTGTTTGTTGTTTTGTTGGTGGTATCTGACTTCCCACTCTTTACTTTTTGGACAATAACAGGGACAAGTCGTCGCCGTCACTGGCGATGGCACGAACGATGGCCCGGCTCTGAAGCTCGCAAACGTCGGTTTCTCGATGGGTATTGCTGGTACCGAGGTCGCCAAGGAGGCGTCCGACATTGTGCTGATGGACGACAACTTTGCCTCGATTGTCAAGGCTGTGAGCTGGGGCCGCAACGTCTACGACTCGATTCGCCGCTTTTTGCAATTCCAAATGACTGTCAACGTTGCCGCGGTTGCGCTTGCCTTCATTGGCTCCATCACCAGCGAGCACGGTGAATCGCCCCTCAAGCCCGTTCAGCTCCTCTGGGTCAACCTGATCATGGACACGATGGCAGCCCTCGCCCTCGCCACCGACTCTCCCACCCCCGACATGCTCAAGCGCAAACCGTGAGGCGTCGTGGTTGTTGTTTTGGTCTTTGGTTGGTGAATATTCCTTACATTGTTTTGTTTTTTTTTTCGCCTTGTTCCTTCTCCTTCATACTCCAGGTACGCCAAGAACGAGTCTCTGATTACTCCGCTCATGTGGCGCAACATTCTTGGCCAGGCCTTGTTCCAGATGGTGGTCAACCTGAGCATTCTGTACTTTGGCGACAAGATCTTTGGCGTCGAGCTGCACTCGGTCAAGCACCTGACCTTCTTCTTTAACATTTTCGTCTTCTGCCAAGTTTTCAACGAGATTAACGCTCGCAAGATTTACGGAGGTATGAGGAGGCGAAAAAACAAAAAAACAAAAAAAAAAAAAAACACACACACACACACACACACACACAAAATCAAACAAAACAAACAAAAACAAAATGACGAGAGAATGACAATGCCTTGTTTGCTCGCTGCTCACACTCGACGCGCCTGTGCACGAACAGAACTCAACATTTTCGCCGGCTTGTTCAGCAACCGCCTCTTCATGTCGGTCATCGTTTTCACTGTGGTGATGCAGTTCTTGTTTGTCGAGTTTGGTGGCTCGTTCGTCGGCACCACCTCTCTTTCGCTGCGCGAGTGGCTGGTTTGCATTGGCGTCGGTGCTTTGAGCATGCCCGTGGCGCTCTTGCTCCACTATGTTCCCGTGCCCGGTGCCAAGCCCGCAGCTCCCGTCGCCGCCGCGACCACTACCCCGACCGCCCCTGCTGCCACCGTCCACGCCCCGAAGCCCGCTGCGAACTGGGCCAAGCTCGCTGCTGCTACAAACCACTCCCGATCGCCGTCGCCCAAGCTGGTCGATGTGGCTCGCCAGGTGCGAACGACCAACTCGATTCTCACCTTCATCCGCCGTCGTCGCAGCCACCACCAGTTCGCTCTCAAGGATGAAAAGTAGAGATTGTTACTGTGGTGAACACACAACATCGCCAGCGTTTACAATAAAATGCAAAGGTCGATCGTGGGTGATGAGAATTAAAAAAAAACTCGAGTTGTTGGATTTTTGGAGTCGGACATACAAGAAAAACAAATCCCAAAAGCATCTAGACAACCGCTTAATCCTCGTCGGAAGAGGACGAGGAGGACCCCTCGTTATCAGAAGATTCCGAGGACGAGCCAATGTCGAGCACGAGTTTTCGACGACCGGCACCGGCCGAATTTTGCTGCTGGTGTTGTTGCTGTTGTTGCTGTAGTTGTTGCTGCTGTTGCATCTGCTTGAGTCGCAGCTGGCGCTGCTGCTCCAGATGCTCAATCTCCTCCTGTTGTTGTTCATCCATAAATCCTGCGGCGGTATTCGCGGCGTTCGCTCCAGTGTCCATCGCCTGCGCACCGTCAGCACCGTCTCCGAGACCCAGGGCCTCTCGCGCAGCATCCAGCCCTCCGAGGGCCAAATCGTCGAGCTGGCCAGCTGCATCGAGGTACAGGAGCGAGTCGCGCATCTGTGTTTCAAGCGGGTATGGGCCAGAGTAGATGCCGAGCGGCATGCCCTCTTTCCAGTCGGGCGGTGCTGTCGCCACCGTACTAATGTAATGTGCATATCGGATGACGTCTCTCGGATCGACGTCGCCTGCGAGCAAAAAGATAAATCACAGGACGAACAAACAAACAAACAAATAACAGTAAGAGTCAGCCAGAATGTTTTGGCGGGTGATTGTCGGACTGTTCGACTTACCACGCTCTGCTTGCTTCATGACGTCGAGCTTTGTCTTTGAGCGATCGACAATCAGACCAAGGCGTTGGTCTGCGCGCTTGAGCTCGGCTGCGAATGAAGCAATGAGCTCGTCCTGCTCGCCCAGCACTCGCTTGAGCTCGTTCAACCGAGCCATCCCACTTTGATGGACTTGCACTAGTGTTGGTCAATGCCAAGCGTCGTTGATGTCGAGTGAGTCAAAGTGCAACGATGAGCGATTGCCAAGCAACACAAGTCATTTTGTTTGATGGAATAGCGTCAATCCCTCCACTGGACCAAACTTACGCTTGGTCACTGCTTGCTGGAGTCTTGCTTCTGTCGCCATCAACGCCTCTGCAATGGCGGTTGACCTTGCGACTGGATCGGCCATTTCTACCAGTCGCTGAGCTTGCTCGGTCGCCTCTGTGGCTGAGGCCGAGATCGACAGTCCCGCCGACGCCGCCGCGGCCGCAGCTGCACTCGATGCGACCGACGCAGCAGCAGCATGCATTGCAGTTGGCTCGAGCGTGCCGTGGATGGACGCGATGAGCAGCGCAGTCAGCCGCCCGAGCTGGTCCAGCAGCTGGTGCGCTTCCATTGTCGCTGCAGCGGGCTGCTGTGCCTGTGCCTGTGCTTGTACTTGTGCGTGTGCTTGCGATGACTGCGCCTGGGATTGAGCCTGCATGGTGGTGGATGACGACGGCGTGTCTGCGCGGTGCGGTATTGGCTGGCTCATCTCACTGCCTCCAAAACTCAGAGAAGACTGGACAGCTCAGATACTGAAACTGGGAGAACTGGAACTGAAACTGGGAGTATGGGAGCAGCTTACTCAATGACGACGAGTAGGCGATGATTGAATGAGAATGATGGACGATTGAATGGATGTTTGATCATGGAAAGCATTGTTTCATCAGAAACTTGTACAGCAAATTCAAATACAGCTCGAATGCTAGTTTCTCAGATCTGTGAGAGGGAGGAGGTGTTTGTTGTGATGGGTGTTTGATCATGTCTCGCTCGCCCGCTCAGACGACCGCCCCTTTTGTTCCCCCTTTGTTCCCCTCTACTTGTTCCTTCCTTTTGGTCGATTCCATTCCCAGCTCATCCTCCCACTCTTTGTCTTGTTATTATTTTTGTTTCTCTTCTCCGGTCATCATCATCATCATCCTCATCGCCATGCAGTGCGTCGCACGTGGAAGTGTCTCAGTCGCACGCCGCATCGTCAACACGGCAACATCGCCACGCCAGACTCACTCTGCTGCTGCTGCTGCTGCTGCTGCTCCCATTGCCACCGCTTGTACTGCTGGTGCCGCTGCGGGTGGTGCTGCAGAGGCGACGCGGGGCAATGGGCGAATGGCAGTTGCGGCAACCTCGCCAGTGCTCAAACACATGGGGGTTCGCTCCATCGCGACAAGCGCAGCCACCCTGAGCCCACCCGCCTCGTCTGCCGCAACCATCACCACAACCCCACTGCATGCGAACAGCGCCAGTGGCAGCGGCAGCGGACCGGACGCGGCGTCAGGAACCGCGACGGACGCGAGTGCTTCGGCCGACGCTCCGGCTGCTCGACGACGACCACTGCGCGTTGAGGTGGTTGATCTGGACAAGGACTTTGATCGTATCATGGCGGGTGCCTCGCGTCCAGCTGCAGCGGCGCCGGCGAATGCGTGGACGGCAGATGTGTTTGCGCACCAAACCCGGTCGGCAGACCTCAAGGTACACACCTCAGCTGCTGCTGCTGCTGATCCGAGCATAGCATTAGCATTCGCATGACATTCGATCGACCATTTCCATTGCGAGATAGGGACGTGCGCTCGGGGGGGGGGTTGAGTGAGGACATACGGTTGGGGTTTGGCAAGCACAGTGAATGTCTTGAATGTCTTGGCTGTAGAGAGTTTGCTTTGGAGGGGGAGGCGGTTTGAGGTGTCTTAGTTTTGATGCTCAGTTTCTTTTGGGTGCGCCAGTGCTGTGCTATGTATCGGAGGCACATCCGATCTCAAGTGACTTTGGGTGCAAACTGTATTGGCTTTTTACATTGAGTTTCATGGAAGCGTTTGTTCAGCTTCTTTCTCGTGGCTCGCTGATCAAATCCCATGCGGCGATTGATGTATTGGCTGTGCTGGAGGTGGTTGTGACGGTTCTTTCCGATCGTACATGTGTGATGGAGGCCGCCACAACGCAACCACAACCTCGTTTGAAACCATTCGTTTCGCTTCGTTTCGTTTCGTTTCGTTTCGTTTCGTTTCCTCTATCTATCTCTCTCCCTCCCTCTCCCCACTCCCGGTCTGTGTCCCCTACTTCCTTAACGATGATCATTTTTTTTTTTTTTTTTGAATTCAACTCTATTTCCGTTTACTTTTGGACTCGTCTCAGTTTGATTTTCCCGCCTTTTTTTTTTTTTGATCTTCCCTTCGTTTTCTTACTTTTTCCTTTCTTTTTTGTTACCTTTTCCTCGGTCTTTTAGTTTCATCGCAATATGCAAAATGGCAACGCAAACCCCAGCAATCTAGGCTCACAGGTGACCCCGTTGCTCCAGCACCCCCTTCCCTTCCCTTCCCTTCCCTAACCCTTCCTTTCCCCTTCAACTCTGGTCGATCGCTTCTTTGCTTGCTGTTTCGAGGATCAATGCAGAGTGGAGTGAAATCGAAGCCATGAGGTTCTTTTTTTTTTTTCCTTTTTTTTTTCTTTTTTTTTTTGTTTTTGTCGCTTTCCTGCTCGGATCGCCCCCCCCCCGTCATCCATTGAAATCGAGATTGGGCGGTGGTGCTACTCTGCTCTTTGACGCTCAACCGAGCCGTGTGAGTTGAAGCAGAGCAAACAAAGGGGAGCCGCTCGTCTTTTTTCTTTTCTTTTTTTTTTTTTTTCATTCTTCCACGCGGTCGATGCATCGCTCTTGCTTTCTTTGTCTCTTCTTGCTGTCTCTCTCTTTCTCTCTCTCGCTCGCTCTTCCCACTTTCCCCTCAAATCATCCGTTTTGTCTTGCTTTGATCTTCTTGGCCTTTGCATGTTTGTGCGTGTTGGGATGGCTGTGGCGATCGTTCGCTCGTCTCCATTGCATGCTGTATTGTCGTCCTGCTTGCTCACCACCCACCCCCGCCTGACATGCTTGCTTATTCATCCCACTCTCTCTGGAATCGCCGCTTCAATGATCACAGCACCTGGATGCGACCTCGTCATCGGCTCCCGGTAAGAAGGCATCCGCTGTTTTCTATGCATTTTCCATTGCGCCACGCGGCCTTTCCAGCCAACAAAAAAAAAAAAAAAAAAAAAAAAGCCATTGATTATTTCCGTGCTTCCTTCCTCTCTTTCACTCGCGCCTGAACTGTCCGAGCTACATTTCACTGTGATGGTTGGGTGAATGAATGTCGAGTCAGTCATTCTCCTGCTCGACCTGCTTTTTCCATTTTTCAATGCCAGTTTCCTTCTTGTCTTCTTCTTCATCCCCTTCCACCACTTTCACTTCAAACACTGCCGCCGTTGCACCGTCCGCTTCAGCTGCCAGTGCTTGTGAACAACAGTCTCATTCGCGCCCCTCGTGGGCCGGAGCAGACGCGTCTGCAACAACAACATCGTCTCAAGACCCTGCCTCGTCAGCGTCAGCGTCATCGTCGCCGTCGTCGTCTTCCGCTAACTTTGGCCGTTCCTCTCTCCCCACAGCTTCCGGCAGCCGCTACGTCCCTCCCCACCTCCGCGGCAGGCAAGCCTCTTCGTCGTCGTCGTCGTCGTCGTCGTCCTCTGGCCCCGCTGGTGACTTCCGCTCAGGTAACCTTGGTTTTGAACGTTACATGTGGTCTCGCTTTTTTTTTTTTTTTGAATGATGACACAACCAGCCAGCCAAAGGGGGCTGTAGTCGTGTGACGCTGCCGTTCCATATCTCGCAACCACCATTCGCGCCATCTTTGTATTGGCGTTCGTTGTGGCGTGTGTGGTGCTGTGGGGTGATTGAGGTTTGCGCTGTGCAGAGCGAGGCAGTCTTCGTTGGTGGTTCTTTTCACTTTTTTCGAAACTCTTCCATCAGCCATTTCCTTCTGTTCTTGATCTTTTCCGAGGTCATCTCCTCTTGCTTCAAACGCCTGCCATTCCCCCCCCCCGGGCGTTCAGACGACAAACATTTGCCGAGTCATGAATGCACAAAATGGTGTCGCAATCGGATTTTCGACTTTTCTTTGCATTTCCATTGATTGCGACACTGCGTTTTTTCATCTTGTTCTCGACTTCAAAAACCCCCAACCAAACGTCCCGACCAGTCCCCATTCGCAAAAACAACAACCTTTTACACACTGCACTATCACAAACCATGATCATTGACCCTTCGCTCGATTCTTCCTCTGTTGTTTGCCCTCAATCACTGACCACGCTTGCTCCCTCTTCCTCTTCCTCGTCTTCTCCGTCTTCTTCTCCGTCTCCCGCTTGCTCTTGGCGCTCTGCAGACGATCGCCCACGCAACGACCGTCCTCGCGATGACCGCCCGCGCGACGACCGCTTTGCCAGCTTTGGCGGCTCGCGAGACCGCCGCGACGATGGCTACCGCCGAGACGATCGCCGCGATGATGGCTACCGTCGTGACGACCGCGGCTATGGCGGCGGCTCGCGCTTTGGCGGCTCGTACGGCCGCTCGCACGCTTCTGAAGACTACGGCGGCGACAGTGCTGCGCCGACCTCGTCGGGCCCGCGCACCTACCGCATTGGCCCCCGCGACGAGCGCCTCGAGCGCGAGCTCTTTGGCACGGTCAACCAGGGCATCAACTTTGACAACTACGATGACATCCCTGTCGAGGCCACCGGCAACGACGCCCCCGAGCCCATTGCCACCTTCCGTGACGCCAGCCTCGCGGACGCCATCCACTCGAACGTCGAGCTCGCCTCGTACCACAAGCCCACGCCCGTCCAAAAGCACGCCATCCCGATCATCCACTCGCGCCGCGATCTGATGGCTTGCGCCCAGACGGGCTCTGGCAAGACTGCTGCCTTCCTGCTCCCCATCCTCTCCAACCTGTGGAAGCAAGGCCCCGCCGTGCCCCCGCCGCGCCCCTCTGGCCCCGGCGGCTACCGTCGTCAAAAGACCCACATTGAGGCTCTTGTTCTCGCCCCGACGCGCGAGCTCGCCGTCCAGATCTACGAGGAGGCGCGCAAGTTCTCGTACCGCTCGGGCATTCGTGCCTGCGTCGTGTACGGCGGTACGGACATTGGCCAGCAGCTGCGCGACATTGAGCGTGGCTGCCAGCTGCTCGTCGCCACTCCCGGCCGTCTGATGGACTTGCTCGAGCGTGGCAAGATTTCCCTCGACAACTGCCGCTATGTCGTTCTTGATGAGGCGGATCGCATGCTCGACATGGGCTTTGAGCCGCAAATCCGCGAGATTGTCGAAAAGAACGACCTGCCCGCGATGGGCGAGCGCCAAATGCTCATGTTCAGCGCCACCTTCCCCAAGGAGATTCAAGCCCTCGCCCGCGACTTTTTGGAGGACTACCTCTTCCTCGCCGTCGGCCGCGTCGGCTCCACCTCGGAGAACATTACCCAGAAGCTCATCTGGGTTGACGAGCACGACAAGCGCTCGATGCTGCTCGATCTGCTGTCGGCTGCTGGCCCCGAGTGCCTGACCCTCTGCTTCGTCGAGACCAAGCGCGCTGCCGACTCGCTCGAGGATTTCCTCTACCACGAGGGCTTCCCCGCTGCCTCCATCCACGGCGATCGCTCGCAACGCGAGCGTGAGGATGCCCTGCGCACCTTCCGCTCTGGCCACACCCCCATCCTCGTTGCCACTGCCGTCGCCGCTCGTGGCCTCGACATCCCCAACGTCAAGCACGTCATCAACTACGACCTGCCCACCGAAATTGACGAGTACGTCCACCGCATTGGCCGTACCGGCCGTGTCGGCAACCTTGGTCTCTCGACCTCCTTCTTCAACGAGAAGAACCGCAGCCTGGCTCGCGAGCTTCTCGATCTCCTCACCGACGCCGGCCAGGAAGTGCCCAAGTGGCTCGACGAGATTGGCCACGAGAGCGGTCGCGGACGCGGCGGCTACCGTGGTGGTCGTGGCGGCAGCCGCTTTGGCGGCCGCGATTACCGTCGCGACGAAGGTGGCTTTGGCGGTCGCTCGTCTAACAGCAACAGCGGCTTTGGCGGCAACAGTGGCCACCGCTCTGGCAACAGCAACCACCACAGCAACAACCAGGGCGGCTCTTCTGATTGGTTTTAATTGAGCCAGTCTGTGCCTTTCCACCTGCTTGTTTGTCTGTTCTTGTCGTGGTTTCCTTTCTTCTGTTTTTTTTTCTCACCCTGTCCACCAGCACTCTCGTCTTTTTCTTTTCTTCTTCTGCCTTTCTCTCTTCTCACAAAAAATTGCGGTCGTTCTTGACGGCCTTCTCTTGTTATGGCATGCAGAGTGAGCGCGTCTCCCTTTCACGTTCCTCTGCGGGAAGCTTTTGTCCCCAACGAAAGCAACACATTTTTTTTTCTTGCCCATCGGGCATGATTTCTTTTAACCCGTTCTCCATTGGTTTGATTTGTTCTTTTTCTCTCTTCCTTCCTTTTTTTTTTTTTTTTTTTTCGACAAAAAGCTTCCCGCTTCCTCCCTGCTTACCGGGTTTGCGCCATTCCTTCGCAACTCGGGTCTGCATCCCATCGATTGATGCCCACTTTTCCTTTTCTCCCATTTTTTTTTTCCAACTCGTTAAGAACGTCCCTCCAAAACATACTTTTGGTTTTCATTGCCCCCCCCCCTTTTTTTTTTGGTTGTTGTTGTTGTCTGCTTGTGTGTTTGTATTTTTGTGCAATAATCAACCACTTGCCATGATTCATTCGATTCCATTTCCATGCATATGTGCAGATGTGAACTTGTGCTTCAGTCTTTCTGTTGTGTTGCGCAGTGTTTGCTGTTGTCAACGAATGTCCGACAGCCCAGCGCCAACTACTGCACCAGTCGAGCAGAGTGCTGCATCCACGCTGGATGTGCTTGTTTCCAAGCTCATGGTGCTCAAGCAGGTGAGGGTACAGAAGGAAGAGAAGCAACGGATTGTTTCGCGCCATTTTTTGTTGTTTTTTGTTGTTTCACCTGTTGTTTCGCTGGTTGTTAGGAGCACATGGACTCGCTCGCCAGTGCTGCGTCTCAAAGCAATGAAGTCGAGTCGCTCAAGGCTCGCATCGTCGAGCTCGATCAGGAACTCGCGAGGAGCAGCATTGGTGAGCGAGGAACAAAAACCCGAAACACAAAAAAGCCCGCCAAGTTCATTTCGAATTGGCGTTCATCTTGCTTGCAACAATCTCACTGAGTGGACCAACCGCGGCTCTTGCGCTTGCAGATTATCAGAAGCTGAGAGATGCGTATGAAGACGTGGCGGAGCGGCTGAGATTGAGCTGCAACAGCACTTGTAAGGACTTTGCTTGCTGCGTGCGGCTCGATGAAAATTGTTTCGGTGGATGTCATTGCCACGCTCGCACTAACAAAACGAGCTGAACTGCGTTGCGTGTCTGTTGACAGTTGAGCTCGAGGCTGCCAGGCGAGATACCGAAGCGCTGGTCATGCAGTTCCGCCGTGAGCGCGAAGTGGGTTTTGGAAATTCGGGACTGTTGGGGATTGTGTTTCAGCTGCTTGCCTGTGCAATGCGGTATACTCACTGCTACACAACCACAGGAACTCATGGCGCGCGTCACGGAGCTCGAGGCCAAAGTCGCACAGTGCCAAAGCGCCGAAACTGCTTCAAAGGCGGCTTTTGCCGAATCCATCAAGGAGCAGGGTATGGGTGTTTTTTGAAATGCGAGGCAGCCTGCGTGCTGAGATACGCAACGTTGACTTGCATTGATATCGGATTGCCTGCTTTCTGCATGTACATTGTGACATGGGCAGAGTCAACGCAGTCGCTTGCGTTCCAGCTGTTCAAGCGGAACGCGGAGGGCACCATCCGCACCCTGCACGAAAAGAACAAGACCATGTCCACGCAGTTGCTTCAGCTGCAGGAAAGCGGCACGGTTCAAAGCCAGGAGATGTTCCGCAAGGTTTGTGCACTGCGATACGAGCGAAAGAGGAAGTTCGAACATGCTGATCAGCATCCATTCTCATCGAATGCTTTGTTTGTTTGGGTTTTTTTTTGTCTTAAAGAAATGGCAACAAGCACTGGCATTGTTGACGGCCGAGCGTGACGCACATGCAGCCACTCGAGCAGAGTTGGCTCATGGCCGCCGCCCCAAGGCCGTGGTCGGAAGCGCTACTTCGTCAGCGGCTGCGACAAGTGCCACGTTGTCGGATTCGACGCCGCAGGTCAACAAAGTCCCGCACATTACCCGCAAGAAACCCCGTCTCCAACAGCCAGCGCCGGTGGCTGCCAATCCCGTCGTGACGGTGAGCTCCAGCGCTCCCGCCAAGGACAATTGGGCCATCGAGGGTGATATGGACATCGACTTGTCGTGAGCAAGGTGTGCTGTATTTCTGTTGCTCGCAATGCAGTGTGTTGTCCAAACGAAAACATCTTTCATGCATAACAGGCAGCAAGAGCCGAGGTGTTGAGTCACGGGCGCGAAAGAACCAGACCTAGAAAAAGCAACCAACCACAGTAAGCACACGGGCAAGTTCAATAGTCCATGCAAGCCAAAAAGTGGTCGTGCGGAACTTGCCCAACGAGTCAGCAGAGCGTTGCACGGCGTGCGAAATTCCTCGCGGCAGAAGGTAGCACTGTCCTTCGTCGACTTGGACACTCTCGGTCTTGTCTGCTACTTGCACGTTGACTGTGCAAGAGCCAGACAACTGGTAAAACCAAGTCTGACGGGCCAATCGCAGATCGCAGATTCGTGAGCACCAAAAAGAAAAAAAGAGAGAGAGGGAGAGAGAGAGCGGCTATTGCGACGGTATGAAAAGTGCCTCCATTCCGCCTACCTCATTGGCGGCTGCCTTGAACTCGACTGAAGTGCTCGGGCCTCGCGAGGCTTTCAGATGAAACTGCCAACAAAGTGACGACATGCAATGTGAGGCTAACGGCAGAATACTCTTCGCTGTTAGCCTGTTTGTTACCTGGCTCTCGGGGCCATACAAGAAAGCGGAGGAGCCTGGAGCAATTCCCTTGGCCTCGATTGCTTGGCGCAGATTGAATGGATTGGGATGTGTGTCGGGGTTGATGCTGTTGTGACCTGGCCCATGGAAAAAGGGGGATCGTCGACGGATGAAAATTAGAGTCGGAGTTCATCAACGAGCACGCAAAAATACACATTCAAAATGTCAATACCTGGCTTCTTGGCCGCGCCAGCGGGATCTGCTGCTGGAGGAGTGCGCTGTGAGGGGTGCAGATCGAGAGTTCCGCATTTGCTGCACGTCCGCGATTCGGTTGATGCGTAATATCCCTCGATCACAGGCTTGAGCTGTGAACCTGTGGACACGGCCGAAGGTGCAACATCAAGCGACATCCAACAGTGTGGAATGAGCGGTTTTTTCAAAGGTAAAAAAAAAAACCCCAGAGTGCTCTCACAAAAACCAACACCCAACAACAACGAGGAATCACAAACCGAGGTCCACGCAGTGGAAGGTGCCTTCGTGCACAATCTCGCGGCATTGCGGACAGTACCAGCGAAGGTGGTCGATTTCCGTCTGATCGCGCTCTCGCTCAATCACCAATCCGATCGTGTTGGCAAGTCGTTGAGGCGAGTGTGGAATATTGCCAGGGAGCATGAACGACTCGCCCTCGCGGATCACAACATCACGGAATACGCCACCATCGACGACTCGCAGGCACATGTCTCCTTCGACCATGTAAAACCACTCCTGGTGAACAAGAGTGGATGGGACGGTTGAGTTTGATGCAAGAACCGGCGGAGTTCAACAAAATGGATCAAATTCAACCAAAAAAACGTACTTCGCCGTCCTCGAGGTGGTAATCCGTTCGAGTGTTTGGTCCTGCGACGACCATGACTTTGAACTGTACAATCCCAATGAAAAACAGCGACATGAAGTAGGGTGAGTGCGATAGTCAAGACATACGCTGCATGAGTGCGATTTCGCCCGTAATCCCCCCCCCCGCCTCCTTTCAATCCACGACTCTGTCGCTTTGTGACCATCGACACCAAATTCCATTCGACTGGGTTTTGTTGACGCTGCGGAAACTGCGAACGTGGTTCAAGCTGAACGCGTCACTCGTTCTGCACTGCAATTCTGCTTGAGTTTCCGTTTCACTCGTCTCGTTCGTCTGGTTCGTCTCGTTCGAGTCGGCGTCACTCGTTGCTTGCTGTGACAAGCATGGCATTGAACAAAAGCGCGTTTCAGCGAAAACCCGACCTCGCAGCCATCGCCGTTGAGGAGCTTGTTTCCGACTGGCGGCTTGAGCTGATCACGGATGGACGCAACCCAGCGGACGAGGTGCACTGGCGCCGGGTGAGACCTGACCACAAGCGTGATGGAGCAGCATATGGAAGATGAGTCAACGCCACAGAAACAGAAAAAACAAAAAAACGGTTGGAGGTTTGAGTGGAAACGGAACTGACTGGGTGAGAATGGATGCAGACATGACTGATTGAAGGCTGAAGGAAAGTGAAGACTGAGACGAATCTCAGACGATCTGAGATGTCGGCTATTTTTAATGACGATCTTGAGATGTTTGCTATTTTGAATGAGAATGGTCTTGATTTTGAAGAGGAAATTCGCAGCAGTGTATTGAATGAAGAGTGTGAAAGGACAACTAAAAAAATATACACTGCCAGTGATGTGCACCATGAGCTGAAACACAAACAATAACAGCTCGATTGAAGGTGTTTCGATCCACAGAACACAAGACAAAGAGATGCTACCGACGACATTCTCGCGGGCGATCTGACAAACACGTCCAAGTACTGCTCGACCTTCCCTGTTCCAACCACGTCGATGGACTCGCCTTCGTTCAACCCGGCCTTTTGGGGAGCGACGATCTGATGTGGCGCGGCCCGACATGGGGCTTTACCAACTGGTTTGTGATTGAGGCGCTCAGCTCGCGCAATTACACGGCCGTAGCCGACACTCTTGTCCAGAGGTGGCTCGCCCTTGTCGAGAAGAGCGGCATTTGGGAGCAGTACAACCCGATCACTGGCGATCCTGACGGCGCTGTGGGTCTCGGCATGTCCACTCTGATTGTCGATTGGCTCTACCGCACGGGGGTTGTTCGTGATTGAAATGTTGGATGATTGTTGTTTACTAAAGATTCGTCGTCGAGTGGAACAATTCTAGCGCTTGAAACGGGGGAGCGGGACGGGGCAGGGTTACCACTTCTTGGGGTAGATTTAACACGCACATGCACTCTGGGGTCTGCAAACGGTAGGTAGCAACAAGCGGCAAAAGCGTCGTGAGGGCACTCTTGGCTCGAGTTGGCGCCAAAACAGGCCCGCTTCCTCACTCCCTCCAATAGATGCGCTCGGTCGAAGGCTACCATCGATCCAGCTTCCAGAGTGAAGCAGCCGACGGCGGAAGACCAGGGGCTTCGAAAGCAAAGCGTATGCAATCGCCTTGATTCGGCTCAGTCATTCATAATTTCCGGACGATGAGCGCAATAGCGCGCCACCGTTTGGCTAACATATCGCAGAATCAAGGAGCTGCGGCCTCGGAGGCAGATGTTGCTGCTCCTGCTTATGCTGCTCCTGCACCTGCTGCTCCTGCACCTGCTGCTCCGACGGCAAGTCCGGCTCCTGCGCCTGCTGCACCTACTCGAAATGGTGAGGTACCGAGTTGACCGTCCATTGGTGTCCTTGTTGCTTGTACTCCATCTTATTGCAATCGTAAGCCACGTCGGACAAAAGTCTCGGCGATGTTTCGCGCCAATTTTTCCCCTCCCTTTGAGCCAACCTGATGCGATCCTTGCTGTTGTTTGTTTTGTTTGTCCAACTCTGATGTGATTGGTGTTTTCTGCTTCATCTTAGATCCATGGCAAGTTCTGGCAATGCGCCTTCAAAACGACCTCAGAGCAAAGGACGACGAGCTCAAAGCTGAACGCAGCGCAAAGGACGACGCCCTTGCCAAAAAGGACGAAGCCCTTGCCAAAAAGGACGAAGCCCTTGAGACAAGGGCTAGCGGCCTCAGAGCAAAGGACAAGGAGCTCGCTCAAGTCAAGAGGCACCTCCAGGGAGTTGTGCAATCGTACGAAAATTTCTGTAAGTGGTCGTTTTGCGTGTTGTTGAACACGGGCTCTCTCATCACTGACAATCACATCTACAGTGGCGGCCTTAGGATCTTCTGTCAATGCTGAAATGGCGAGTCTGGCCGTTCACTACGCCCTCCCCAATTGCGACTGGGCTGTTTCACTTCGTGAGACTGAAGCCACTGAGCCCAGCCAGCGTCCTTCCTTACCGTCTGATATCCAAGAACAGCAGCAGAGCCACTCAATTCTTGCGGATTTTTTCACAAGCGTCTGCCGCCAAAATGGGCGCGCGGATGTGATGGTCATCGAGACGGAATTATTTGCCCCAAACGAAAAGTGCGCGGACCTTGTGGCTGTCTCGACGGCGCAACTCGAGATGATGCTCGATTGCGACACAGACGCCGTGCCAGAGAAACTCGAGGCTGCTCGTCATCGTTACGCTGTTCAAGGTGGATTGACTCTCGGCCGCCCGGCTTATGTCCTCTTTCTGATTGAAGTCAAGCCTGATCGGACTCGCGGCCGTGAACCTTTGCTCGAGCTTGCAAGCTATATGATTGCAAGCATGCGCCATGATGTCAACATAGACGTTTGCTACTCTATTTGCTGGAGATCAGGCGGTATTCACGTCGTGCTAGTCGATTTGACGCACGTGAACACAGCGACGCGTATGGATCCTGCAGCAGGCTTCCCCATTCCGATCATCGAGTACACTCTGTCCAAGCCAGGGCAAGCCATCAAGTTTCTGCTGGAGCAACAACAACGCAACATGCCACTGTGGGATGAACCAATGTCCAGTGACCCGATCTCAGGAAGCGGCAGCCGAGGCAGTACAGCCTCCAGCCTGGTTGTGTCATTGGTATGTTATCGAGTGCATGGTCTTTGGCGACGGTCCAGAACCAGATTACTCACTTCTTGATTGCATGCTCGCTCCTTCTCCTTCATGACACACACCTGACACCCGCTAGAGCGAAGGGGAGCAGCAAGTGATGAATGTGACGAATCTTAAAGACAACACGACGTTTGCGGGACAGCTTGCTCTCAAGGGCGCGAACACTCGCGTCGTTGTCAAATTTTCGGACGGCAAGTACTACGGTCAGATGGAGCAGCTTGTTCGGGAGGGCATGGCACTGGCTCTTCTCGGTCGCGCTGGTGCGAGCGAGCACAATCTCCCCGTGCTGCTGAGCTTCTGTGAAGCCACTCTCAATGACACCAAGGGCTTTGCGCTGGTGACTCATTGCCTGTCAGGCACGACCCTCGAGTGGTGGGCTCACCAAGTACACGCTGAAGGTATCTGCGCAAAGTTGCGCGAGACCCTGCAGTGGGTGCATTCGCAAGGCATCGTTCACGGTGACATTCACAGAGGGAATGTGCTGGTAACGATCATGCCTCCGTCGCCTCCACGAACCGACCAATCTCAATACCAGCAACAAGTCTCCGTCTCCGTCGCGTTGATCGACTTTGGTCTGTGCTGCTTCCGCCCAGAGATTGTGACCCCACAGGACGTCAAAGTGGCGCTCGAAGCTGCACCCGTCACAGCTCCCGTCCTCGCTGAGCTCAAGTCGACGTGGCTTGGACGTGTCGCCGGCAACTCGTGGGACATCTGGCCTGGGCACTTTTACGCCATTGCGAGGTCGAAGCACTGTTGCACGCCGCGGGCCGACTTTCTCAGTCTGAGTCTACTCGTGGTGGCCGGGTGCACTGGCGGCTCGTTGCGGCTTCAATTCCAGCTGGACTGGCCAAAGGATGTCGAAAGGTCCGAGAGCAAGCGGATGAAACGCGCGCTGCTTCGTGATCGGACTGGAAGTCTCGCTTGGTTGATGAAATCGCGTGGAGGCGTTCTGCGTGAAGTTTGCACCACTCTTGATTCCGCCGAGGCGCCCGAGGCAATGGTGTAGTCGTGCCTACCTCATGTCCTTCCACTTTTACTCCTGTAATACAACGTTCCTTTGATACCAGCCTTTCACCTTTTCAACAGTCGGTTCCGGAGCTCGTTTAGACCAGAGTTTTGCGAGGCTTGCTGCTGTTTTTGAAGTGACCTAGCGAGAGGGGAGGCAGGTGTGTACTGCCTTGCTTCACCTATGATTGTTCTGGTAGCCATCGTCCGTCTAAGTAACACTCACTTTCAATTCACGAACTCTCAGAGACCTTCATTGTACAGTCTCGCTTTTGTTTTTTTGTGTAGAATTTGCATTGGAGAGAGAAGCAATCTCAATTTGCCAGTTCCAATCTCCACGCTCGCTTCAACACAATGTCGAGCTCCAGCATTGGCGGCGGTATTCTGGACTACATTCTGCTCATCGGCGAGGGCATTGACAAGCCTCAGCAGCAGCAGCAGCAGCAGCAGCAGCCAGAGCAACAGCCACAGCAAGCGCAACAGCACGACGAGCAACAGGCGGCTCAAGCGCCGACCACAGCCACGAGCGCGACATCGGCAGCGCGGCACCACAATGCAATCACAGACATCATCCTGCTATGCGAGGGTGATCCGGTGAGTCAATAGCGAATGAATGAAACGAGACAAGCCGAACCATTACTGGGGTTTGAGAACAATTCAAAAAAAAAAAAAAAAAAAAAAACAGCAACCGTTTGTGTTGTTTTGGACTCGTTGAAACCATTGCTGTTGTGGAAAGGGGGGAGGGGGACAAGTGTAGTGGGTGTATGGGTGTAGCAAGACACGAGATATCGCAATGAGGAGGGGGTGGGGTTGCTGCTACGACTGCTGCTGCGAGCAAGCGAACTGACCTTTGACTGGTTTTGGGACAGATTCCGACAGGATACGTCGCTCTGACCGACATGCTGAGCAACGGAGCAGCTGCTGGCACGGATGCAGACAATGCAAAGGCACAAGGCACGCTGGACACATCCGGAACTGCGGCGGGAACCTCCGGCGCGTCAGATCCGTCCAACCACACCACTGAATCCGACGACGAGACCACCGCCGCTCAACCAGCACTTGCATTCGGGCCGCGGGGCGCGTTCGTCTGCGTCCAGCGGGGCGACACATCCAAGCCACCCATCACAAACATCCTGTGCGAGGTCGTGTCGCCGCTTGGCGTGCCCGGCCTCGTCGATCTCAAACAGATTTCACTTGCGCAGGAAGGCATTGCGGCCGTCGACGCGCAGATTGCGTCGCCAACCAGCACCGAGCATGACATTTTGAGCCTTGTTTCCGTCATCACCGAGCACGCTTCTGCTCTTTGCTTTGAGTGCAAAGCAGCCGTCGATATCATGGCCTATTCCATGGCCATCCGGCACCAGTACATTCTGCTTGGTCGGGCTGTTGCGCGCAGTGCCACTCGTTCGGTATGATGTGCTTGATCGCATTGGTGTGGGGACGGGGTATGATTCGGGGCGTTGTTGTTTTGGGTTTTCGACGATCCTTTTTTTTGTTGTTGTTGTTGTTGTTGTTGCTTGTTGTACGTTGTTGTTTGTTGTACGTTGTTCAACTCACTCCTATCGCTCCATTGCGCAGGTGAATGCCATCAAGGCATTTGCTACAGGACTTGCAGCCGAAAACCGTGATCGTTCAGCTGCGGCCGTTCAATCTCTGGCATTCGCTGCGAAAGAGCTGTTTGAGCTGGCATCGCGATCGCCTGGCGCTCCGGTCGGCTATTCCTTGGTCCGACACCCGGTTCCACTGCAACAGCACTTGCCAGCGAGCTCTGTCGTACCACCTTCGCCATCTATGCGACGGCCATCGCTCATGCCTCAATCCTATCCGCCCGCCATCCTGTCGCCCAACACGCTGGCGTCGCCAATGTCGGCTTTCACTTTCTCCCTGAATGATCGCCACGACCACGCCAACGAACACGATTCAGCTTTAGGCTCAAATTCCCTCTCGACAGTTTCGTCTTCGATGGGACTTGCGTCCCTTCAGCAGCCAATCTCTGCAACATCCACTCAAGCCGCACTGGTTGCCTCGAGAAATGATGTTTTTGTTGCTCTGTATGTGACCCGAGATCCCAGTCGAGCGCCCGTCACTGAGTTTGCCGTATGTTCACACCGTAAGTCCCGACGTTTGTGTTGTTGCGTGAGCAAAGGGGTTCTTCACCACTCTCATCGTTCCATCTCTCTCGCCCCGCCCCCACCCCATTTTGATTGTGCCCTCGTTGTGTTGCGCAGCGAATCAACCTCTCACGGCACAGCAGTCGCAACAAGGATTCGAAGTCGTGCAACGAGTCGAATACCAAGGTGCGCGCGCTGCTGCTCGGGCGGCCGATCTTCAAGGCGAAGCCGCCCGCGTCACGTTTGCCATGAAGCGCGTAGCAACATTGGCGTTTGAAACAGGCGAACCGGCGACATCCACCGCAAAGTCTGGTGCGGATGCGTCGGATTTTGGCTCTGCATCTCGGGCAACCCCAGAGGTCGAGTACTCGGTTGTGATTCTGGACCGCTACCCAGAGAAGGACTTGCCAGACTCACCACTCCCCGTCGCTGTGCCCTACTTTTGTCTGCCCGATGGACTCATATACCGGCACGAGCCCTTGCCGCCAGTGTTGAGCGCGTTTGTGCTGACTGATTCGTTTGGCGATCGACTCTACGGCGCCTCGCTGCTTTTCTACGAGCTGCGTCGCGACATTGACGAGGCGGCAGCTGCTGCTGCTTCTGCCGCAGCTCAGCCTCCAAAGCCCGCGTCCCGGCCCTCCAAGGGAGGTCCCAATTTGCTTGCGCGCGTGGTTCAAGGTTCCTCCAACGCCTTGACCCAACCCCAGCAACCAGAGGAGCCGCCAAAATACGTGAGCAAGTGCATCTGCATCATCTCCAAGTATGCCTTCTATGCGGCCTTCCGGAACGGACTCAAAATGCTGCACCACAACTTGCGGCATCCCGGCGATATGCCAATCGAGCGTCTCATTGGTCACTTGTTTGAAGTGCCAGTGCCGCCGCCGGGGCGCATTGCTGTTCAAATCCCCGTGGGCGAGACGAGCGCGCCGATTGTGTTTGCGCGCCCGCACGCCAACGACTTTCCGTTTGCCGACTTTTCCATCCTGCCCTTGTTTTTCTGCCTCAACCTCGAGAACGTTGTGCGTCTCTTTACGCTCTTGTTGTCCGAGACCAAGATTATTTTCCAGAGCAAGCATTATGGTCAGCGCGAGATGCTAGTGTTTTTTGTTGTTGTTTTTTTGTCACGATTTTTCCTCTTTCCCCCCGCAAGACTCACCCATTTTGACAATGTCTCCATCTCCATACAGCTCTCCTCAACCCAATCGCCGAAGCACTCTGCTCGCTCATGTTCCCTTTTCGCTGGCAATACGTGTTCATTCCGATTTGCCCGCCTGTGCTGCTTGACTTTTTGCAAGCGCCGCTTCCGTACATTGTCGGAGTGCGCACTGGCTGCTTGGACAAGAGCACTCTGCCCTCTGACGCAGTCATTGTCGATCTGGACAAAAACCAAATCATCAAGATGCGAGGAGTGGCATCCGCAGGTGGCATTGCGCTCCCTTGGAAGCCCAGGCAACGGTTGCTGGAAATGCTGCGGCGCGACAAGTGCGCTGGCAACCTGTTTCTCAAAGATTTCTCGTCGCTGCACGAGGATGTCGACGAGCACGCCTACTCGACCACGGCCAGTTGTCCGCCGAAAGGCCCCACATCGTCTGCGCAGGTCCGCATGAAGGCCATTCGCGAAGCCTTCCTCTCCTTCTTCCTCTCCATGTTTAGCAACTATCGCGACTTTTTGACCATTCCCACGGTCGAAACCATTGCCGAGCTGGACCTGGGCAATGTCGACAGTGTATTTGATCGCGAAGGGTTTCTGCAGTCGCAGCAGGCCGAAAACCGCACCTTTGTCAAGAACTTTTTGGACAAGATGGCCTTTTCGCGCTTTGTGGAGGAGCATCTTGACGTTTCTTCGCGCGACGACGAGCTCATGTTCTTTGACGCGTGTGTGGAGACGTACAAAGCCACCGACGGCGAGGCATGCGTGCCCGTGATTGACGCCAAAGACGCCGTTCAGCGCATCTTTCAAATGCCGCCACCCGAAAACACTGGCTTGCCACCGAACGCAACGTATCGGTATCCGAGGCTCCTGTCGTTCAACCACGAGTTGTTTGCGCCACTCCGCAAGCACATTATCAACTTCCGAACGACACCTGCTGTTGGCGCTCTGCAGCGACGCACCAGCATGGGTCCGTTTGACAGCAACCACGACCGAACCAAGTCGTCGTGGACGACGTTGTATGCAGACTCTTTTCTCGACTCGGACGCTGGCGCTCAGTCTGCCGATGGTGAGAAGGCCCCGCCGCATACAAGCGCTCAGACGCGGAAGCGAGCTGAATCCAGCTCTGGGCTGCTTTCGTCGACCTCAAACGCTGCGACGGCGGCTGCTGCTGGGCCGGGGTTGGCCGTGCCTGGTGCCAGCACCGCTCCGCGCTCTCGCAACGGCACCGGCTCGTCTCTTGGCTTTATTTCGACGGGTGTCCGCCTTGGTCTCGAGGCTGTCCATTTGGCAGCACCGCACCAAAACCACGCTACGGCGCAACAGGCCCTCGCCGAGAGCGACGCTCTGCCAGCGGCTCAGGGCTTTTTGCGCACAGTGTACAATGTGTGGTTTATGCTCATGTGCCACTTTATTCCCCAGGCTGAATCGCCCGAGGTGGCGTTCTTGTCCACCGCAACCATTCTCGAACGCATGCGTCTCAAGGATGTCACGCCTGACGAAACGACCTTCCGCGCGCTCCTCAAGGCCTGTGCGCACGCGGGCACCCTTCCCTCCCAGGCAAAGACGGTCTTCAAAATGCTCAACAATCACGGCATTGCCCCCAACGCCATCACCACCGGCTTGTTTGTGCGGGCAGTGTCGGGCCAGGGCGAGTCGCGCCACGGTGTGTCGTCGTTTGCGCGCGATGCCACGACTGGACGCATCATCAACTGGTTTCACAACTTTGTTGCGCTCGACCGCATGACCATCGACGGCACAAACATGTGCACGGGCTGTCGTCGGGTGGTCAGCGATGAAGAAATTCTGGCGGGCTGGGCGGCCACCCGATCGGCGTTTAAAACGCGTTGTCCGCGATGTGGTGAGGGCTTTGTCCCAACACTCAGCTGGAGGCCGTCGACGACTGTGGAGCGTGGAGAACAACCCATTGGCGGGGCTTCGACGTCGCCTGCACCTGCCCCTGAAGGCCATCAGCTCGATCCTTGGCTTGCGGGCAACTGCCCGTATTTGAGCCCTGCTGTTTTGCTGAAGGAGGTATAGTGATGTTTCGATGCGGGTGGTGGGGGGGGTGGCGGGGAAAGGTGATGATGGGAGGTCGGAGCGTCCCCATCTAATTTGGCGCTTTTTTTTTTTGGAAATTCGTTTCGACAGGTCGAAATGCTACTCTTCCAAGACCATGGCCGAGATTTCCGCAAATCACAGAGCGAACTGATGCGGGAACATCCAAGCACCTTTTGGAACCTGGCGTGGTACTTTGCCCACCTTCACTTGCCGTGGACGCTGCCGCAAATCACGCGGACGTCGCTCAAGATTATGACGCGCTCGCCGACATTGCTCAACTCTTACCTGGTGTACGAGCAAGCTCGCGCGAGCGCTGCTGCCACCCACAGTCCCTTGCCTGCAACCCCTCGTTTCGGCGACGCCATGGACTCGCTTCTCAGCAGCTTCCTTGTCACTGGACCGCGTGTCCCTGGCATGCTTCAACACCTTCGTACTACAATGTGTGATCCCGAACGGGAAGTCATCCGCGTGTCGACACAGCGGCCCGACGACGGGTCGGCCAACGACGATGCGGTCGTTGTCACGGCACCAGACGCGTCCACTGGTACTGCCTCCACAGCCGTGCGTGGATCTGGTACCCCTGCGACGCCTGCTCCGCGTGGGTCTTTGGCGATGCCACCCACGGCTCAGCGACCTGCCAGTCAGCAGCAGCAGCAACCACAGCAGCCACAGCAACCACAACAACAACAACAGCAGCAGCAGCCACAACAGCAGCAACCTGGCGCGCAACAGCTACCAACCATCGTGGCCCCACCCATGTGCCCGCGATGGATACACGACCAAGCCATGTACAACCCTTCGACAGGAACGTTGGTGGTGAATGCGCGCGTGAATCGGGGTCGCAACCAGCTGCTGGGCTACGCGCGTGTCGTGGCGGCCACGCCATCATCCGTGCTGTCCATGAAGGACGTGTCTGCGTTCAGCCAGGTCGTTGCTGACACGGTTCTGACCATCCAAGCCGACCTCGAGCACGGGCTCCTGCTCGACGCCATGGATCGCTTCCTCACCGCACGCATCGCGAACGAAAGCAAGACGGCCACGTTTGCCAGCTGGTTTTACAAGGGCATGTACGTGTCCCTGCTGTCGCTGGCGCCGATCGGGGCTGGCATGGCCTTCCCGAGCGAGCGCGAGTTTGCCGAAACGTTCAATCGCGAAATCCACCACCTCAAGCCGAGTCTACTCGACGAGTACTATGTTGACCAAGATGGGCCGCCCCAGCCATTTGTGGTGGCCTTCCGGAGCGTCTTTGACTTTTTGCGCCCCGTTCTCCGTCTTCCCTGGCAGGCCGCTGGCAACCCGCGGTCATCCGTCGGCTGGCACCCCCTTCCCCCAGCCGGCCCCGTTGCTCCGCCGCGGCGTCGTCTGATGCCCATTGCCCGCGCTCTGATGATGGGATTGTGACGAGTTTTCGTGTCAAAAAAATTCAACGGTTATTTATTGTTTTTGGATTTAAGATCTATTCGTTGCGTTTGTTTGCAGATTGCCCCCTGTCATTTTGAGATCCATTCGAGATGCTGGTTATTTTGTTTGAAGATCGCCAATAACGAGCCCGGCCATTTTGAGATCTATTCGTGTCACATTGCGCGATCAGTGACGACGAGCCCTGCCAAACCCCCTTTCGATCGATGCAATGCTACGGCCCAGAATTCCGTTTGCCTAAAACCAAGTGGAACAAGTACATGTAGGTTGGCGTGACAGCTTGTGCACGTCCACTCACGATGCAGATGCTGGTAATCACAAATGAGTCGCTAGACCAGAGCTGGCGCTAGACCGGAATCGTGTCTAGTTTGCTGCGGCTAGCTTGGGTTTTTTTTTTTTTTTTTTTTTCGTTCGGTTGCCTGCTGCATCCTCTTCTTCCCCGCCTGCGATCAAACAACAACCACCTCACTGCATCGCTGTTGGAAAGCGAATCGCTTTCGTTGGAACGCGGATCCGAGCGAGCGTTTCGAAATGCAACGCTGCAAACCGAAAATCCAAAAAAAAACAAAAATCCAAAAAAAATCAACAAAAAAATCAAAATGAAAAAAAAAAAAAAAAAACCTCGTGGCAGATGTGCTGAGGTGGTAGCGCCACAGGTCACATCCCCTGATAAAAATTGACCACCGACACAAGTGACCTGGTGACCAGGCCACCACGAAGCTGCAGAGTCGAGACGCGTTTCGCGCCAAAGCCGTCGTTTCCATTGAGTCATCAGAAAGGCCCAGTTTGGACTTTGACAGCTCGCAACTCGCATGTTGAAATGACGGCCAATCCCCCGTCTCCGCCTCGCATTTCGTCTTCTTCGGCCCACACGCACCAAGACTCAAGTTCCTGCTCTTGCTGGCGGGACACTGCATGCACAATCCCCATCGCCAGTCACGCTTCCACGTCCTCCGCACACTGGCGCATCACAGGCTGGACGCGTTTCAGCATCAGCCGTTCGTTAGCACAGCGGAGATTGCGGGCTGCGGGAAGAGGGGGAAAAAAACAAAACATAAACAAATCGAAAAAAATAAAATAAATAATAAAATAAAAAAAAACCGCGCATTGGCGCCGAATTTTTTTGTTTTTTATTCCATTGTTCGAGAATATGCTGCTGCATATCTGTGCCTGCTGGGTGGCCGTGGCTGCGTGCTATTCGTCCATGTCAATGTCAGGCGTGCTTGCTGGCAGAGGGGAAACGCGTTTGAACATTACAAACAAAAACCGCGCAACCACGTATTTTTATTTTTATTATTTTTTTTTAATATTCTTGCTGTTTCATATCCGACTCTGCGGCTGTTGCTGGCTGCGGCTGTGGGCTGTCACTTCTGGCTGCCGGCGAGCGCCCCCATGCCAGAGCGTCTGCTTGCCTAGTTGGCGCAGTGAAACGCCTGGCTTGCCAGTCCCCGGCGGTGCGCGCGTTGAGGCCCCTGCGGCACCCCTCCAACGACGGCACGAAACAAGAAGGCATTTTAAGCCAATGATTTTGTTGAGTTTTTGTGACTCCTACCGTTGTTCGCATCGTTCAACTGCTGGCTGATGGATTTCTGCCGCTGCTGCTGCTGATTTCGCTTCTTTCTAGATCCCTTCCTTCCTTCGTGTTGTTTCTCTGTGGCTTTCTCGGCGCTCACAGCAAGCCTCGTTGGATTGCTTTATTGTTTGTATTTTTATTTTATTGTATTTTTGTTTCATTTTCCTCATTCGGTCGCATTCATTTTTTTTTTTTTTTTTTTTTTGTTTTCTATTCCCCTTGTCCCTTCTTTGCTTGTCTTGCTGTTCGCTTTCTCGTTGTTTCGTGCTTTGTTTTACTTTGTGGACATTCAGTGTTCCTTCTCTGTTGTCTCTCTCTTTCGCTCTCTCTCGCTCTTCTGTGTGTTTCTCGCTCTTCTCGTTTCTCGCTTCTTGTGATCGCTCTGCCACTCCACGCGTCCCCCCTCTTCTTCTCCTCCCCTTTTTCGCTGCCATGCCGCAGGATGCCACCACTCCACCCTGCACTCCACTCAGTGGCTCTTCTAGTCACCGACCCGCAGCCGACGCTGCTGGCCGTGGCCTGAAGCGCGCACCATCCGATGACGACCTTTCCGCGGTAAGGCATCGAAAAGCATCTGCAAAATTCGCTCGCTCTCTCTCTCTCTCTCTCGCTCTCTCTCTTGTTCGCTACCTCGCTCTTGATGCAAACTCGCCGTTCTGTGCATCCTCATCATCCCAACCTGCTTTTTCCATCGTACGCTCGTCTGTGTGATTGTGACGCAACAACAATTTTCGAATTTCGTACAATTTCAGCCAAATCAATTAAAAAAGGGGGAAAGAGAAAAGCATTCTCGCAATTCAGAGCCGCGACTCGCTGCGAAATGTGGCGATTGCGGCCGTTGCACTAGACCGTGCTGCCATCCTCCGACGCTGCCGTGTAGCGAGATCTTGCGTGCGTCGACTGCCACTGGTCGCAGCGCTCCATCGCCAAACCGATCGCCGCAATCCGCGCTCAAAAGATGCCCTCTGACGAAAGCCATTTTTTTGTTTGCCTGATTTTTCCACGCTTGTTTTTTTTTTTTTTTCGGGTTTTTCTTTTCGTTTTTGTTCCTGTCGCTTTCGTTTTGCCGTTTCTCTGGTCAACCGCTTGCTCTTCGAGCGATGCGTTTTCGGATGAACTGCAGGGAGGTCTTGATGTACCACTCTAGCATGCGCCTGTGCGCACTACCTCGCTACCAACCAGCGATTCATGCGCTTTGTCTGATGGGGTGTGGTTGTCCCAATTTCTTGTCTTTTTTTTTTTTTTTCTTCGTTTGTTGGGTCTTGTTCGCACTGCGCCACCCAATCGGGAATCAGGGCATTGCAGCTTTCGCTCCTGTCTTTGATTGCGATTCTGCTGGATTTGCTTTCTTCTGCTCAAGCGTGGGGGTTTTGTTCATCCATAATGGGTTGTTTTTTCCGCCATGACTCGTTTTGGTCGCGTTTTTTTTTTTTTTTTGTCTTTTTTCTTCTTTTTTTTTTTTCCCCTTTGCTGATGGTGACGTGTGGGGGGTGCATGTCTTGGGGTCTGTGGAAGCAGTCCATCTGTTGGTCTCGTCGTTGATGATGGTCGATGCGTTACCTACGCACACAATCTGCCCTTCTGAAATTCCGTTATCAGGACTTCAGGGAGCACACATCTATTGTTGTTCGTTTGTTTTTCGTTTGTTTTCCACAAAAATCACCAGCTGGTGAACGCTTGCTGTGTCGAGTCAGTTTTACGTGGGTTTAGACCGTTTACGAGTGAGTGTGCTGAGCTGGCAAGCGCATCCGTCACCCGCATTCTTTTGCTGTGCGCGAAAAAAAAAAAAAAGGAAAAAAACAAAGGCTTGCTGCCATGTTTTGGATTAATTTGGAATAATTTCACACCCTCCCTCTCTCAGTTCGCGCTCTGTCTCTGCCTCTCTGGGTTTTCCCTCCATCCGCATCTCCCTGTGCTTCACCCTCTTTGTCATCCTTGCTTGTTTGACTCGGCGCTTTCAATTTTAAAAGCCATGAAACAAGATCAACCACTGGCTGAACATTTTGGGTTTCATTCTGATTTCGTGGATGGAGTTTCCTGCTCCTTCAACCGCCCCCCCCCGTTTTGTTTGTCTAGACTTTTGCCCTTCTCCCGTCTGTGGAATGGTAGGAATGAAGGGTAGCGTCATGGTGATCACTGGGGAGAAGCACCAAACAAACAAAAAAAAAAAAAAAACTTTTCGGTCTGCAAAAGCTAGACACAAAACTAGGCAACAGCCTAACAACGCTAGAGACCAACGCTAGCGTTCATCTAGCCCCACCTCGCTTAACGTGTGTCTAGCCTAGCCCTTGCACGAGTAGAGGAAGGTGTCGCAATGACGCAAACCACCACCAACGCCAAACCATCATCGCTGTGCAGTTTCAGAATGCATCTCGCTGCTGGGATTTGTGCAGCAATCCACTGCGGTGATCACGACCAAGAACGTGCGATTTGCCATCGATCGCCATGGCAAACCCACCCCCCCCCAACACTTCCAGAGCGACACCTCCCGTAAATCACATTGTCACCATCCACACACAACACGACAAGGAGGTGACGCAGGACGAGAGCCAGATGAACAAGTGAAAGAGCATTGTGGCGTTTGACTCATCCAAGCGCATCACAATCCTGCTGCTCTCACTCTCCCTCCCACTTTGTCAATGTCTTGTCTGGCTTGCATGCGTCAGGCTCTTGCTAGTTCTCTAGTTGTGCTCACTCTTGGCTTTTTCGCGCCTTGTTTTTTCTTCTTCTTTTTTTTTTTTTTTTTTTTTTTCAATTCGCTCTCCCTCCCTCCCTCTCTTTCTCTCTCCCTTGACAGTCCCGAGAAACCAAATTTGTGGCATCCGCTGCAGCATCTGGAATCACCCCGGTGCGATCGTCCAATAACAACTGCGCAGGGAGCAACGCGCTAACACCTGGCTCGTTGCCCCCACCGCGATTGCACACTGCCGCGGCTGCTGCACTCCAGGCGCACCAGCAACAATCCCCAACGGCAAGCTCAGAACCCCACCAGTGGCTGCAACCAAAGTCCGAGCAAGACTCCTCGTCTTCGTCCATCCCCAGTTCGCCCGCTCCAGCCATGATGATGATGACGGCAAATCTGCAAGACGCTGTCCACTTTCAGCCAATCGCGTGCGCACCTACCGCCATCCTAGCGCCTGCTCTGGCTGCTGCGACTGCTGCTGCTGCTGCCGCCGCTGCTGCCCAGGCGTGTGTGGCAAGCTCCAGCAGCAACAGTACGCTTCCCCAGCAGGTGGCTGTCCCAACAGCAACTCGCGCGGTCAAGAAGGATTCAGATCTGACGACGGCTGCCTCGCGGCACGAGCAGCAGCAGCAGCTGCTGCTGCCACTCGCCACGGCCCACGCGGTCGACCCCGCCGACGACAATGTCCTTACCCCACTATCAGCGCAAGTAGACCCACCATCGCCGGTCTCGAATTTCTCTGCAGAGCCCCAGAATGGCGAGCCTCGCACTCCTCCGCTTGCGCATCCACAAGTTCGCCGCCCTACGCCCACCGCCGCCAACCCGAGCCCACCAACCAGGCAAACACCTTCGCTGGAGCAGTACCTCTCCTCCAACATGCTCCCGCTGCCAGAGATTCTCCCATTCGCTCCACCGCATGTGGTGGACGAGTATCAATGCCGCATGCGTCGGGAGGTGGACACGCTTGTTGTGCAGGCAGAAGATGCCGCCCTTCCGCTGCTTGCTTCGTTTGAAGACTTGTGGGGGTTGGCTGCTCGGCACGATGCCAACAACAACGATGCGAGCAACATCAACTCGGATCCTGAAAATCTACTGCGCCCAATGGAGCAAGAGGGGCTCAGTGCCGACAACTTTTTCACTGGCCGCGAGTATTCCCGCGAGCTAATGTACACCATGCGCCAGGCGGAGGCCGATTTCACGGTCATCCAGGACTTCATGGAGGGTCAGCCCGAAATTAGTCCGCGCATGCGCGCCATCCTCGTCGATTGGATGTTGGAAGTGCGTCTCGAGCTGCACCTCAGCAACGAGACATTCTATCTGGCAGTCAACATTCTCGATCGCTTCCTCGAGCTCGTCGACACGGCACGCGACACGCTGCAGCTCGTGGGCCTGACTGCCATGTTTGTTGCAGCCAAGCACGAAGAAACTGTCATTCCGGTCATTAGCGACTGGCTGTACATGTGCGACGGCCAATTCCAGCAAGAGCATCTCCTGCACATGGAACTGATGGTCCTGGACAATGTGCGCTTCCGCCTCAATGTTCCCACAACCTTCCTCTCACTGATGAAGTTTATCAGCGGCACCTCGCTCGAAGCGGTTGACCAGCGCATTCTCTACCAAGCGCGCTACTTTTGCGACTTGGCCTCCGTCTCGTACTCGTTCGTCCCGGTGCGCCCTTCGATGTTGAGCGCGTCCGCGTTGCTGTTGGCGCGCATGTCGTGTCTGCCGGACGGAGACGAGCCATTGTGGTCGGATTTGCACCAACGCGTGACTGGCTACTCGGCAACCACCCTCATGCCGTTTGTCATTTTGCTGGCTGATCTTGCGCAACGCGTCAGCCATCTCCCGGCAACCGCTGTTCGTAACCTGTACCGCGGTCCTGGCTACCACTCCGTGGCCAGTCTTCCAGTCACTGTTCGCTTGCTCTGAGGGCGTTCGTTGTTGAGGGTGTCGGCTTCCCGTTTGGCTTGGGTTTTGGGCAGCCGCTTTCTTTGGAAATCCCTACCTTCACCTCGCTTCGCCAACTACAATGACACTTTCGGTTGCGGGTGCTGACCGCCTCCACTTCAACCATGACAGCTTGGCTTTGCCCATGGCTGTTCTTGTTTATTGCTTAAAAAAAAAATCAAACTTTCGCTTACTTTTTTCCCCCCCCCCCGTACTTTCGCCCGCCTCCGCACCCTCGCTTCTTTGTTAGAGTTTCTTTGACTATTGTTTTTTTATACCCACCTCTTCATTTGTCGCTCCGCTGTAACGCTATTCTTAATACATTGGTTTTTAAATTTGAATGATGTGCTCGTGTGCAAGTGGTTTGTTTCATTCTTGGAGCCTGAGCTGCTGCTGACCAGTGAAATTGTCGAACTGCTCAAACATCGAGCTTCTTGAGTTGCTCGTACGTCAAAAAGAACTAGAAGGGTACAACAAACAAGCGAATGGTGAGATAAGTTCAGAGATGCCCCAAAAAGCTCGTCAAATCGGCATACCACAATGTTCCAGGGCCCCAATCGCAGGTAGCCGGGAATGAAGCCCTTGTACAGCGCAAAAACGCCTTCGCGTTGGACAGTCTGTACGAAGTTCGAGTCAGCGCAAGTTGGGTCAAAGCTGCTGCGATCGATCCACATGTTGACGACGACTGACCTTTCGGACGCAATCGAGCGCACCCGAGTACAGTTGCGTTCCAGTTGACTGCATCATCAGCCGCGTCTAAAATCGTATTGAACAGACGCACACGGAGTTTTCAAAGCAGTTTTCAGAGGAGTTTGTCAGATGTGTGGGCGTCCGAGAATGAAAAGCGCACTCCGTCATACACAAAGGCAGCAACACTGACCTTGACAACATCGATGGGGTTGGAGGCAACCGACCCAGCAAATCCCGCGATGAAGCTCGCTCTGTCAGCCAAAAACACAAGGCAGAAACGTGTTGATGAGCATTCACACACGCGCACACCGAGTAACGATTCGGTGCGGGATTCAACACCAGAAGCCACCAAAATGAAAACGCTGCAACACAGTCACTAACGCAAAGTGGCAGTAAATGTTGTCTTGCATATGGCCGCTTCGAATAAGCCCCTTTTTGGCTGCATCATACACGGGAAGCTCGACACAGGTAATAACAGCAGCTCGTTGAGCAGTTGGAATGACACCCTGAGGTACAACCAATGCAAGGGGCCGACGGACGAGCGACGAGATGAGCGAGAGAGAGAGAGCAAGCTTTTGATGCATGATTGCTGTTTGCAGGCGGAACAAAAAAACCACTTACACGCCAAAGACCAACAACGCCCTCCTCCTTGAAAATGGTCGAAAAGGCATGCACAAGGCCACGGTAGGGCGGTCGAGAACTTTGGGCTTGCATTCGCACCTATCATGCAAAACCAGAGAAGAACCAGATTTTGGGAACAAGCTCGTCCAGCTCACACGATGCTGGTTCGAGTTGTCCTCTTTCACCAACCTTCAACACATCCGTGGGAGTCGCCAACGACGATGAGAAGGCACCAGCAATCACGCCGCAGCCCATGTTCACCAGGATGGACTCGTCTGCCAGAAGCAATTCCTCATTCGATCAGTGTGTTGAGAACGAAAACAGGGCAAATCCTGTCATCCGTACCTTTGGGATCGCTCACGACGGCCTTCTTGAGTGACTGATACACGCCGATTTTGATTGTGCCATACGTGGCTTGACGCAACAGTGCTGGCTTGATTCTGATCAACCCAAACAACAAGAGCCAAAAAAAAAAAGTGAGAGGTCGCGACGTGGTGTCTTTTTGGTTGTTTTGCAGTTCGTTTTCCAAGCGACCATGCAATTGCATCGCATGTCTGATTCTAGTGCCGTGATGCAACTCGGAGAGCTTTTTGGGGATGCTGAGTATGTTCAGAATCGAGCCCAAAAGCGATCGACCAAAGCGAACGAACGAAACGAACGAAACGAACGAACCGTTGTTTGGTTTGCAATCTGCGCTCGTTTTTTGGATGGATGCTCAATCTCCGTCCATCCAAGAAGCAGAGCAAACGGGCAGCAAACGCCAAGCGAGTCCATTGTCAGAGAGCGAGAGAGCGCAGCGGCACTCACCCGCGGTACAGCCGGAGCAGGCCTTCGTCCTTGGCGATCGTGTAACCGCAGTGGAGCATGCCGCGGTACCGCGTTGCGCCTGCGACTGCCTGCTGCGAGGCTGCTGAGGCTGAGGCTGAGGCTGCAGCTGCTTGCTGGCCTTGGAGCTGCAGGCGCGTCTTGGTCGTGTCGATCGGGAACGTGACTGAAGCCGCAGAGCATCAAGTCCAGGTGAGACGGTTTGACAGTAGTCGTGATCATGCAAACACACCATCAAAAGGGGGAGAAGAAGAAGAAGAAGAAGACGAAGAAGAAGTAGGATGAAGACGAGGGGTTAAGGGAGTTACAGATCTCGGCAGTCATGGAAGCGAGGCCGCCGTAAACGAACGGGCGCCAGTTGAAGCCAGACGACTTGTCCGAAGCGGTGCTCATTTTGTTAAGGAAGTGGAAACAAAAGAAACGAGGACTGGGATTGATTTGAGATTGAAGGGGGGAAAAAAAAAACAAATGGAGAATGGATAGGATGGATGGACTGGATGGATGCGAGAAGAAAAACAAAAACGATTGTGCTTCAACAAACGAACATTCATTGGGAACAAACACAGCCAGGCGAAAAGAAAAGCGACTGAAACATCACCAGAAAGGATAGGAAAACCAACAGACAGGTCGGTGGACAAGCTCGACGGGAATCAACTTGTTAATCGTCGTCGTGCTCGACGACTTGCCCGCCCTCGGTCGGTAGCGATCGGCCGGTCGCTCGCGCAATCCATTGTTGCACCGACTCGCCAGGATTTGGTACTTGGCCAGCCAATAGGAGAGCCTCCAATCGCTGCACCTCTTCGAGTGATTGAGCGTTGGCGACAGCGTGCTGTCAACGAAACAAACGAAAAAAAAAAAAAAAACGAGGACATCGTGAGTTGTCTCTGGTAACTTTTCACAAAGAAGCAAAACAAAACAAAAACTAGACTCGTACCTGAATTGCTTGCTTTTGCTCCTCCGTTCGCATGACACCCCCGCCGTATTCACTTCGCGAATCCATCTCGCCAGGAACGAATGTTTTGCTCGTCTTAACATGCTGCGCTTCAAAGCTCTTGCCCTTGTCGCCAGCGAACGCTTTTGCTGCCACTTCGCGCTCCTGATAGTGCCGAACAAAAAGAATGAGGACAAAACACGGGGTTAGAAAAAGGCATCGAGTGCTTGAAAAGCTTGGAATGAATAGTATGACAAACGTACCTTCTTTTTGATCTTTTGAAAGTCCAACACGGTCAATTGTGGCAATTTGTAAATCACGTAGGATCGGTACTGTGGTGATGAGGTTGTAATGTTGTTTCTGGCAAAGCGACGGGAACAAGGTGAGATGGCGTGATTGGTTGAAGTTGGAAAAGAAGCAGAAGCAAAAGGACATACTGCAACAAAACTAGTCGTCGGAGCTTTGGGAAGAATTTCAACGGTTCAATATCGCCAAGCTCTTGCAAGCTGTTGCCGATCAGGGCCAACTCTTCCAAGTTTGGCAAGCTCTGGTGCAAATCGGAAGCGATTTTGCTGCATCAAGAAGAGCCATACTTGGTGAGTTGATGGAAGCCATGGACAAGGACTCGACACACACCCCAAAAACCACCACCAACCCGCCCCGCCCCCCAAAAAAAAAAAAACTCCTCACCTGACGCGATTGTTGTTCAGCAAGAGCGTCTTCAGCCGTTTAAACTGCGGAAAGCCGTCAATCTTGCGAATGAGGTTGTCTGACAAGTCGATCGTATCAAATTGGTCCTGTTTGTGATGCAATGATTGTTTTGCGTGAGTCACGAGCGCAACCTTGACGCAGTGTGGGACGGCGCTGATGCTGTGGTGGGAAGGTGGTGAGATTTCGAAACATTTGACTTTGTGTCGGCTGATCGACGCAACTCTGTCCCCCGCTGCGATTCGGTCCTTCCCTCCCAATCGCCTTTTACGCACGTCATACAACGACACGCGTGCTTCTTTGCTTTTGGTGGGCGAGGCGCGAATCTGCACGGGATTCGCGCAAAGTGTGAAATCCCATGGATTCAGACGCCAGCACCACCCAACCACCCGAATGCACCTCGGCTTCCAATCGCTCGCTTTTGATCTGCCATGTCCAGCGTGTTCACTCGAGCATGATGGTTGAATTGAGCTGATGATCAACGTACGTTTGTCGTTCCGAGGTTTTCAATGATTTCGATTGCGTTTCCTGCAAAAGCACACAACAAAAAGCAGTGAGTGAGTGAAGATCAGAACGAACACAGTGAAATGACGACAAGAAGCAGAAGCAGAGAGAGAGAGAGAGAGCGAGCGAGAGAGAGAGAGAGAGAGAGAGCGAGATCAAAGTAGCGATCGCAGCATTGAAGCATTGCCATTCAATCACTCTCATTCACTCTCGCTACTCACTCTCGCTACTCACTCACTCACTCTTCACTCTTCACACTCTCACACTTCTCAGCCTCCATCCAGCCCCAGGAGCAGATCCGCACCAGGCGCCTTCTGCACCGTCCTCACACACTCACTCTCTCTCTCTCTCTCTCTCGCTCTCTCTTGTCGCCTCGCACACTCTCACTCGTGCGCCCCCCCCCCCTTGGCTCATGCCCCATTGGCTCATGACGTACGGCGCATGTCCAGCTCGCGGTCCTTGAGCGGATTCACAAACTGTGCAGACGCATTGATCAAGTCTTCGCTGATCTTCATTTGTTAGTACGCTGCGACGCTCAGAAAAAGAAGAAAAAAGAAAACTGAACAAAACGAAATGATGAACATTCCCCCAAAAAAAAGAAAAAGAAAAGACAAAATCATATTGCATTGGCACAAGTTCAGACAACAAAGGGGAAAAAGCGGGAAATCGAAACGAAAATCGTTGGATGGAGAAGAAAACGACATCTTCTTAGCAAACGCGCTTGGCATCGCCCTCGCTGGACTCGTCGGCAATGCGCTTTTCAGACAGGCGGGAAAGCGGCTCGAGAAGCAGCTTGCCAACGGGCTTGGTGTTGGCAAACGGAGTCGTGCCAGCAGCATGCTCGTACACCACCTGGCCGCGCACGATCGTCTTGCACGCGACACCTCGCAGCGTCAGATCGGCGTAAGGCGTGACCTTGTTCTTGTGCTGGATCATATCGGTGGTGATCTGGATGTTGGGTTGGGACCAGGACAAACACAAAACGTTAATACCGCCATCTCTACGTATTTTTTTTTTCGAAAAAAATCACCCACGCACCTTCAGCTCGGCAGTATCATCCCAGATGACAAAGTCGGCATCGTAGCCCTCTTGAATTCGCCCTTTACGGTGAGCCAGGGACGCCAGCTGCGCGGTGCGCTCGCACATCAGACCGACAATCTGTGTCATTCAACACCAATGTCGTTATTGAGCTCTACAAAGCTCACCTTCTTCTTTCAAAACAAAAGCACCCCCACTGCACTTGCCTGGCGCAGAGTCAAGCCGTGGTTGAAAGCCTCGGTCCACATGATGGACAGACCAAACTGCAGCGACGAGATGCCGCCCCAGGCTTGCATAAAGTCGCCGTTTTCGAGGAGCTTGAGGTTTGGCGTGCACGGCGAGTGGTCGGACACGACAATGTCAATGGTCCCGTCGCGAACCGCATCCCAGAGTCGCTCGCGGTTGGCCGAGTCGCGAATCGGCGGGCAGCACTTGAAGTGCGTCGCCTTGTCCGGGATGGACTCGGCCTTGTGGAAGAGATAATGGTGGCACGTTTCCACCGTGAGTGGCAAGTTTTCAGCCTGAGTGTCGAGAGCGTGCAAGAGTTGAGAGTTGTGAGAACTGGCAAATAACGGCCACACACACACACACATTACACACACATTGGCTCGCCATCGAAACCCGGCTCAATGTGCGCATGCATACCTTGGCACTCGCAATGGCAGGAAGAGCCTCGGCTGAGCTGAGATGCACAATGTGGCAACGAACGCGGTACTGGCGGCAGAGAGAAATGACCAACTCGATGGCCTCGTTCTCCATCGCCTTGGGGCGGGAATTCAGGAAGGTGTCGTACTTGGTCACGTCATGTTGATGCGTGCCGCTGCTGTTCTGGCCGTTCAAGACAGAGTTGCAAGGCTCAACCTCGGCGTGGAAGAGCAAAACACCGCCGGTGCCTTGCAGAGCCGCCATCGCGCTGTCCAAGTCCTGTGTATTTGTGTATTTTTCAAGTCAGTGGGTGAGTATGATTGTCTCACATCTCAAGTGAGGGGCAACAAGCTGGCATCAAAAAAAAACTTGTTTTTCCAACCATTCGAGTAACGTGAGGGAACTCTTCCACGCCGCTGTTGATCAAGAAGCACTTGAAGCCCCTGACGCCAGCTTGGAGCAGGGGTTGCAAAGATGGCTATTGATCAGAATGGTAGAAGGTGTCAAACACGACGTGAGAAAACCAATGTCGAAAACGGGCTTTTCACAACTTGAGGATTTTTTTTTTTGGCTTGTTTTACAGCATTGCCGGGGACAACGCCACCCCAGAAGCCAACATCCACCCAGCACTGGGGCTGAGCGGCCGTCGTCTTGATGTTCAAGTTGTCCACGGTGGTGGTCGGCGGGATTGAGTTGCTGCGTGGAGCATCCACAAAAAAAAAAACAAAAAAAAAAACAGAACCATTCGTCCAAAAAAAAAAAAATCAAACGGACAATCACGGACAAGAATCATCATCGATGATATCGACTCGTTCTTCATGTTCACTTACAGAGGCATGTCGACAACGGTCGTCACACCGCCAGCGGCAGCAGCGCGGGTAGCAGTGTCAAACCCTTCCCAATCGGTGCGGCCTGGCTCGTTGATGTGGACATGACAGTCGACGACGCCCGGCAAGATCAGATTGCTGCCACCTTCAATAACCTAAGAAGCAAAGCATTTCGTGTTGAGATGCGATTATTCAGAGATGTGAGTGAGGGAGCGGGTGCGACTGGGGTTTGAGTTTGAAATGCAACATTGAACATTGGGGATGGTTGCGAGGATATTTCCGGTCGTTGCGTATCGGACTGCGTTTCATCTGGATGAAGTGTGTTGCATGAAAATGTCTGTCGTGGTTTTGATCACACTTGCTTGGCGCAGATACCCAGTGCTACAGTGCTACAGTGCTACGTCCATCACACCAGCACTTTGAATATGCTTTTGAGTGGGGAAACAGCCCTCTCTGATGATTGCGTATCGGACTGCGTTTCACACGGATGACTCTTGCATGCATGTCTGCAGTTCGTCTTGGTCAACGCGAGTGGCGCAGTGGCAGTGTCAAGGAATCGGTCGGCACTTGCATGTATTCCAATGCTGATCGTGATGATGATGATGATACCATGTCTGCTCTGCCATCATCATCATCATCATCATTGCTGTTTCTATTGTGTGTTTCTTCAGTTTGTATTTATTTTCTCTGACCTGAGTGGCTTGCTGGACTGCTGCGTCGATGGCTGCGTCGTCCGTGTGGATGCGGGCAACGGTGCCGCTCGCGACGTCGACAACGATGGCCGCGCGGACTGGCTCAGCGGCCGAGCTCAGAAGCACGCGATCGCCAGTCACAACGACGCCGACGACGACAGCCGCAGTGGAAGAAGAAGAAGCGAGAGACGGCGATGCGTCGGATGGCATGGTTGGATTGAGTATTGAAAATCAGAGAGACTGAGATCAGGATAAAAGAGATCAAAGATACTGAGACGGAGATCTCAAAGTGAAGGACAATGATTGATGAAGATGGCCATCGGCAACAAGCTGCTCTGTGGACAACGATATTTGTCGAGAACCAGGAAGAATGGCTGAAATTCGACTCTGAGCATCAAAAGTGCTGTGCTGTGTGTGTAGCATTGTGTGTGCACTGTATTATTGCGTAGCATTGTGTTGAATACTGGTAGATCGAATCAAGCAAAGTAGATGTCTCAACATGGATGCTGAGTTAGTTCAGCGAGTGCTCAGTCGTCTTATTCTATTCTATTCACAAACACACTCAAACACACTCAAACACACACACTCAACCTCGCATAGATTCATACGCTGCATTACAGAACATTGCTGCTTTGGCTTACGAATGAATGTGGTGTTTGTGCTGGACACGAGCGCGTCCATGAACCAGCGCGTCGGCAACGGCATGTCGCTCATGGACATTGCCAAGCTCGGCATTGAGCACTTTATCAAGGTGAGCGAGCGAGTGATTGAGCGATCCATTGTCAGATGGACGGAGCGAGTCGAGTAGAGCAGAGTAGAGTCAGAGCATAGAAGCTGAGTGGAGTAGAGCAGAGTAGAGTGAATGGAGAGAGAGAGAGAGAGAAAGTGAAGATCGGTGTCCTTTTTTTTTTTTTTTTGTTTTGTCTGAGATTGAACGACCTTTTTTTATTTTTTATTTGTGTTTGTACTCTGCTTGTCTGAGCAGCTTTGGCGCCCGCCCCTCCTTTGTTTTTTTCCTTCTTTCTCCAATGATCTTGCTCTGCTTCAACCACCCAGGATTGAAAAATGACTTGTTGATACTCAATGAAACGAACGATTTTGAATGATCTGAATGCATTGCGCGCGGGGCGGGGGGGGGGGCAGGAGCGTCAGAGGAGCACTGGCGGACGCATGACGGACAAGTACATGCTCACGACGCTCGCTGACGGACCGGCGGCCGTGCGCATTGGCTGGCGGGAGAGCCCGGCGACCTTCCACGACGAGCTCAAGGCCATCGACGCAACGGACTGCACTGCGCTCGAGGGCGGCATCAAGCTCGCGCTCGACCTGCTCAACGTCAACCGCGTCGGCGCGCCCAGAGGATCGTCAGTGGGGCCGGGATCAGGACCAGGACCAGGATCAGGACTAGGATCAGGATCAGGACTAGGATCAGGATCAGGACTAGGATCAGGATCAGGATCCGGCGCGGGTGCTGGTGGTGCTGGATCGGCCGCTGGCAGCAGCAGCGCGGGAGGCCAGTCGTCGTCGTCTTCGTCGTCGTCGTTGTCGTCGAGCCAAGGCGCCGGCGCAGGCAGCTGCATGGAGGCGTTCGCCGAGGGCCGCAAGCCGTGCTTCATCGAGCCTGGAGTGGTCATTGTGTTCACGGACGGCGAGCGGCCTTGCTCGAACATTGTCAACGGCGTCTCGGCCGCCCCGACACTGTCGCTGCCGTCGTTCAGCCAATTCTGGACAAACTTGATCTCGGCGTCGGACATTGTCTTGGACCCGTACCGATGGGACCAGCGCGTGTTTAGCATTGTGCTGCGTGTGCCAGGGCTGCCGCATTGGTCGGTCGGAACAAAATCCCACTTTCCGTTCGCTGGCCAGCCGCAGCTCGCACAACTCTCACAGATGAGCGAGCCGCTGTCCGCTTTGCCCCCTACGCTCATCTCTATTGCAGGTGGTGATGACTCTACAAATGGCGCGGACGGGCCCCAGGACGAAGGTCCTTGTAGCGATGCAAACGCGCTGTCAAAGTCCACACTCCTTGGCGCCAGCTCTTCTGCTCATAGTTTTACGAGTGCCTCTGCAGCGACTGCTGGTGGGAATGACATTTGGCCGCCTTCACCATCGATGGCCGTCCAGGACGCAGGCCTGACTCGCTCGCGGGCCCCGCCATCCAAGTCGACGCAGTGCGCCACCCTTTCCAACTTTACCAATGACACGCCACCCGCACACCCGCAGAAACCAAGCGTGCTCGCGTATAGTCTCCCGTCACTGTTCTCTCACATGTACCACGGCTCAACCCCAAGCACCCTTGCCGACCTCGCTCCGGTGTCGGGACTGCCGCTCGGTGCGGCCCTCTGCCCCAACGGGCCCATCTCGCCTCTCTCGGTCTTTTGCGAAGATACCGGCGGTCGAGCGCTTTCCTGCACAAGTGTCAAGGGCATGAAGGAGGTCTTGGCCGTGCTGGCAGACCAGCTGGTCATGGTTGGCGTGCTGATCAATCTCGCCCCGCTGGATGACAAGGCCGTGCTGCGCGTGCCCGTCCCGACGTCCGGCCCGCTGCATCCGCTGTTGGCCAACCTGGAGCCTTCCGCCCAACCGCAGCGCTTTGTCTCCCCTACAACCGCAAGCGAAAGCCCCGAGCCAATGAAGACAGAGCCCACCACCACCACGCGCCCGTTGTTCCAGCCGAGCGCGACAATGCGCGTCATCGCGGCCTCCAACAACTTGACGTCGAGCAATAGTCCTGTGACTGCTACCGCAACGGTCGCTGTTCGCGCGTCAATCTTGTACTCGCCGCGCGTCTTTCTCGTCACGAGCCCGTCGGCTGGCAACATTCCTGTACTGGAAGCGTCGCTCGGCTCGGCATTCTCCCTCAACGCCAACCGCTACTGGCCAATTCCAGAAGCCTTTTGGGTCGATGGCAACGGAACCACGCGAATCCATCCTCGTCGCGCGCATCCCACCATTCGCTTCTCGTTGCAGCCAACCGCAGTGCCCAATTTGCAGGTCTCCTTTGGCGCCACACCTGGCACCCCCGGCACCTCAGTCGCCATTGCGCACGACAAGTTTGTCTTCCGTGACACTGGCTTCCCGGCTGCCAACTATCTGTGGAACTCGACAACTGCCAAGGCGTCCACCTGCTGGTACGTCTACGTCGAGGGAAGCGCTGCGACCGAGGGCATTGGCCACCCGTTTGGATACATTGTCAAAGAGTACCCTGACGCGCGAACGGACAGTCCGACCCTCGCTCTGGTGTTGCTGCCTTACAACTTCCCAAAGCTGCTCAATCTGCTCGCGTCCCTGCCGCCCATCAACGTGCGTCCTTCCCAACAATGGAAGAATGACTTTGACGCATACCTGGACACTGTACCTGGCTACTATTATGCGCCGCTCTTTGCCGTGCTGCGACAAGCCAAGGTGCAGCATGACAGCCCTCGCCTCGACCCGTACGGCGGAGCGAAGCGCGGCATGTCGCGATTTGTGACGCGTGTCACTCAAAATGGACGCATCGACTATGACCGCTTCTTGTCGCTGATTGCAGCGCACAAGGCTCTGCCGAAATCGCATCAAGTGAAGGAGCAGCAAGAGCAGCTGCACCGCTCTCTGACGCAGCCCCTCTCGCGGCCTGCAAAGGATCTCTTGCAAGTGCAACAGGCGCCCTCCCTGCGCTCACTCGTGGCTATCGGCGGCGGGCGAGCTCGCGAAGCCACCGACGCCATGGCGCTCGAGCTGCCCTTCCATTCACCGCTCGACACGGAGGACGGCAGTCTGGATGTGTCCGAGGAGGCTCGAGCCAAGAGAGCGCAACGGCGCTTGCACATCCAACAGCAATACGGAAAGCAGCTCACTCAGCAGCAAAGTGCAGCTCAAGCGCAGCTCAACCACCTCTTGGTACAGCAAGCGCAGCCCATTGCCACCATCGCGCAGGCTGCCAAGTACCAACAGCAAGTGGCGCAGATTGAAAAGCAGATGCACCAGGAAGCCGTCGCCAACAGCGAGACGGCTCGGTCCATCACCAGCGTGGCCGAGTGGATGCAGCCCTGGCTGGTCCAGACTTCTCCGCTCGCGTTCGCCCAGCGTCAATCGCTAAAGCAAGCTTGGACTGCCCCCATCACCCCGTATCTTGTTTCAAACTCGGACCTGTCTGCGCGCATCGACGCCATGCGAGGGGCCTTGGTTGGCAATGCGACTGCCGCGCATGCTGCGCTGTCAGATGCGGAAGGTGGGGCAAAAAAGGGAGGATGAGGGGTTTTCGTTTGTTGAAGCAGAAGCGCGCGGGTATCGGGAAGAAGCGGGGAGGGGGGTCGTTTGCTAGTTAAAAACTGACTCTCGCAATCTTTGCATTTCTTTTTGGAATTCCAGCCGACTCGCGACACACCATCTCCATCAAAGATATGGGCGACTTTGTGCGCGTGCAGCAAGTTCGACCGCCCGAGCTGCGCTCCATCATCGATGAAGACAAACCAATCGGCACGCCGTTTGGTAATCCGTACAAATCCGACAAGGTAAAACCCCAACAAACAAACAAACAAACAAACAAACAAACACGCCGCCTCAAAGCTCGATGCTGTTTGTCGCACCGAGACACGATGCTCAGTTTGGATTGATGATTGTGCGTTGTTCGTGTGCAGGAGGAATTCCCAGTCTCGGAGAGCGCACCCAGTCAGCCACACTCGGCCATTGGCGGGTCACGGAAACGCAGGCTTTCGCGCTCGCCCAGCCCGTCGCCTGTGCGACCTCGGCTGGACAACGATTCGCAGCAGTTCCCAACTCCTCCGGCATCCACTCGCTCGCCGTCACCTATCGCGCCGATAGCTCAACCGCCAGCAGCACCGCACGCCGGCAGCACGGCGGTCACAGCTGCCCCCCTCACACCGCCTGCAGCCCCAGCCGTTTCCGCTCAGCCGGAGCCCATGGATGAAACACCCGATTCATCACCCTCGACAACTACCACCACCAAACCTACTCCATTGGTTCCTTCGCGGTATGCGCCTGTGACGAGCGCGCCAACTCCCATCCCGGCAGCAGCGGCGGCTCCGGCGTCAGAACCAAACCGCTTTGGAGGCAGCAGCTCTCGCTTTGCTCCTGGTCGTCTCCCAGCCCTCGTTACCTCTGCACCCGCCCTGCCAGGAAGCGATCGCACTCGTTTGGTGGGATTGCGCCCTGTCGCCGATGCACCAAGCTCGACCCCGCCTTCCGCGTCCTCCTCGTCATCATCATCATCACCATCCACATCAGCGACACCAATGGTATCCTCGCAAGCTTCAAACTCGCCAACCATGGTGGCTGAAGACACGTCGTTTTCGTGGACTTTCGACGCGGACAACGACGGTGGCTCGCCGCCAGCAAGCGCCGGACCAAGCTTGACCGCCAACGTTGTCGAAGCACCCAAAGCACGCCAGTCCTTGTTTGGACCATCCACGACTGCCAAGCCAGCGGCGATAGCGTCCGCGCTCCACTCCAAGCCAATCCTCTCGCCAACAGTCGCATCGACGTCTCCCACGCTGCAGTCAACGTCTGCGTCGGCTTCGGCGGTTGCCAGTGCTTCCGCGACACCAAGCAGCAAAAGCCCAACCTACGCCGAAATCAAGGCGTTGGCAATGAAGGAGGTTCGCAAAGCAGGCAAAAGTAAGGTTATTTTGTTTGTTTTTTTTTTTTGGGGGGGGGGCGGGAGAGCTCTTTCGTTTCAATGAACATTCTGACTGTGACTTTTGGTGGTCAGACTACGACGGACTGTTTCAGCAACTCGACAAGTTCAACGGCGATGCTGCACAAAAGCGAGCACTGCTGGCGGATCTTATCGGCGAAGCAACGCGCCTGAAGCGCACGCACCTCAGCGCCCAATTGAGAGACTATCAAGACAGACCTTGATGACGCTTATGTTGATTTGCAATATGAAACATTCAATGAAACACAACACATGTACACACACACACACACACACACACACACACACACACACACACACACACACACACACAAACACAATTCACCACGCGTTAGAAAATGAAAACACCTGCGAGACGTTTGGATGGATGGAGAGAAGGAAAAACGACCATCTAGGAGACCTTGACCTCTGTCTGCTTTTCAATCAGGAAACTCGACTCCAGAGCGTTGATCAGCGACTGTTGAGTGAGAAGGGCAGCACGGAAGAGATCGAGAGTCATGACAAGGCCAGACGGGGTGACTCGCGCCGACGCCGCAATCACAGCGTTTGCTGCTGCTGCAAGCGAAGAGGTCGTGCGCGCATAGCTGGTCTTGATCATGCCAGGGTCGACAGCAGCAGGAAGCAAAGTCACGGGGCCGTTCCCGAGGCCATCTTCGTTGTCGGGAGCGACGTCTCCCACAACAGCACTGAAGGCAGTTTGGGAGCCCGCAAGGGTCGAGCCTGCAGCTGCTGCAGGCGTACCATCGCTACTGGACGCGTCCGGATTTGTCGAGTTGGAGCGAGACCGCGACGCAGCCTCGATTGCCATCTCCTCCTTGCCGAGCGTGATGGCAATCTTGCCAACCTCAGTGATGGCGGGGAAGAACTCGACCTCAAACTGGGTCCCGTGGTAGATGGCGTAGAGGAAGCGCCACAGCCCAAAGAACTGAAGCATGCTGAGTCGTTGCCACATTTCCCCGCGAAAGTCGCGGAGGTCGGTGCCCATGGACACGCGAGCAAACGAGAAGGAGCGCGAAGCAGACGGCAGCGGGTCGCTTGAGCTACTTGCGGCATCGATGGAGCTGGAAGAACTGAGTGCATCGGGAGGCGTTGCGGTCGTCGTCGGATCCAGTGGCGCAGCACCAGCAGAGGTCGGTGACAAAGTGTTGGTGGTGCTCGCGGTGGACATGGACCGCGCGGAGTGCTTGTTCTTGTCGTGGGGCGTAGCGACCACGGGAACGATGGCTTTGCGAGGAAGGGACAAGTCGCCGCTGATGCGGAAGAGAAACTCCAAGCGCGTGTTGAGGTCGGAGCAGCAAAGAATGCCCAGGCAGTACACAATTTCCTGAAAGTCAACCTTGCCATCCCGGTCTCCGTCCAAATAGGCAAACACTTTGTCAGAAACGGCCGCTCGCTCGACGCCTTTTCCCCACGGAGAATGCCGGAAGAAGAGCGTCCGGAACTGCATGCTGTCGATCAAAGGACGGCGCCAATTTGCACCCATATTCACAATCAGCGAACCTCCACGAAGGCGAACTTCTTGGAAGTCGCGATACAAGACATCAAGGTGTTCTTGGGTAAACCTGGATTTGATCAGAGTACAAAGTGTGGAAGAGTATGCCGGGAGGCGGAGGAGGGGGGGGGAAGGCAACGAAATCAAAGTGAGAAACCACAAAATAAGCGCAATCAATTATGGGTGCTTTGGGTGTGACTCATGCAGCACCCGACAAAAGAAAATGGGGGGAAAAGATACTTACTTTGAGATGCCTTCAACGCTGCGAAGCATGGAGCGCTTGGAGGCATCCTCAAAGCCCTGGACAACTTTCACGCGTTGAGCATTACGCAAGGACTCGACGCTCTTGGACGACAAGAAGCCAAACCGCTCGTAGCTCTCTTTGATGAGCTTGCGAATGTTGACAACGGATGCCACAGGCTTGATACGATCGACAAACTCGCCCGGAGATTCCGGTTCCTCGACATCCGCATCAGCACCGGAGGAACTAGGCTGCTTGTCGATCAATACCAGGTCGTCCTCGACTTCAGTCGGCTCCGTCTGTGGGGAGTGCTTGGGGGAGGCACCGACACTCGGCTCTGCAGAAGCCTCGGCCGCGGGCCCATCAGCAGTGGAACTAAGTTCGACAGCCTTCATAAACGCGGTCAAAATATCCATGGCCTCCCCGTCGTCTTGAGCAGCCAAAAGCGCGTCGCGGTTCAAGTGCAACACGGTGAGACCGACTTGGAACAGGACCTTTGGGCCTTCCCACAAGAAGCAGTCGACCACGTGTGCCGCGCACTTGTGGTTCATGGGTGACAAGAAGAGAGTCAAAAACCAACTGATGCCGACCATGGAGACAATACCCAGGTCGGACAGGTGGTTGAAAACCTCGGGCACGTGTTCCGACATGAGCTGCTCAAAGACCCCTGCAGAAGGTCCAAGAAGAAGAGCAGCAGTTGAGAAAACACAAGTGGCACCACCAACCAAATTCATTGCCATGGAACGGCCCTCCCCCCCCCCGACCTCCTCACCTTGGTCGATCAACGCTCCGACGACGCGAGTCGAGTAATAATCAGGAAGCAGCTTTTCACAGAGGGCACAGAGCAACCAGAACGCCTCCTCCTCGCTCATGTAGAGCAGAAACACGGACGTCACAATGTTCATTGCTTGGCAGTATCCGATGGAAGGATTTCGCCACGAGTAAGCGGTGAGAACGCGGCGAAGTGCTGCAATACCTCGCGGCGATTGGTAGGCTGGATGCTCAGGAAGAGAACTGCATGAAGGAGGATTCAAATCAAGGGGGGAGGGAGAGTGAGGATGGGAGACGGGCACACAAAGTTTTCATGCGCATACAGCCATACCGGTACAGGTCGCGCTCGATTTCTTCCGTGGCGAGAGACTGCTTGCCGTGGTTGCGTCGCAACAATTCTTGGTATTGACCCGCACAAAGGTTCATGTCGTACAAGGCTCCAGAGAAGAGAAGCCAGAGTTCGGCTCGAAGACCGTCTGGAATGCCCTGCACAATGAGATCGTGCTCTTGCGGCGTGCGGTACGCACAAGCGCCTCTTCCGAACTCGAGAAAATGCTGCTCCCATCGATGGGTACGCACCGTTTCCGACACGGTTAGGCGTGGAATACTAAAATGGACAAGTGGCCACCAGCGAACAAAGCCAAAAAAATTGTGAGCTCACACGCGAGACAACCCACAAAAAATCAACGAATGGATGCTCTTGTGTTCCGTCTCGCATTGGATCGTTTTCGAGGCACTGGCGAACGACTCTCTGTCTCTCTGTCTCTGTCTCTGTCTCTCTGTCTCTCTGTCTCTTTATCGCTCTCTGGTGAATGAGAGAGTTGGTTTTTGCTGAACGCCGACCTCAGCACTGCAGTACGTTTCAAAATTGCACTGCTGGTCGACAACCGAACGCGAACCCCCCCCCTCCGCCCCCCAACTTCCACTCCCCACATTGACGGACTCGATGGTTCAGGTGAGGAGTTACCTTGGTGCGGACAAACTCGCGGGCGTCGCGGACGTCGTCGAATGTGGCGAGCGACTCGTAGAGATGCTGCATGAGCCAGTCCCAGTCCTGCTCAATCTCCTCCTGCGTCTCTGCGGTGGCAATGACAAAGGAGACGTCCGAGTCTGCCGTCTGGAGCAGGATGCGGAACGGTGCCGGGCGCGACTCGACAAACACGCTGTCCAGCGTCCCGACAATCCGCGCAGACAGTCCCGTCGAGCCAAAGCCGCGGCGCTTCTGCGTCACGTAGAACTTGTTGCGGTAGAGCGTCGACCACAGCGGGTTGCTCAGAAGCAGCTCGGTCGGCTTGACCCACATTGTTGGAAAAGCAAAAAAGAAACGGAGGCGGAAGGTTGGCGGGGACGAGATGTGGGAGTAAGAAGATTGGAGAATTTGGAGAGTGAGAATCTGAGAAGTGAGAATGTTCTTGGACTGGAACGCGAAACAATAGCAATGACAAGAAGAAGAAGAAGATGAAGAAGAAGAAGAAGAAGGAACGGGAAGGTGGTGACGTAATCCTGTTTGGTTTTGGATGCCTGGGCGCGTTGGACTGGGTGGTGGATGCCCATTTTGCTCAGAGTCTGAATGAGCTGGGTGGATTTGTGTTATGGTTATCAGTCGATGCAATACATTGCAGCAGCTCTCTCTCTCTCTCTCTCTCTCTCGCTCTGATGAGGTTGTTGCAGGACGCTGTGAGACTGTGATTCTGAGTTCTGCCGCTCTTCGACTTCTACTTCTACTTCTCCCTGTCTTCCCGCTGTATCGCTGACTGCCTCGTGCCTTGGTTCATCGCCACTCCGATCCATTCATCCCAGATTGCCTCACTCACTCACTTTCATTCAGGATCATCATTAGATCTACATTGCACCATCGCATCACTCCTCCTATTCTATTTGTCTGCTTTGTGCGGTTTTGGGCACAACTCTGGTTTTTTGTTGTTTTTTTTTTTTTCTTGTTGTTGTTGTTGTTGTTTTGAAGCTCCATTCAAAGCCAAGACATAGTCGAGCGTGTTTTTGAGTGCATCGACGCGCGCACAACGAAGCGACAATGAGCAGTGCTGGTGGCGGTGGTGATGGTGCGGCGACTGCTGCTGCGACTGCTGCTGCGGTTGAACTGCCGACGACAGTGGTCTATCTGGTGCGGACGACCTCTCACGCCAGCCACAACCACAGCCATAGCCACAGCCACAGCCATAGCCATAGCCATAGTCACAGCAACACCACTATTGCCAGTGGAACAAGTGATGACAGCCACGGCAGCACTCGTGCACTCGCAGACGTGGTCGCAGTCTCGAGCTTTGTGGTCGGACCAGAGCCAGCGCAGGAGGACGTTGCCAACCTGACATCCATTCACAGCCATCATCATCGTCATCATCATCATCATCATCAGAGCCATGCTCAGAATCAGCAGCATCAGAGCCATGGGCATGATGAGCCTGGTCAGTGCTCGGACGCGTGCTCTGAACTGCCGGGCATCGACGTGTACATTGTCGGCACCGCTCACTTTAGTACGGCCAGCTGCGACGATGTTACAAGCGTAAGTCAAGCTTGAGCAATGTTCCGAGGATTATGATAAAAGGGGCTTCATCTCCACTCTCTGTGAGAGCACACCTTGTGCACTCCAACCAAAGAAAGTGGGTTGGACGGGTGGCAGTTTCTCAGAACATGACTTTTTGATGCATCGCGCTTTGAGGTTTTATTTTGTTAGCGAAGGCTCGTCATACCCTTTTTGACTATTTGGTGCTGACTTGATCAACCCCTTCTTGCTGTGTCCTCGTTTATGTTTGTTTCGTTTGTTTGTTTGTTTGTTTTGTTTTTTTTTTCGGTGCCGCAGGTCATTCGTCAAGTGCAACCGGACACGGTTGTGCTCGAGCTGTGCAGGGACCGAGTGCAAGTGCTCGCGCCTCCTGCAAACACGGCCAATATGCCAGTTGTGGAATTTAATCTTAAAAATGCAGTCGCTGCAACTCGAACGGTAGGTTCGAAAAACCTTTGCCAATCTGATTGTGAAACTTCTGTTCTCACGCATTGTGCTGGCCCACGCACAGGGTGGAGTCATGGCCGTTCTCAAGTTGATCTTTGCTTCATTCTCCTCCAAACTGTCGCACGATCTGCAACTGGTCGCGGGCGGAGAGTTCCGCGCTGCGCTCGCGGAAGCACGGCAAATACCCGGCTGTCGCATCGTGTTGGGAGACCGGCCAATTAGCATCACCATTGCACGAGCATTCGCTGCTCTCTCGGCCTGGGACATGGTAAACCAAAATCAAAAGCTGTTGGATTTGTTCTAGTTTGTTGGTGGGGAAAAGCCGCTCACCAATACAAACTCATCTGCCTTTGTTCTTTCCCCCCCCCCCTTCAAATTCCACACAGACTCGATTGCTCTACCAGGCGCTGTTCAGCGGACCAACTTTCACGAAAGAAGAAGTCGAAAAGTACAAGTCGAAAGCCATGCTCGCTCAGGTCATGGAGGAGCTCGCGGCCGAAGTCCCTTCACTTGCCACTGTGTTGATTGACGAGCGTGATCAGTACTTGACCAGCTGTCTGCGCTCGGTCGGGGCTCGCCGTGTGGTGGCTGTCGTTGGAATTGGCCATGTTGCCGGCATCGAAAAGCACTGGAACAATGGCCAGATTGATGTTGCAGAGCTGCTCAGTATTCCACCTCCATCGAATTCCGGGCGTCGGTGGGGGTTCAGGCTGGCAGCAGCATCGCTTGTCTTGTGCACTGCAATGATTGTGCGAAGAGCATTGCGATAATGTGATTTTTGTTGTGATTCTCTGTGTTGCAAAGATTGTCGTCGCCCTGCGCATGCTGGTCTCTATCGACCCTTCTTTAGTAAATTGTTAGGTTTCAATGAGATATCAATTCAGCCTGTTTTTGAAGGGAGGGAAGTGGAAGCTACTGTATGAAAGTTCTTTTTTTTGTTTGCTTTTTTTTGGGGGGGGTCATGCTCTACATCTGCGTATCCTTCATCGAGTTGAGCTCGTCCAAAACATTCTGCAACTCTTCATCTGAAATCAAACCAGAAATGCTGCAAAAAAAGGGGGGGGCCAAGATTGGTGGTGAGCAGGGCATTTGAGCACACAAAATGACACAAAATGAGAACTTGCCTTGGTACCAATGCCTTGGCTTCTTCTGCCTGCTCTGGACACAAGCTCGCTAGTGCCGCAATTTCGAACTGTCGGAATTTTTCAAAGCGCTCGAGTTTGCTGGTTTGGGACATTTTGCAACAGGTGAGAAATCGTGCATGGACATTTGCACACAGAAGGGAGGGTGCTGCATGGCGGGACCACTTACTTTCGAACCTCGCGCGCTGTTTCGGTGTTCTTATACTGTGGGAACGCCTGTACATAGGCGAGAGTCTTCTCGAGTGTGCTGCCGAGCGACGCGATGCGAATGGGCGGGAGGTGAGTAGAGGGATTGCACAAGCCGCAAGCGGTTGAAGGCGCAACGACGACGATCAGACCGCATTTAGGATTAGCTTCGTAGGTGAGTGTGTGTGTGTTGTGTGTGGCAATGAATGGCTTACTTTGTGATGGGGATGCGGCTGAGCTCGGACTCGGGGTTTGTGTGAGCGTTCTTGCGGTCCTCGAGAATGAGCTTGACTTCTGCTGGGAAGAGGCAGTTTGCCTTTTCGAACTCTGTCAGCGTGGGAGTTGGAGTTGGAGTGAAGGGTGAGTGGAGACAAGGAGCAGGATGAGTGGCGAAAAAAAAGAAAGGGCGAGATCTCTCTGCCCACCGAGCCGTCCCCAGGCTTCCAGGTCGAGAGGCAGGGCGGTGTTGAAGGCGAGGAGAAAGAGAGAGAGAGAGAGAGAGAGAGAGAGAGAGAGAGAGAGAGAGAGAGAGAGAGAGAGAGAGAGAGAGAGAGAGAGAGAGAGAGAGAGAGAGAACGAAGGCAGGACATGCGGGCCGATTGCAACGAGCAGAGCGCAGTGCCACCGCGTATGGGAAGCGCTAACGTACTCTCAGTCAAACGCAAGTCGGCTGCGCTCTCCTCATCGATCGTTGTGCCGCGGCGACTTGAAAGCATTGTTGAGATGCCAATTCAACAAAAGCAAGAAAAAAAAAAAGAAAAGAAGAATGAATCAAAATTAAAATAAAAGGACAAAAAAGAGAGAGAGAGAGAGAGAACTGGAAAAAAGAGAGAGAGAGAGAGAGAACTGGAAGCGGACGGAGGCGAGAACCACGAACGACATTGAAGGGACGTCGATCGAACGAACGTTCGCCACGACAGCATTGTTGACTTGTTTCTTTCGTCAAGCAACATGTTGTTTTTCGTCGACACAAATTTTGCTCAAGTCAGGAGAGTTGGCGGTCAACAACAATGAGGAGAGTGATTCAGGCGTGAATCAATCGAGCGATTCGAAACTTTCTTCACCGATCGTTCGCGATAGCCTTCCTCTCGTTTGGGTTTTCAGCTAGAGCTCGTTATTTCCCCCGACTGCATTCCCTAAACAAAGTACCAGCAAGAGCCTCGTCACCTGGACAGTGCGGCGACCGCATCGTTTCGGGTTTTTCGGTTCCCAAAACGAAAGTCGATCCCAGCCGAAAACACCAGCGTGCCGCGGGTTTGCTCGCGAATCTCATTGAATGCCTTCAAAATCCTTCATGATTCAAGTGGAAAGTTTGCTTGGAACCGGAAAAGCGCGACAGCTTAGTTGTCAGGACGAGCGATTGTTGCTCTCGCTATCGCCATGACTTTGACTGCTCATAGCATGGTCCGCTCCCTCGAGAATACATCCCTTGATAACTAAAAGCAACTGCAAATATCATTGTTGATGAGTAGATGCTCTGAAAGATCAGCAGCTATCCCCAGGACCTGATGCGGAGGACGATGACCAAATGTGCGATGGGCTCAATCATCAACTTTCCAACCAGCCAACGCCGTGATTTATGAAAGACCATAAAATTTCATGAGACTCTGGATGTCATACGTTCGGATCGAATATTAATATTCGATCCGAATATTCGTCGGGTACTGTCGTTCAAATGATGCACAGGCGCTTGAAACAATTACCTGGCAAAACGCGAAAAGAATGAAAAATTTTACGGAAAAATCACCGGCTCCCTTCTCCAGCTGGACGAACTTGATTTTAGATTCTAATTGATGAGAAGTGAATTTCAGTCGAGCTACGATGCTCCAGACTCGACAGGGCTAGGAGCAACACGTCGCGCACCGTTCAAGTGTCTCGCAAACCGCAGTTCGAATTGTCGACACGCAAGCTCTCTTCCATCCCTAGCATCACCCCAGCTTGCTCGCACTCTACTCTATTCCGAAAGCCATGCATGCTCCAGTTCGCTCAGGATCAGGCCGTCAAACGTCAAAACCGAAAACCAAAAACCTAAAACGGGCCCGCACTTTTGGTTGCGAACTGTTGTCAACCACAAGCCTTCGCGACCAGCTCGCTCGAGTGCATTCAATACACCAGTTCCTCCCATTCCATATGGTTGGTAGAACAGGGTGGTTGATCCAAACTAGAGCACCTGGACTGAAGTTCATTTTGCCCGGCCTCGCGCTCGGTAATACGATAGTGGTTAATCGGTCACATTTAGGCTGTGGTGGGGAAACCCTCGCAAGTTCGAATCTTGCTTACCGTATTTTGCTCTTTCGGGGATTTTTTTTTTTTTTTTTTTTGGCCGCGAGTCCCACATCGGTCCCAACACACATCACAACGTTGATTGCACAAAAACCAAAGACTGAATTTGGCGACGTCGACCGATGCAGGCATGTCATGAAGGGTGGGTGCGAGGTTTTTTTTTTTTTTTTTTTTTGTTTGTTTAAACACGTTCATTTTTTTTTTTTTGAAACGTTTCCCAATCTTTCAACTTCGGCTTCTGTTCTCAGTTCAATTCCAACAATGTCTTAAAATTACATACAAGTACAATATTAACCTTGTCAAATCAAGAGCGCATCGGGAATAGAGGAGGCAAATCCACTTCTAAATGGACGTTTCAATGCTGGTCATCTCAAGCCACGCTGGGTCACCCGCTGGAACGGAATGAGCAAAGGCAACAGGTAATGTGCCGGGATCTGCTGCTACGTTGCCGGTCGGTCGAGCGGAGGGCAAGGAGGCCGACCGTGTTGCAGAAATGTTGCTTCGCGTCGTGTTCGGCTTGCCAAACAAGTGAAGCGGCCACCGCCAACGTGACTGCGAAGGCTTTGCGGGAGCACTTGCATTTCGAGCCTCGGCCAGCGCGACACCAAAGTCGTCCAAATCGCCAATTTCCTCAAAGCTCATCATGGAAATTGTGTCTGGGTTGACGAGATCGTACTCACTGTCAACTTCAGCAATGGGGTCGATGCTCGAGCTCAGCCCACCGTTCAAGTGGCCCAAGGAAGGCGGTCTGGACAAGGCCTCTGCAGAGGACGAGTCCGACGACAAATCGGTCGAGCGCTGCAGACTTACTCCGCGCGACATTCTCGCGGTGAGAGCGCGCATCGTCGTCACAGCCACCGAGCTCGCGCGCTTGTCTCGAACGGGTGCCGTGCCAGGGGCCGTACCGGCTTCCCGTTTCGCTTGCGCCGCTTGGCTCAGGTTGAGCTGCGCACTGATCAGCGACGACAGCATGTTCACGTTGATGTGGTAGAGGTCTGAATCGGAAAAATCAACAATGGCACTCGCATCAATGACCGCTTTGACGTCGAGCGTGTCAGCGAGCTCTTTTTTGCAGGGCTTGACCATGACCACGACGATGCGTTTTCCGCACTTGGAGGCATACAGGAGCTCTTCTTGACAGTACTGCGACCGAACAGAGGTTGGCGTCAGTACAAACAGGCAAACACGGCAGTGCTTGATGGCTGCTCCGATGGCTTTGCGCCAAAACTCGCCAGCTTCCAGCTGCAAAAAGTCAATCCAGCAGTCCAGCTGTCGCGCTTCCAGGTCGGGCCAGAGGCGCTCGCGAACAAACTCTGCATCTGCATGCGCCCAAGAGACGAACACCTCCTTGGGTTTAAGCTTGGCGGCGAGCGAGTTGCCCAAATTACCGCCGGCCATGATGCCAGCCGCAATCGAATGGCCGTGCGAGTGGCCAGCCCCGCGGGTCCGGCTGCGAATCGCGCTCAAAAGGCTATGGAGGGGTCTGTGGGTGGTGGCGGTAGTGGCGGTGGTGGCGGTGGTGGAGCCGGTGGCCGAAGTTCGCAGCTGACCAGTGCTTTCCAAGTACTCGGCCATTTGCTTCTCACCAGCCGTCATGTCGACCATGACCAGATCGCGATCTTGCTGGTCAGATGCGTCCAAGATTGCAGATCCGCTCTGGTACAAGAAAACCCAGCAAAATGAAAAAAAAAATGGGCAAGGCAAATTTCAGCAAAGATACGAGGGAACATTCACGCACAAGAATGAGCGCCAAGCAGAGAAAATCAACACAAAAGCCGGTGAGCACCAATCAGAGAAAATCAAAAACTCGAGACAGAAACAACAACAACAACAACAACAACAACAACAACAACAACAACAACAACAACAACAACAACAACAACAACAACAACAACAACAACAACAACAACAACAACAACAACGCAAAAAAAGAAGAAAAAGACAAAAATCAACAAACGACCTAGCATCGTACCTCTTGTAGCTGCTTGACAATTGCCTTGGCCAGTCGAGCCGCTTGTTCGTCAAACGTCGGTGTGGCCAAAGTCCGATCACCTGCACTTTCGACGGCAGCGGGTGTTGGTGCAAGCTCGTCATCGCCACCAACTTTGGCAGATTGCTCCACACCATCAAAGAAAATCCACTGGAATCGCTTCAAAAGCATGTCCAGTCCTGGATCAATCTCGTCATCAAAGTTGCGGTCTTTAATGACTGGGAAGATGACCTTCCCGTGATCGTAGGCGAACTGGATTTCCTCCAGGCAGTAGTTGGAGGTGACTGAGTGTGGGGACACAATAAATATAAACACGCGGCATGCTTGGATGGTTTGTGCCACTTCCTTTCGCCAAAATGCACTCGCCTGTCCCGAACAAGTGGCAACAGCAAGCCAGCAAGCAAAATGCGTCAGAGCAAATCAAGAACAAAGCAACAGTTTTGCAGGGGTGGTCGTGTCGATTCTTTCCTCGACCGCAAAACAGCACGTACCTCGAGTCGCATTTCATCAAACCACGCGTCAATGCCATAGTGAGCCAGTCCGGCGCCAAGCTTTTTCATGAATGCGCGATCTTCGAACGTGTAGCAGATTACAGCTTCGCGTCCTGCACCGCTCGTCTTCCAGGAGCCTAATGAGCAAAACGGGTGTTTCCACAAGCATTGAACAAAATCAGGCCCCCCCCAGTCAAGTCAAGTCAAGTCAAGTCAAGGGCGACTCCATCTCATCAGCGCTTGCAACGTGCAAAAGACAAAACCTTACGAGCGTGGATGGAATGCATTTTGGGACCCAATATATACCCCACAAGTAAAGCCCCGGCGGCCAAGAAGCACACCGACTCGATCGCACGAACGGTGCTGACGGACAATTGATCGCCAAAAATGACTGAAACAATCCAGCCAGCAGCAGCAATGGTGGTTGTAGACCTCAGAGCTGCCAGCAGATATCGGCCGTCGTCGTAAAGGGTCATGATGCTGCGCAAACGAAGGCTCAAGAAGGAGCACGCCAACAGCAGGCATATCTACAGACAGACAGACAGGGGTATGTACGCGATTTGAGTCGTCAAGGTCTCAACCCCCCCCCCCCACACAAACAAACAAACAAACAAACCAACAAACAAAAAAACAAGCAGCAGCCAATCTCACGTACCTCGAGCGCATACATTGTCCACGAAAAAGCCGCGTGTCCGAACGCGCATTCAAACGTGACAGTGTTGGCTGTAATGTATGCAATTTCAGCGGTCGATGGATAGACGGCGGTCCAGATTGCAAGAAGAGTCTAAAAGTTCAGATCGATCGTCAATGAGTTGGTTGAAACAGGCTACGGGTCGGAGTCGGCAGTGCTCGCACTACTCACTAGACAAGTAAGGACGGAGCCACCAACAATCCGAATCATATCAACAGTGTTCACACGCAGTTCAAAATTCCGTGCGGTCGAGAACGAGCGTGGTTTCGAAAAGGCCAGTTTGCTTGCAATAGTTCTGAGGAATCAAACCAAACAAACAAACAAACAAACAAACAAACAAACAAACAAACAAACAAACAAACAAACAAACAAACAAACAATCAAACAAACAAGCCAACAAACAAACAAACAAACAAACAAACAAACAAACAAACAAACAAACAAACAAACAAACAAACAAACAAACAAACAAACAAACAAACAAACAAACAAACAAACAAACAAACAAACAAACAAACAAACAAACAAACAAACAAACAAACAAAGCAGAACGACTGTAAGTAGAGATTTCAAGCACGCTCAGGCACACTGTACACAGCAGCAGCGATCGATCGTACGATAATCCCAGAACATATGCAAGGTGCCCGCTCCAAAGAATGACGCCACATAGTGCGTCCGATGGTCGATTCTGGAGCCGGAAGAATAGTTGCAAGAAGCACAAGGCGCTTGCCAGCCCAAGCAGTTGACACCACTGCACGGGAATCAATTCCAACAGATCAAATTAAGGCACCAAACCAGCAAAGGACGTGGTGAGATGATATTTGCATGCCCAACGCCTTTTGGAGTTATCACAAAACCGCAAAAACCAAGCCAACTCAAAAGTCCCGCCGAAAGCAAACTCATACCGTTTCTCCTGCAATCAGAATGATCTTGTGATCATTACATCGATGAACCACGATAAGACACCCGAAAATACCGAGAATAAGCCAGCCCGCAATGACGCTCAAGACAATGGAGAGCACTTTGTTGGCCGATTCCTCTAATTCAGTTGCATACCGTGAGTCTCGAACCATCCTTGTTGTTCATTCATAACAAAAAAGGCATGCGCCCTCCCGAATAGATCAATCACCAAAAGTTGAAGAAAACGAACGTACCGGCGACGCAGTGTGAGAACATGGTCAAGTCGTCCCAGATTAGCAAATGATCCGACGGACAAGCAGCGATGGTAACGGGCAGCGCATTCTCCAAAAACACGCTTGTTGTTGTGCCATCGAACAGCGTCGGGACGAGCGCGTAGCTGCCTGGATGGCCGAACACTTTAACTTCCGGAATGTCGGCCGTCCCTTGTTTTGGGACAACGGAGGCGATTCCAACAGCCTAAAGCCAAACAGAACAAGCAGACAGGGTTAGCCTGTCAGAATGGACAAAAGTCGCTTTTGTTTGAACGTTTGCTTCTGCTTACGATGGCCGAATCAGTCACGTCACCCGCTGCGTCAAACAACCGCAAGGACACGTAGGCAGCCGTGTCAAACTGCACAAGTTGATTCAAGCCATCGAGCAGTCGCACACCACCAACCTGCACAAGAGGAAACAAAACAAAACAAGCATCGACAAAGGGGCGAAACCAGCCAAAAAGAAAAAAAAAGAAAAAAAGAAACAAAAAAAAAAAAAAAAAAACAAACAAACAAAAAAAAAAACAAACAAAAAAACAAACCCATCAAACACAAAACAAAACTCAGTTGGTCACACATGTGGCACGCATTCGCCCCCCCCCCTTCACCAGAGTCCAGCGACATACCGAAACACTGCCACCCGAAAAAATGGAGACGGGGTTGCTGGCTAGGAAGGGTGCATGGGTGCAGAACGTGGCGATGCTCGCTCCATACAAACTCGCCGTGTTGTTGGAGCTCGTGCTGCCATTCGCAACAATGTCAACAAACGACACAGCATTTGAAAAGCAAGCGCCGCCACGCCGAGCCGCATTGTCTTGGAAGATGCATCCGGAAATGAGAACTGCCGCAGCTGGCAACGACAATGAGCTGGTCAACAGCATTGCACCGCCGCTTTCGGAGGCTTGGTTGGCGCTAAACTCGGATGACTCGAGCTGAAAGGTTAAACCAGGCTTGGTAGGCAAGGTGTTGCCTCTAGCGTCGTCAAATACGAGCGCCCCACCGCTCCCCACAAGTGCCCGGTTGCCGGAAAAGGCGCTTTGAGCGACCTGCAAGTCTCCCATGTACGCACAGCCGACACCACCATCACCCGTCTGAGCCACGTTGTCTGTAAAGACGCTCGAGTTCAGGCTGACGGTGACAAAGTCGCGCGGCTGCAGATTGGGTTGGACGCCAAGCTGCAAAAGCAGCGGGTCGAGTAGCTTTGTGAGGTCGGCTACGCTCTGGGCGACAGGGTTTCGACCTGCATACGTCTCTGCAGTCACGCCAGACGACGCAAAGACACCGCCAGACGTCACCGCCATGTTCTGGTGGGCTGTCACATTGAGCATGGCGAGATTTGCACAATCATCGAGGTAGACGACGCCGGCAAGCGGGGCAAAGTTTTCTACAGAGGGTTGTGTTGGATGTGAGAGCGCAAGTGGAAAAACAAATGAGAGTTGGAGCGCACCAGTGAGAAAGCGTGTCGACAGTCAAAGCAGCACGCATTGAAAGAAAGGGAACAGGAAGGTTCAACCTTTCGGGAACGTTACCTGTAATCTCACAGTCGAAAAACACAACGGACGCGGCGCTGCGGGCATACACCACGCCACCCGCTCCGGTCAAAGCATAGTTGGCTGTCAGCCTTGATTCTTGAAATCGGAGCTGGCCAAACGTGTCAACGACAGCAACTCCTCCCGAAACAACCGCATAGTTGAGGGTCATGTTGCAATTCGAAACCACGACCGACGACGCGTCGGTGGAGGACACGACGCCACCGGATGCAGCAAAATTGTCTGTAGAGAGATGTAAAACCAACCAACTGAGAGTGAGATTGGCAAGTCACGGCACGATATGCAGTTGTTCGGCCAACAGCAACATGCAAGAAGCAAGGCGACCCGGGACAACACGAAGCAAGGCGACTCGGGACAACACATGAAGCACGTACTGGTAAACGAGCTGTCGGAAATGTCAATGAATGATGTCTGGGTCAGATGAACAACACCCCCAACACCGGAAGCTTTGCACTCGGAAACAACACATCCATTGAAAAGTAGCGCAGAAAATCCGCTAAGAGCAGCCACTCCGCCAGACAAGGCAGAGTCAGCCAGAAAGGTACACTGCGACACGTTTGCCGCACCGTTTTCCAAAATGATGGCGCCGCCCGAAATGGCAGAATTGTTGAGAAAAAGCGAGTTCAGGACGGCGACAGTCGCTTGCTCACCGAGGGAAGCAACAGCACCGCCGAAAACAGCACGATTGTCTAACACGAGCGGGGTGAGCAATGTGAGACGACACTGAAGTGGAGAAACAAGCAAAGAAAAGCAGCGTGACGAGGCGCATCGTGTCGCGTACCACTGAGCAGGCTGGAGGTCATTTCCAGCGATGCAGCGTCCGTGATGGCAAAGCAACCACCGTATCCGGATGCAGTGTTGTTGTCGCAAATACAATGCTCGATGACTAATTGAAAGTTTTGTGCCACCATCGCAACAGCACCATTCCCAGAAGTCCAATTGTTATCAAAGGTACAGTTCTGAAAGATGGCGGTCCCCGAGTTTCTCGCATTCAGAACGCCAGAGGCGTAGTTGTCCCCCGAGGGAGAGAGGCAGTCATTTTCTTTGGAAGAGGAGGAGGAGGAGGAGGAGGAGGAGGAGGAGGAGGAGGAGGAGGAGGAGGAGGCGATGACGATGGCGATGGCGCGGAGAAAGTGAATCATGACGTGACAAGAGAGGTGAGCCAACAATCAATACAACATCCCTGAAAATCGTCTCGTACCGGAAAATGTGCACCTAGTCGCGATAAGAGCACTGTCGCTGTTTCGCTGAGGATCAAAGTCAATCACTCCAGCGGAAAAGCCACTGTTGTGGAGAAAGAAGCACGAGGCCATGGCAACGACAGCGGCTCCTCTGGCGAGCAAGAACCCGGCTGCGCGACCGGATGTGCCAAATTCATCGCCGGCTGAATTGTTGGCCACAATGACTCGGTCCAAGACCAGACGAATCGGATTGCTCGCAGACAGTGTGTCATCGGATTGAAGGCAAAGTTGTGCAGCGATCGCGAGATTGTCTGCCAAAAGCGTAGGAGACAGAATTCAACAAAAAGGGGGAACGGAGTCGACAGCAAAGCTTGCGCCATCGGGATCGTACCTGCAAATACGCAATCACTAAAGGTGCTTGATGAAGGACCAAGCAAACCAACGCTGCCGAACGACCCGCTGCCGTTTTCCAAAAAGTAGCAGTTGGAAAAGCTGCTCGTGGTGTTGTCAGAGCCCTGCACGCACGACGATACAAGTGGCGCGCTGCTCGATGGGGCTTGGCCGAGAGATGCTTGTCCATTGTCTGGAATGAGAATCACCAAGCGAGCAGCAGCAAACAAAAAAAAAAAAACAAAAAAAACACAACCAAGAACAGACCAACAAACAATCAATCACCCAGGAACAGTTTGTTCGTGCACCCGGAATAAACTCACCAGCAAACGAAACGTTGGAGAAGAACGCAGAGGAGCTCCTGTTGAGTTGCACAGCAGTAGTTGCGCATCCGACAAGTTGCACATCTGTGTAAGTCAAACAACGAGCGACAACGAGTGAGTGAATATGCTATGCCATGCCATCATGTTGAAACCGCAGCCTTCCCCCATCATTGACATTTAAATGTAAACGACGAATTGTTGTGATTCCCTGTCAGTGAGTGAGCTACCTTGTATTGACAGGCGCGCAGATGGCTCAACGGAAAACCCGACGCCCGCCTGGCAGACCAGCGCGATGAGCTGTTGAAACGCGCTGCGAGCACTGGCTCCGAGCCTGTCTCGCGCATCTTCCAATGTGGGCTTGTTGCTGGCAGGAGCCGCGCCGTCGGGTCCGAGTGGCACGCTCCCGCGAATCCAGACCGCCGAACCGGGTGGAATCGCTATGGTCGTGGGCAGGACGATCGTGCCAGCGGCCGCAGCCAGTGCCAGTGATGGGGGCGTGGCTGTGGTGGCTGTGGTGGCTGTGGTGGCTGCGGGTGGGGTGAGGACGAGGACGAGGCGCGTTGCTGGGTTTGCATAGAGCTGGATTGCAGACTGGAGCTGATTCGCGTCCGAGACGTTGATCTGCACGACCGCTCCTACTGCGTCGGCGTCAGGGCTGAGCAGCGCGTGGGACGGAGATGCGTGCACGGCAGAGTGACTGCTGGTGCTGGTGGTGGCGGTGCTCGGTTGGCCATGCGCAGGCTGCAGCACGAGCAGCATGATCATCATCATCACCACCAGCGAAACCATCATGACGCGACCGGCAGATTGCCTCAAGTCGAGCATTGGGCGTGCTATGGAAAGGGGGAAGAGTGCTCACTCGCACACTCGCGCACACACGCAAGCACAATGCAGGCAGAGCAGCCCAAGAGCACAAGCGCACCTCCGTTGCGTTGCGTTGGGGAGCAAACGAGGGTGAGGTTGACCAAGCAAAACGCCTCAGAAAAAAAAAAAAAAAAAAAAAAAAAAGAATGAACTGCTCTGGAGTGCAGCCAGAAAAGAAGAGGAAGGCTCCCAAACAGCACCGAAACAACCGAACGAAAAACCAAACACGTCCACGAACATCAACTGTGTCTCAACATGTCGAGTTATCGTCGTCATGATGAAGCTGGACAAACGAAACAAACACACCATTGACACGTTGACGCCATGACTTCCAAAAATACCACTTGAACAGGTTCAGTTGCCGTTTCACCTGCATCCCGTACACTTGTCTTGAACACGATGCTGAGTGCTCGTCTTTTGCTCATCAAAGCAGCGTTCCGCGGTGCTGCTTCATGTACTACCACGACTCTTGCGCCGAAACGTCTGCATGGTAAGGTTCTTGCTCCAGTTTCAGTCCACCGACGCCCTCCCACTTCTCTGCTGGTCAATGAGAGCCGACGCGCGGTGTACCTCCACCGTCGTTGTGTGGCGTGCATGCGCGCCAACGTTCGGCCAAATGTTGTTTCTCGCTTCTGTGCTGAGTTTCGCCTCATTACCGGGCATCAGGGCCCCTAGACTCGCGCTCCGCCCCGTGTCTACAATGTCAACTCCATCAGCTGCGTACTAGGAGCTGGTGACTGGTGTGCGTCGTCTCTTTCGGCTTGAAGACGTGTCTCGGCTGCGTTGGTTTTAACCAAATCAAGCGATCTGTATTCTCTTGGCGATTGCAATCCTTCTCGACTTCTCGACTTGAATGTGTGACAGCAAGTGCTACTTGCT